GCATATATACAAAATGGCGGCCGTTTTGACGGGAAACGGTCCCCCCCACCCACCAATCACGCGGCGGCTGATGTCCCGCACCTGTCAACCCCTTATCAGTGCCCCCTACCTTAGGGGCCGTCCATAAATGACGTCACGCACCTAGGGGGGGGGGTGTCAGACATTTGTGACGATGTGTGACAAGGGGGGGGGGGGGGTTGAGAAATGTGACGTAAAATAAAAATGCGCAACTTTAAATACATATAAACAACACGTTCTACTTAATTAAATATACTTTTTAATAAATGTTTTCTCCTACAACATCAGAGTGCAGCGGCACATTAAATATGCACTACAATGACAATAGTTTAAAGCGATTTGAAGCATGTTTTATTTTGGGGGGGGGGGGGGCAGAGCTCTGTGACGTCATATTTGAGGGGGTCTGACTTTTTATACGCCGTGTGACGATGGGGGGGGGGGGGGTCAAAAATCGTCCAAAATCGCGTGACGTCATTTATGGACGGCCCCTTATTACAGACCAATTCAGACATTCTTGGTCACCCCGTGCCCCTAATACATCTCAAAGTTCATCCGACAAAGTCCCATCACAAGGGAGAAACACAAACATATAGACAAAAATACGTATTTTTGTTATTGCCCCTATACTGAAACGGCTATACGCCATGTGGACATGAAAACACAATATCCCTGTACAAGAATAGGGGGTTAAACTGTATGGGTTGACACGGTATGATGTCCTCAACATTAACTGGCGACCGTTTTGGCTGAAACCGTCTCCCTAACGTGAGTCATTACAGTTCAGTATTATTTCAATAGGGAAAAAACACAAAGCAACGTCGCAGACGATAGCCATTTCAGGCCATTGCTGTACCTACCCAGTGCCATATAGGGATAGTTGCCACTAGGTGTACCCTTGCTTAACACTGCCTCAGGGCATTACAATGCTCGAGGTGAGACGTGACAAGGCACTGTGAAATACAAATCCTTCTGTATCCTCATTGCGTCGACTTTAACAACAATAATAATTCTAGATTTGAAGCTTTCGTGACTGCAAGGATTCGTATTCTTAGGTTTATAAAAATAAAATAAAATAAAGATCTTTATTTTATTTTTATTAATTTTGATGTTTTACCTACGTGACTTTACCGAAAAAACCTAACAATAATAATAATGCAGTGCATTTGGTGTTCGGGCTATTTTTACACCGCAAGGCTTAGTACAAAGGTGCCATGTTTCAGACGGCCTGCAGTGATTTCACAACAGGGGGCTTGTTGCCATGGGTAATCACAATTGAGTGATTTGTATGAATGTTTGGAATGTGGAAAATGTATTCAACAAGTAAATCTCGGAACGTGCATTATTTTTGAAGCTCCCCCACCCCCATCCTCATTGTGCAAGGCTTCGTACCGAGTTGAACTTCTTTCGTACGTAGCCTACCATGCTAATCGATGGTGCGTGGCGGCGGGGGGGACAACAAACTAAACACAAAGGAGCAAAAATCTTGACTTCAAGCTTTCGTGACTGCAGGAATTCATAATCTTTGGGCCCATACTCTTAGGTTTTTTCGGTAAAGTCACGTAGGTAAAAATAATAATTGAAAATAAATATTGTATTACGTGGCGTTCCTGCCGTTGCTCAGAAGTTCTTCTGGTCACACCTTACCCATTGGTACAATATAAATTATCATATTATTTGGGTCTTTCGGGAAAGTCACGTAGATAGGTTCAAAGAAAATAACAAAATGAACCTATCTACGAAAGACCCAAAGAATATGAATCCTTGCAGTCACGAAAGCTTCAAATCTAGAATCTTTGGCTCTTTCGGTAAAGTCACGTAGATAGTTTCAAAGAAAATAACAAAAAGAAGTACGTTTCGATCGCAACACAAGCGATCGTCATCAGGATGACCTATCTACGTGACTTTACCAAAAGACCCCAATAATAAAAAGAAGCAGTTCGACCCCTTGAGTTTGTCTCCTTGTGTGTAAAAAGTTGTTCCGGAATGTTTCACCTTTTGCGAGGTAATGGCGCCCTCTGGTGGTGCGGTCGTTTCATTTGGCATCTTCCGTTTATTTGACCGCTTTGGAGTTACCATCGAGAAGTTGCTGGAGTCGAAATCAGTTGCAGGCAACACTTTATACCTTTTGATTTAAAGCTTTCGTGACTGCAGGGATTCATATTTTTGGTTCTTTCGGTAAAGTCACGTAGAAGGGAAATAATAAAATAATACAAATATAAAACAATAAAAATTCTCACGACGTTTCGACTGCAACACAATCGATCATCATCAGGTGTGAAATCCACAGCAAAAAATTTTCTGCTGTGGATTTCACACCTGATGATGATTGCTTGTGAGAATTTTTATTGTTTTATATTTGTATTATTTTATTATTTGCCTTCTACGTGACTTTACCGAAAGAACCAAGAATACACTTCATACCAGTTAACCCCTTATCGGACGAATCCAAACGTTGTTGGTCACCCCGTGCCCTTTATAAAACTTAACGTTGATCCTACAAAGTCCCATCACAAGGGAGAAACACAAATAAACAAAATAAGTGCATGTATTGAGACGGCTGTACGCCGTATGGACCTGAAAACTCAATTTCCCTGCACAAGAATACGGGGTAAACCGTATGGGTTTACACCGTATGAAACTGGGTTCTCAAATGTAGAAATTCGACGGGTCAGTCCAGTCACCAATTACTGCACACATGTTTTCCCGTTTCATTCAGGGGCCGTCCATAAATGACGTTATGCGTTTTTTTCCGATTTTTCACCCCCCCCCCCCTCTTCACAAAAAGTCAGACCCCTTCAAATATGACGTCACAAAGCTCTGCACCCGCCCCAGAACCATATTTCCATTTTGAAAATGAAACATGCTTAAAATCACTTTAAACTATTGTCATTGTCGTGCGTATTTCATGTGGCGCTGCACTCTGATGTTGTAGGAGAAAACACGTATTAAAAAGGCGTTGGAAAGCTGACATTTAGCATAAAATTCACTTGCAAATATTCAACGTCTAACTAAAACTGCAGATGTTCAGAAAATGATATTTAAATTCTCTTATAATTTTAAAATATTAAAAGTAATAACTATAAAAAAATACTTGAAACTTTGTAGTAGAACGAAGCAAAATGGAGAGTACAATTATAACAATCACATATTCATTCCACAGAATGAAAAGCCCTGGTAGAATCATTAAAATCAAAATGTTTAATAACAATCATTCAAACAAATTACAAAAGTTATGCTTCTCCATTCTCCCATGGAGAAGCAAAATGCTCCTTCATGGAATAAATGAAAGGTGACCTTAGTAAATTTAAATAATAAAATAGTTAATAATGAAAATTTATCAAAATGAGTGTTGCTATAACAATTCTATTGTTTATATTTATTTAAAGTTGCGCATTTTGATGTGACGTCACATTGCTCAAACCCCCCCTCCCCCCCTCGTCACAAATGTCTGACCTCCCTCCCCCACTAGGTGTGTTACATCATTTATGGATGGCCCCTAAACATTGGCTAATTTGTATGTCAGAAATAAAACTATATATCGGTTCCACTGGCATGTAACATTTTCTCTCTAATAGTGTTGATGGTTTTTTTTTAAAGTTAACTTAAGGGCAATTAAATAGCTGTTATGTGGCCATCCGATCTACGATGGATGCTGTTTGCACTCAACCCCCTTGTGAAGCTGCACCGTGAGTTTGACCGCCCATTGCATGTCGCTCTCATTCATTTAATAGTGGATTTTGACTCTGTGGATCGATCCTCATTCTGGTCTGCCCTGAGATGGATTGGGGGTCCCTGGCATCCTCCTGAACCTTGTGAAACATCTGCATGCAGGCACAAACATAAGGGTTCGTGTTGTGTCCGGGCTTTTCCCACGGAGACTACATCTGGAGTACGCCAAGAATGCGTCCTCGCACCAGCGCTGTTCTGTCGGGCGATAGCCTGGATTCTTTTAAAACATGACCCACGACCTTGACTGGCACCACTTCACTGACCTCGACGATGCCGATGATGCAGCTTTGTCTGTTGGGAAGCCTGAAACATTCACACCAGTCTTATAAAATGTCCACAACAATGCGAGAAAAAATGGGACTTGTGGCAGAAAACAAGTCCAGAAGCACCCTGCGAAATGAACGGCAAAACTGTCGAAGCAGTGGAGGAATGTTTACCTGGGATGTGCACGGACCTCTGATGGATGATGTAGGCCTGATGTCATGTGCCGGATAGGCCCGACCTCAGGAATGAAGTGAATGAACGGTCGGAATTGCATTTGGTCCCAGAAACGGTTGTCTGGGCACCAAATTGAGCCCGAGTGCTTTTTGTCTGTTTTGTTGTATGGTGCGGTGGCCTGGAATTTGCTTCAAGCTGATTTGGATCAGCTGCAGTTCTTCCACATGCCATGCCGGACGCCTTCTTGGCGTCCGATGGTTTGACTTAGTCAGAATGTTACCATTGCATCCACTACAAGTCTACTCGCGATTGAGAAGCTTAGATCGAAGGAGATGGCTGTCACTTTTCGGACACATCGCCCATCTTGGGAGGCACAAACTCCAGAAAACTGCGCACTTCAGTTGGACTTCGACCCTCAAAAATAATAGCGCCGTTCCTTGTTGTCGCTCCTGTGGTACATGGATCAAAATCTCCTCGTGACACTGGAATGGCAGCAAGAGCGGTGTTTGTGAATGCTGTCGCAGGTCACACGCTTGGCTCAATGCTCCTTTTATGACTGTTCGTAAATTGCATGACCATCCCTTTCTGCGGTCAGTCTCTTAACGCATGAGGTATTGCAACTCTAATATTAGACTCCAAACGGATGCTTGTCTCACGTGGCAATAACGCAAATAGAATAAAAAGTAGGATGAAAACATGCTTGTTTTGACAATTGCAATTAACTTGTTGATATTTCAGGCTCACAGTGAGAAGTTGAGCGACTTTTATTATGAATTCACATTTGAGAAATGTAAACATAACATAAACAGCACAGGTTCTTAATTGAGGCCTTTATTAAAGCACTGGCTAAGACAACCTCATGGATCCACAGTGATAGGACAACACCACAAGGAAGTGGCAACCCTAACCCTATCGCACACCACGCTTAGTACAAAACTGTCTTAACTTCCAACACAAAAGGACTTTCACGGTAACCCATGTGGCTCTCTACATCCATTTATCACCGAACCTAAGACGCGAATTAAAATGCTTCACACAGAATAGTGCTTACACACACACTCAAGACTACAAGGGGTAAAATTTATAAATTATGATTCACTGTTTGTTTTATTCATAGTAAGGTGCACATTTTCTTAGAAGACAGATTGTAATGTCTCACATGAGCAACATACATTTTCAGGGCTTTTACAAAGTTCAACAGATAGGTCCTTATTTGTTCAAGAATGCTCAACGCGAGATGTTAAAGTGACATTTCATCCACATGTTATACTCGCATCCCAACAATTTGCTACGAACTCTCAAATATTATAAAGCCGCATCACCTTATTGCTGTTATACCAGCACATTTATGAGATTTACCTCAATTTGACCAAATTACACAACACACATTGAAGATTATTCAATGCACAAAGCTACAGAGCTAGACATGCGTGTTAATATCCATGAGTTGGCGAACGCATGACAAATGCTAAATACATTTTTTAAATCAAAATTTGGTGCTGCGTACAACTGTCAAAGAAATTAGAAAATTTTAAATTATTAAATACAAATTACCTTATTAATTTGTCAAAACTTGGCAGTTTGTGAGCTGAAGATTTTGCAGCTATATTTCAATTCATTGAACAATGGACCGATATTTCTTAAACTACATGTACATTCATGTACACGCTACAATATTTGATAAGTCAAATCGGGTGAGGGTCATATTTGAAACAAATGGAAATCTTACCCTGAGCAGCACAAATACGAACTCACAGGACAATTTATCCAGCGAACAAATGTGCTGCTAAAATTCCATTAAAGTTGTTTTCGAAATTCATCAAGTGGTACACATACAAGATGTGAAGTTATTTCATTGAACAAAAAGTGTGTATAAAACCGACAAAAGGCTAAATTTAGCAAAACTCAAAAAAAAAATTGTAAGTCTTGAACGTTGGTGGTTGTAGGTTACTGTGAAAATGTCCTACATTCTAGAATCTCTCTCTTTGGATCCATCTCTACCAGTCCTCCGCTGTGTTGCATGCTGCTGCTAATTGGATATTTTTCGTGCTAAATGTCAAGCTTGCAGGTTCGGCACACGTTTGAGCTCAGGTTTTGAATTGGGGCACTGTTCGAGACAGAAAAAACCTGAGAAAAAAAGTTAGACAAGGAAACAGCATAAGAAAACAAAGGAGCAGAATAGATACTTTAACAAAGATAAGCAGGGAATACGCAGGAAAAACTTGGTAAAGCTGAATGGAAGATGCAGAGGAAAGTGTTCAGAGAAGAGGGGACAACAGGATGGATGACAAAAATTACTTTAAATAAAAGTCACTGGTCCCAGGAAAGACAAAAAAACTGAAGAGCAAATGCGCGTGCGAACATGCAAGCTTGGAATGTGAGGGACTTTCACTGCTACTGAAACCTTGGATTGGCCTTGAATTGGGGGGATGGGTGGAAAGATTTTGCGTGGGGAAATATAGGAAGGTTGGATAGAAGAGTTGGGGGTGTGCGTGGGGTCAAGCATTGACTCCAGGCGGGAGGTGGGTGGGAGGCAGACCCAGCTTGTCTCCGCAAGAGGACTGCAGACAGGGGCCCAGCACGACTTCCTCCATCCCCGACAACAGCTCCTGCATCAGCAAACTGCATGGATGGAGTGGGAGGGGGGGGGGGGCAAATACATCAGCATGCTAAGGTGAGAATGTCAAAATAAATGTTCTGCATATATATCTGCAAAAATGCAGCTAACATGTTACTTATCCAACTCTGTGTCAATTCTTATGTTGTAGTTTTATTAAAGTCAAAGTTGAGTGCTCGATTAGTGCGAGGAAGTCAGGAGTCAGTGATGTATAGCTAATACTTTATGGGCATCACAGAATTCATGGCATAAGATGACCAAGGTGTCAGTGATTAAACGGATGCCTGCTGAAAAAGGACATCTGTACTATTCACTCCAATAAGCATCGTTTAACAAATGTGGTCATTTCATTTGGAAGCAAACACAATCTAACGCTTTAAAACCAATAAAAAGAATTAGTCAAAGTCAATGGCACTCATGAGACAAGATTAAAATAGAAAGGTCTGTAATAATTAAAACTACAATATAGAGGTGGGGCAGTCGTGCAGTGGTTATCGCAATGCGCTAATGAACTCGGCAATTTGAGCGATTCCCGGCCACGGCTAACACTAGATGGCAAACGATATCTGGACCGGTCCTCGGGCTCCCCAGCCCACCACCCCCAACCTGCACGAACCATCGTGGTGAGATATGGTCAAATCCCCATGACGAATATGACACGGGGAGTCCTTCATCCAACACTGTTTAACAAAGAGCATTAAGTTAATTTTTATACCTCAAACAAACACCTACACTAACATTTTTATTTTATTTTACTGGGTAAGGCCCACTGAGCTATATAGCTATTTTTCAGAAGCAACCTGGCCACAAATGACAGGGCAACGAAGTGGCTTATCATCACGTGTAAATTTAAAGCAGCAAAATATTTGGCTCATAAATAAAGAGGGAAAAACCAGAGGACCCGTAAAAAATCCACACGACCACGGGGAGAACATGCAAACTCCAAATGTACAGGAGTCAGGGTCGGGATCAAACTCCCAGAACTTCTGCATACCAGGGGAGGTAGTTGACATCTCGCCACCATGGCGCCCAACCTATCTGGAGCGGCAGCGAGATGTGAATAACAGCAGCATGGGGCACTCACCGGTCCTCGCTGCTCATGACATAGTGCACAATAGGCTTCTGGAATCCGTTGAAGGTCGAGGCAGCGGCCAGGGTGTAGGCTCCCATGTGCTGAAAGATTAACCAGTCTCCCAGGTGCAGCTCGGGGAGCAGGACGCACTCCAACACGCGGTCAAGTCCGTCGCAGGTGGGCCCCCACACAGATGTCTCGAACAGTGGCTCATCCGGATCCACTTTCTGCAGGTATACGGTCATAAACACAGACACAAAGTACGTGCAAACGCATGTGAATGCAGGCGCACAAACACTCACACTAAGTGTCAATAAGAGATGCAGTAATGCTACAAGCCAGATAATCCATCATTGACTTTGTTACTGTCACCTTTTACAAGTCAATGGAAATGTGCCGTGTCCTACATTCACAACCCGTTCATGTAATACACTGAAAATGGCCACAACCTAAGACGTAGAGATGAGGCTGGATTGCGGGATAACGCGTACCCGATGTGTGAGAGGCAAGACATTAGCGTGGTCGAAGAGGATGCAGTTGAAGGAGCCGTACACGCCGTCGTTGACATAGTACATGTACGCAGGTTGGTCATCTCTGCTCGCTTCCTCTGCAGACGCACAGTGCACCATCGCATAAACACACAGACACACCAGGGCTGTACAAGCTGTCCTACTGCAAAGGACAAACCGACTCGAGCTAATCTCAAGAGCTGTGAGGTTGGCGGTTCTGAGGTCGGCATGCAACCAACGGTTAACCCAAGCAGTGGTGGCTCGTGACATTTCCACTAGGTAGGGCTATTGAGTAACCTCTGAAAATATGGTGTTCTAATTAAAAAAACCTCGTCATATTATTGGCCTTCCTCTGCAAGTGATGTAACTGTTATATCTACCAACGGTAGGCATTTATAAACAATAAAAAACAAAGCTCTCAAATGCTGTCCCCATGACCCTCAAGTCCACACGACACAACCCCTTTGACACTGCCAAAAACCTCGAGCGTGTAGGTTGTGAGCTGCTATATTTGCAGTGCAACCTAGCGTTGTGACATGATAATTACAGCTATAGGCGCCTTTTTCACCACCCTGAATGGATCTCAAAAGGCGTGACTAAAATGCAACGCTAATCGCAATGAAGGGATATCTCTCACTGATGCCTTCACAGCCGCCCCGAGACATACCCGAGGCACAAATCAGACTGTGTTGCAACTTAAAGCGTTATCTTCATTAGGCAATTCACGTTGAATGAATGATTATATTTTTTTTAAACACAAAACTATTTATCGAAAAGTATTTTTATTACAAAAAATGTTTCATCTCCAGCTGCTTGGTGGGGCGGTGCCCCAACGCCCCTAGTGGACAAACAGTGCCTAAACCACGTTCTCTTAAGTGTTAGATGTGGAACTTGTTTTGCACCGTACGTAGCCAACCATGCTAAATCGGAGGTGCGGGGGAAAAGACTAAACACAAAAAGCAGTTCTGAAGAAATGAGTTTTCAATCTAAATTTAAAATGCATAGCTCCAATGGCTTCATAATATTGGAAGGAAGAGCATTCAAGACGGCCGCTGAAGCACAGCTGAAAGCACGCGATGCAGTGACCATCTTTTGTTCAATGGCTCGCCAATAACCGCTGCGAGGATGACCGAATTTGCGAGTTAATGGTCTTAGCCAGGGACACCAATGATTGCAAACACATACAAGAACACATAAAAAAATTCGGTTTTGCACTTAATTTTAAATGATATGCAGATGTGAATTAAAATATCGGTTTGACTATCTTGTAAAACTCATGACACAAATGCTGCCTTCTTACTGTATGAACAACGTTACTTGAAGGGATCTCACAAGGAGCTCTGAGTTCCGAAGGGATACTTGTATTATTTGCGCCTATGCCGATAGCATAATCGATATACAATTGGTGGCAGGTGATGGGGTGGTGGTTCATTTTCTGCAGATCGCACCATTGTCCAGGCTGTTTTGGACCACGGCCTTCTTGGCGATGATACCGACGGCGAGCATGAAGGCTGAGGCCACGTAAAAGCGCCCTGGTTCGGCAATCACGCGCACGCCACACTCGGCGGGGAAGTAGCGCTCCAGAGCCCCGTTCAGCACCCCTGCAATCTGCCAAATACAACGTTTTGAGACAAATGACATTCGTGGCATGGCACATACAACAAAAGCAATCGTGTGTCAATATAGACGATATGCACACCATGCAAATACAAACAACAATATGCATGTTTAATTCACCCATTAAGAAATGCACTAACCTCTTCAAATGTAACTTTTGCATCGGGAGAACCAGGGAAACCACCTCCGATGTCAAGGAGACTCAAGCAATATCCAAATTCCACCTGCAACACAAGTGCAAACAAGGAAATAATTTTGGTAAATGTATTGTTGCCATGTGATCTTATTCCAGTTGTAATGGGCTGCAACATTTGTGACATAAAGTCACAATTTGGACCTGCAATTTGCAAATTTGTTCAAAATCTTATTTTTCGTTGCTTGCACTGCAACAACACTGTGATTGAATGAAGGAGAAAAACATGAGTCATCACGGCAACATGAAAGTAAACATTAAATTTGGGAGAAAAAAACTGTAACGTGTTACTGCATGAGAGATTAGGGGTGCACTAAATCAGCCATTTATACTATACTAGCGGGAAGTACCCGGCGCGGCCCGGGGGAAAAATATATTTCAAAACTTCTCTTAAAAACATAACATATACATACACAAATACCAAGCTATTGTGAAAGCCCAGCGTGCCATTTGTCTGTCCATTTGTCTGTCAACAAAATTATAAGAGGCTTGCAGAAGTCCAAAAAGTTATAGAAAGTGGGAGGTAAATAGTTGACCTAAAAGGTTTCAGAAAATTGTCGACCACCCCCCCTCAAAAAATATTTTTACCCCCGCGTAGGCATATATACTTCCACACCCTGCATACAATAGAGTAGTATCTACCAACTCTACGGCAGTATCTACCGACTCTATAGTAGTATCTACTGACTATACTAGTATCCACTGACTCTACAGTAGTACCTACTGACTCTACAATAGTATCTGACTGTAGTAGTAGTATTTCCTGACCGTAGTAGACTCTATAGCAGTATCTGCTTACGATAGCAGTATCTACTGACTCTATAGTCGTATCTACCGACTCCGCAGCAGTATATACTGACTATAGTGGTATCTACTGACTGTAGTATTATCTACTGACTATTGCAGTATCTACCAACTCTACGGTAGTATCTACCAACTCTATAGTAGTATCCACTGACTGTATAGTAGTAACTACTAACTCTATAGTAGTATTTACTGACTGTAGTAGTATTTGACGGATGGGAAAAACAAATAGCAATGTTTCGTCCGGGGGCTTGTGTCGTATATGTGTAGTTTGATGCAATGTAAACCCAGCAGTTCGTCAGTTTAAAACATCACAAGGTGTGTCCACACACACAGACACAGAGACATACAGACAGAAATTACTTTTATAGGTAAGATTGCCACATATTAAACACCTAATTATGTATTCGGCCTCATTAAAAACTAAATAGTAAATTTTTAAATAGATGTTTTTAGGTTAGTGAATTTGCAAACGCCAACCATGAATTAAGACTAATATAGCTGGGCCGCAAATGCAGAAAACTGCTCCCTGACCTCTGACACCTCACTCACCGCCCTCTCTCACCCCCCACGTCCAAGTCAAACTGCGTGCGCTAATGGTGAGCAGGAGGGTCAGGTCTCACACCTTCCCATCTTCTCCTGTACTACAGTCACTAAACACAGACCAACGATTGGTTTTAACCCTTTCCCATTCCGATGACGAAAGTTTAAGTCAAACTACGCGTACTTTATCGGTACGTCTTCAGGTCAGAAGATGTTACCGAGGCTCCTACAAGGCCGTGCGGGAGGGACTACAAGGCCGTGCGGGAGGGAGTTTGGTAGTTTGGTGTCAGCTATCATAGATTGCGGTCATGTCGCTGCAGTTCTCTGCGGCGAGTACAATGTCTTTAAAAACAACGGCACTACGCCTCTAAAAAAAATTAACGCTAACCGCTTGCGCGTTCAGATATTCAGCGGTGAACGAGATCAACCCTGAAACTTGCAGACGTCTCAGAACGAGAAAGGTTTCATGGATCAGTATGGTGCAGCTGTTGTAAAACAGAAGCAATGAAGTTGCAATGCAATGTTGCGAAACATTTTAGGGATTGCAAGAAAATTTCAGCATTAGCTATACCTATACGGCTAGATAGGACCATCTTGGTGACAAGAAGAATAGACTAATAACAATGGGGAAATGCAAAATCAGCCAGATACAGTAAAGTATAGTCAAGGGTACAGATGGCATTAGAATCGATGGCACAGAACAAAAAACAGCACAAGACGGGGGCCACAGAAAAAAGATTGAAGGCATAGGCAGAACATGACGGATAGTATGGGACACCGATGAATACTACATCAAATGGACGACATGGTACAGCAGGGTAAGAACAGATGAAGGCGTGGGAGGAGGTGAAGCGATACTCACGGCCATGTCAAACACGCAGCGTGCATCTGCGATAGCCAGGGCAAAGGTCTCGGCTTCCATGCAGCCACTTCCCACATGAAAGCTGGTGAAACAGCACAAAACAGTACATTTCTATTTATAATACAGGTATGGAGCCAAGATGATTAGTGCTCCTTGTATAGTTTCTTCCCTGAGTATGGATTTGTTTTCTCTCAAGAAAATAGAACAATCAACAGTGTAGAAGTGATTCTCACAATTACCAATCCCTTGCAGGGCTTCATATGCACCAAGACATGGGTCTGTACTGTAACCTTCAAGTCTTTACTATGTCTCGACAGTTCTAGGTTAAGGTAAAGATGCAGACCTGCAATTACTTGCTCATGCCACTGCCGGCAGAATGGCCTCTTAAGAGAGGGAACTGGGTAATTTGGCAATTTTCCACAACCTGTCAGATGTCTTACATGAGGCGGGAACACCCACACTTCAACCCACCACACGCGACCTGTTGATCGACTCCTTGTGGTGTCCCGATTTATACTAAAGTCACAAGTCTAAACATACTACTTGATCTCACGCAAATAAAAACACGTCCCCACCTGACGCCGATGACATTGACCCCGAGTTGGCGTGCCCTCTCCAACAGGTGGCGGCAGCTCTTGAGGCTGGCTCCAAACTTCACGCTCAAGCGACAAACCGCCTTAGAATCGTCAGCCATGATTCGCAACACCAGCCTAAAGAGACGGCAACGGTGGGCAGGGTAAGAACTCCACAATGGGATTGTGCCACAAAACGCTGGAAGCTCATCAAGAAATAATTCATTATCACATAGGATTCAGCCCCGGTTTTAAATAATTAGAAGTTCTGCCAAATGAACTGCAATCTGGGCACGTAGTGCTCTATGGGTGTAAACTTGAAAAGGTTAAATTAACTCGAGTTTTATAATCACGGAAATCCAAAATCTGTATGCCGTTTTGTCCGAACCAGACAAAAAATTATTTTCACTGCATAATAGGTAAACAAAAGTAAACAAATTATTAATTATAAATACTTAATGAACACCATGCAGTATGCTCATAAGGATTAAAAATTGAACAAAGATGTGCAGAGCATTCATTAGAATGCCACACAAAAATGTTTCTGGTGTTTTGGTTGAGGACCAGGTCAAAGACTTTTCAAGGTTAATGTTTAATTCAACTTTAATTAACTATTCCTTAACAGTAAACACATTATTTTAACAGAATCCGAAGTTTATTTATCTTGAGTAAAGGCCACCTAGTGATATGGCTCTTTTTTTTCAGGCCCACTGGACCAGCAGACGAAAGCAGTGGCAGCTTCATAGCCACTAAGGCATGGGGTATTTCTCCAGTAACCTTCAGGTCTTTACCATGCCTTCACGGTCCTAGATTGAGATAAAGTTGCAAGCCACCGCTCTAACTTGCTCATGCAACTGCTGGCGGAATGACCTCTACTATTGTAAGACACTGTGTGCCCTCGCACAAATTCATGGAGACTCCAGGACGTTTGGGAAAACTGTGATGAATCTGAATCTCACTGGAATAAGCAGATTCATAAAAAAAAGTACAGGCTCAATTACAGTTCAACATAATGAACACACCTTTGAAATTTGAGCCGGTGAGAGAATATCACCGTTTGGGGAATGCCTTCATCCAACAGCAGATTGATTATGGCTGATGGTTACTTTGGAGATATTGTTGCAGAATGGAAGCAAGGAGGGACTCGTATAAAAGCAGTCTAAAATGTCCTTTCAGGACAACTTATTTGATACTTTGGTCTCGTACAATGGTGCACATGCCAAATAAGCCCCCCCTGTGCCAAAAACAAAGTTAATCACTTGCAAGTGTGTGTAGTCTTGTGTGAAAGGGCATGTCCAAGATGCCGATTCAAACCAGGACCTTGGCCTACAGTGGGTGTCAAAGCACTATACATAGATATATTTGTACATATGGCTTGTTTTTCATCCCTTATAGAGATAAGGAGTTGGACTCTCGTACTCCAAACGCAGCTGTCGTGTGAGTCTAGCATGATAAATCTCGCACAAGCCTTTGTGTAGTGTTTTTTTTAGTTAGTCAGTATTTTAACAAAAATGTAGGTACAGTTTTAGGCCAGTCGATGACAACTTGTGGAATTTTATTTCACCGACCCAAGCTCTTAGATTCCCTAACAAAAGTAGTTATTTAGTCCACTCTTGGTTATTAAATGTTGGTGTGAAGACTGCACAAACTCAAATTCCACACTTCCCGAACCATGCCTATAAAACGATACTCCGTTTATAACGATCGTACGTGCTGCCAACTAGCCAAACATCGTTCATTCTGCTCAGGACATTCAACTAGGGCTCACGTTTTGTGCCGTATGAAACCGATAGAGCAGCTTTACCAGAGTAAACTGTGGCATCGTCAAGAGAGTGAGCGAGCAAGAGTGGGTGAGTTTACTGCTGCAAACTAAGACAAGAAATGTCACGGGCTGACAATGCAGAGAATTGGGGTTATCAAAAAAAATCACCTCTACGACTGTTTAGGAGAAACGAGATAAGATCAAAAAAACCGTTTATCAGCAAAGTAGTATGGGACGGGTATTTTAACATGTCATAAACAGATTTTCACACACTGGGAGACCTGTACAAATACGAATTTACACATACGCGGCAATGCATTAATTTCGTCATCTTTTTTTTAAAGTCCCAATTCAAATTGTCATTAAACCTTGTTCAGAGAGAACACGACTAATTTAGTGAACCCTCTACAAGGTCAGCACATGCTTGTGATATATAACCAATTACCATGTTTGGTTTTCCTCGGTGCTCTCCAATAAATTACTAAACTATTATCTTAGTATGCATTTTCATTCAGGCTAGTTATTCTCATCATGGTCAGTACAGCTTTAATCTTTTCTATTTTTGGTGGGCAGTCAAAGTCATCATCATTCTCGATGATACTCCAACTAATGAGCATCGTTGACTAAAACAAAATAAAAACAAATCGTTGACGAATACTTTCACAAGTGTTTACAAAATTACCACTGGTTTTGTGCGCAGGGCTCCTACCGGGCATGAGGATGGTTGCGAGCCACCTTCTCCAGCTCCGCCTCGTTGTCGAAGGTCATGGTATGCACACCGTGGCGCGCCGCGTACTTGATATGGGACACCTGCTTGCACGGGTTGGCGTAGATGATGCGCTCCGCTGGGACGCCCAAGCCAAGCACTAGAGCCATCTCATTCTGTCACAAAGCACATTAATTTTCAGACTTTTAAACAAAACAAAGGTTTTCAGCAACACGACGGTATAATTTAAACAAAAAAAAAATTACATCCCATCCACCCAAGACTAAATTACCCGGAATACGTCCAATTCATGTCGGATCCCGGGAGCGAGGCAGGGTTGAGTCTGTATAGTGCTTATAGGGATGAGCACAATGCATTCACATGTATTGCATGCTATAGACCAGGGTTGGCCAACTAGCATCTCCCGAGCTGCATGCGGCTCTTTAACCCACCACATGCGGCTCTATTGAAGTGGCACCACGTAGGACGTATACAGTAAAAATTTGGATTGCGAGTAACTTGGTCTGCGAGTGTTTTGCAAGACGAGCAATTTTTTTTAAACAAATATTAATTTGATAAACGAGCGAGGTCTTGCAATACGAGTAGTACGTATACGCTTTGTCTGCCGAACGTCACGTGATCACAACTGATATACGAGTGCTTTGATATACGAGTCCTTTGGGTGACAAACACGCATTATGCTCGCAATCCAAGGTTTTACTGTACTATAACAGTAGCAAAGAACAATGAATGTCTCCCATGCTGCGTCTAAAACTGTCAATATATATACAATTGGATCCTTGCAGAACTCATGGGTACTTTTTGGCTCTTACAGGTTGGCCACCCCTGCAATTGACTGCTGGAGCGATATATAGGGTTGCACTGTACTTCTATGCTCCCACATCTAGGTCCGCTGCCTTCGCCAATCCATAATGAAACAGCATGAAGTATAGTTAAATAACCCACGTGACCCGCACAGCATAGGGAGGCCCTTGTCCAGCAGTGGATTGACAAAGGGCTGTATATGTACATGCTTGTTTAAAAGCTTTTACAACAACCCAGGTTGCCAATAATGTTACACAATCTTGAAAATAAGTAAACCAAAGATGGATAATTCTGGAAAAGCCCTGTACAAATGGCATGTGAAAACCATGAATGCTTAATTCATAAACACGCACACACACACACACACCAGCTCCAAAACTTACAAAAATAAATAAACTAAAATATATTCTCACAGACACAAGCGCACAACGTGAAAACACACGTCTACACAGACTCGCATGTTTTTACACAAACAAGCACACACGGGACAAGTAAACACGCACGCAAAGCAAATAAATTGGCGCAATGGAAATCGACACAGGGAAGATGAAAAAGAGTAAGGCCTAGGAGCAGATGGGAAGCCACAGCAGACAGACTTGGCACAACGGGATCTAACAACCACAACGGAGAACGACGAAGGATGGCAAGAGGTGGAGGGAACGTGTGTCAACAGCGTGTGGAAACGTGTAATACTGTCCCAATGATAATGTCAACACGCAACCAACCAACACAGCCCATCCTTTTTTACCTTGATTACCACAATGTTTGACACGATGCGATACGTTATATTTCATGAGATTATTACCACGATATCAGTTTCCCTTAACTTTGTAACTGTAAACCACATTTTGTAATTGTGCTTTTGTGCTTGGATGTACTTCAAATACAAAAAGATGATTTATACAAATTATTCCAAGTGTTATTCAATCAAAAAACTCTAATTATTACAATTTTACACTTATAACCTGCGTGCCATCAGAAACAGATCATGTTATATAACCGTTGTGCCATCAACTTGTCTCGGAATTCAATAAGGAAAAAGTTTCATTACTTTAACTATTCTGAAATGTATTCTTTCAAACTTTTGTCATGAAATAAAAGAGGAAAACATTTAACGATTAACAATAACCATGACGTAATATTTAGTAAAACGGACAATATGATTATCCTGGATATTATATTGTACGATGTCACAGTATCGTCATAGCATGGCCAAGGGGTAAAGTGGTCAGCAAAGCAGAGTAGGTCATTGTGTGCCGGTGTCATGGTCTATGGCTTGAAAAAGAAGCTCGTCAAATTGTTCTATTGTGAAACGAACTCCTACTGGGTTAAACAAGAGCAATATCGTGGCAACCCAAATTGTTTACCTTGCTTGCGCAGTCAAAACCAGCACCCATGGCAGCAAGCGCCCGCAGCACTGGCAGCTCATCGTTGCACTTGACGGTGTAGAAGGGGCTGACAAGAGGCAGGTGCTCAAGCCAGCGTGCGTGCTTCTGTACCACATCGCCAAGGTCCGCCACATAAAACGCATCCTTTTCATCCTTGGGGGTGTACACACACACACATAGGCACATCAATAAAACATTCACAAGCAACAAGTGTCTTACTTGCACAACCATGTACAGACAGGCAGATGCAGAGGCACGCAAATCACACGAGTTGCTTAAAGCATTAGGAGTGGAGCAATTCACGCCCCCCCCCCCCTTCTACGACTACGCCCCACTACGACAATTTGAAGAGTTGGCACAATTCCATTCCAGATTAGATCATTTTTTAACAACGGATGAATGTCAGCACATCTATTGGTAGCAATGGGAAATGAGAACCAATCACATGCCAAATACGAATTGAAAAATATTGCTTCTTACAGGTGCGCTTCTGTGCATGCACAGGCATAATAATCAATATCAACAATTTAATCTTTATTTTCCATTGTTCCACCCATAATAAGCACGGGTAAGTAGGGGTCGGCACGGTTTGGCTCAAACCACCAAACCGCGGTTTGAACCGAACCAAATCGGTTTGGTTTGGCTCTGTTTGAACTGGTTCGGTTTGGTTTGGGGCTACGAAAACCGACTCGGTTTGGCTCGGACAGGGTGGAACCGGCTCAAACTAGTTTGGTTGGTTGTAAAGGCCGAGTACAGCAATATCAAGGACATGATGACGGACATTCTCAACCAGCGCTACCCAGTGTTGACGACGGACGGCATTAACATCCTCTTTGACATGGTCTACGCGCCCAACGCTCACGACGGCGCCGCCTCCGAGGTCGACCGCTTCCTGCTTGAGCCGACTCAGGACCTGAGCATGGACGTCGTCGAGTGGTGGAAGCTGTACGGCGGCAAGTACCCGCGCCTGCGACGCGTGGCCCTCGACTATTTGCCTATCCCGGCGTCGTCCGTGCCCTCCGAGAGAGCAAACTCGGCCGCCAAGCGCTCCTTTCTCGACCGACCAAACCTGCACAAGTGCACGTTCAAGGCCGAGATGTGTGTGCGCTCGTGGGCGCGGATGTTGCCTAGTGTTGGGGTTTCACTGCCATTGAACTACCACACTGCGTTCAAGGACATTGGGCGTGCCAAGCTTGAGGAGATGGCTGTGGACGACATCGTCGTCCAGTACTTGCTAGTGAATCTCAATATGAAGAAAGCCTGCGTAGAAATTAGCGATTAATACACTTGATATTTGTATTGAATGCGAATATTGTTTGCCGCGCATCTTTTCGGTTCAAGCCAACTCAAGAGGTTTGGTTTAGCTTAGTTTGGTTTGGTTTTGGTTTGGTTTGGTTCAGTCGTCGCTGGTTTGGTTTGGTTTTCTCAATTTGAAACCAGTTTGAGTCGGTTCAAACCGTGCCGACCCCTACGGGTAAGTAAACACTAAAGCATGTAATCAGAGATGTGTGTGCTCAAAATGTTTGTGTTTTGGGGAGAAAGCAAGGGTAGGCATCTACCCATTTACATGAACCACTACCGCAGAGAAAAGGTTCACTACATTCAACAAAACGTACTAATGAATATATTTCAGCAATATTGAAGAGTTTTCCAAACTCTTTTCAGTGTTCATCTACTATGGTTTAAGTTTTTTATTTTACCACTCATCAGGTATGTGGAATGAGAATCGGTTTAATCGGCTTTTAAACAGTCTGGTAACGAGGAAAATGCATTGGGATACATGTGTAACGGGTTCCGGAGACACTTGTAGATGTAACTTCTTTATTACAATACAACACTCCAACAGTCCTGATACTCTGTTACAGCCTAGGTACACAGCCTAGCTACGCAGCCTAGATACTCTAGATACTCTACTCTGGCTACGCTCGCCCTCACAAGGTCGTAGCGTCGGGAGTTCCAGAGTCCCAGCGCTGGCTCTCACAGCATCCCAGGGTCTTCAGATGGCTGGTCGTGGGTCTTGCGTCTTGAGTTACAACTGGGCCCCGATCGTCCAGGGAGCTCTCCTTTTATGCCTGGTCCGACGAGGGGTGGGGCCGTGTGCGCCACCAGACATCCCACAGAGCACACACAGCCCCCCCCCCCCCCCCCCCGTTGGCGGCGCCAAAAAGGCTTAAGCGCCTGGGAACCCAACGCCTGGCGCCCAAAGGCTTAAAAGCGTCTGGACCCCCTGGGAACCCAGTGCCTGGCGCCCAGAGGCTTACGCGTCTGGACCCACCTGGGAACCCAGAGCCTACAGCAGCCCCTCCCTTCTTATGTCACTACACATGAATGGATGTGGAAAAATTATGTTATAAGGGAGGATATAATAAATTTTGCAATACGGACAGACCTGTCTCTGGACTTTTTCTGCTTAGTCTTGTAAAGTTTGGCCAATTAATTTCAAATTTCTGTTTTGCTCCACGTGGAAAGAAAACGGGGTACCAGGAGAAAAATTTACACATTAAGGGATAACACTTAAAGGTCTCTACAAAGGGGCTAATGAACCTACATGCCTGTACTGCAATTTATTGGTGTAACATCTGTGTGACCCACCAATCCTTTCCTCCAAAGCACTAGATCGCAGGCGTATAGAATCACATCCAATGTAAAAACATTGTAAGTATAAATGTGTATCTTTATACATGCGCCAATAACTTATTTTATATTTGTTAAATAGTGTTCAGTCAGTTACAACAGCTGCAAACATGACCTCATGAGCCATTTATTAACTGGATTACACCGGGCCACTATGTTCCGAGTATAATGGGCTTCAGAACAGTTTTCCCAAGAGCGATTTGATGGGATGCATACTTGGAATGGCAAGAGGCCGAAAAGGGAAAACATGGATCAAAGAACAAACACAAATTACAGACATTATGTTGACAACTCAGAAAAGCAAATGAGCTCGAGCTTGAAAACATCCCTCGGACTGGCTGACAGCAGTTGAGACTGGCGATGGAATGGCATCTAAAAGGGTAAAGCAACATACAAGAGGATGACCACTGCGGACAGCGGAATGATGAAATCGTTTCTTTTTCAGATGGATGGTAGCGGCAGCACTGGACCGCGAGAAATGGCAACAAGAGTGGAGAGGCCTTCATCTAACAGTGAAGTCGCAATGGATCATGACAAGTGGGTCTAGAATTCAGGCTTACTGAGAACACGAGGCCGCGGATGGTATCATCGAGGAAGTCACGGGTGCTGATCCCATCAGACAGGAGGGAGAAGTAGGGCATGTCTTGTTCCTTAAATCCTTTCATCTTTTCCAGTCGACGCAAATCCAAAACAACGTATTCGGGGAATGACGAAAATTTTGTCCAAGGTTTCAGTAGCAGTAGAAAGTCCGTTAGCTATGCAACAAACTGTGAAACAACCAAGTGAGAAAAAAGTTAAGTCATTTAATTCTCAAACAGTCATAAATCGTCATCAGGGTAATTGCACCCTAAAAAACATGTTCCAATTTAGCTAAGTAACTGTAACATTAGCCCATTGATCAATCAGTTAATATCATGCACCTACACTAAAGCAAGGTTGCAAGACAATGGGTACAAGGAAAGCTATTAATTCAAACCAAGCAAATATGAGCTTCAGATTTCATGTTGTCAGAATTTAAGGACAGTTCCAAATAACATTTAAAATTTCAATTGAGAAACTTTCAAAAAGGGATATACATGTAGAGTTTAATGTTTTACTAACTCTTTAAGAGTGACCCACTGTATTGCCTTATTTATCAGTTGAAGCTAACCGTGCTCTGTCTATAGAATATTTACCATCTTCTCTATGAACATGCACCCTCACTGTAACTCTTCAGGTACTCACGCGGAGCAGCTGGGAGGCGGATGGCCCCAACTATCAGCTGGGCTCCCAAGGCGGCTCTGCGTTGAAATCAAATTGCTCTTGGTAGAGCCGCCGTCCCTCTGGATAGATGTTGTATACCTTTTCCGTGTATACGCCCTGCAAAAACAACATCCAATTCAAAATGTGTCAACAGCAAAGAAGACGCCCTACAATGTCTTGCTTACGCCACGACTGGCAGAATGACTTCCACTCGAGGACGCTTTCGAGAGCCTTTATAAAATTTATTTGGTCTCCTCATTAACGCCAGTCAGATGCAATACCTACAATTTACCCTATCACACGGGAACTGCCGATCGACTATGATGCACCCAGTTGTACTGCTGAGTGCAAAGAGGCAGGGGCATTTAAGAAACTTGCACCATTATTGTTTTAACTGCCGTGCCAAGAGAAGGAACCAACGACCTCTGGGATCACAAGTCCAGTGTGATAACCAGGACAACTCGGCAGCTGCAAATGACAAAGTCGTACTTGCATTTGATTCCACAATGTTTCATGGTATCGAAAACAGACACCGACATGACGATTTGACAGCGAGCGTTGTCATGGACAGCCTGTGTATATAAATATTTGCATACATCAATGAAGAACTTTGCCAAGTATTTTAGAGTTTCCAAGTATTGTAGAGTTCATGGTATCTTAAAACTGTGGGGGGGACAATATATCCATCGTGTGCTGTTTAATGAAATGGTAATATGTTCCAAAGTTAACATTCACATTTACGAGAATACCAGGGTTAATAGCAAGCGCAAACCAGATTCAGATTTCACTTCCCATACATCCGTGTGACTCAAGTTCACAAAGATGACTGCTCTTATCGGCAGTGTAAAGTCACCAGTTAAGCAAGTGTTTCCTTTTGTGCCTTTTCAGAGCAACGCTTAACAAAGTTGGAGGCCGTTCTTCATACAGAGCAAAACTGGAGGCACGGTGGTGAAATTAATTTCCAGCTTCTTTAAAACACACGAATTCTTTACATAGTTTTGTGATATGACATGAAAAGGAAGTTTACAAATGGTTTTAAATGCATGAATGGCCACATAGTATGAATGGGACTTTGTGTGACAAAGCAGTGAAAAAAAGTGGTCATTCTGGTGACTGGGGAATGATATTTGCAAATTCTCAGGCTCAATGTACACGTAAGCAGAGCAAAGATTGCAGTACACAATGATCACTATTTTGCACGACACTGACTATGGTAGTATCGTCATTAGAAATGTCTGGGAATGTTTCACATTTTCAAAGCATATTCACCAATCTTCGCAATTCAAATACAAATCGAGGCTTTAAACGACTTTCGCACCTGACGATTGAAAAACGCCATAAGGTGCACCATGTTAAGTCACATGCACTGTTGTGTGAGGGGCACACTGTGGTACGTTGCTGTACAGTGGACGTGAAAGTAGCTGAATAACACGGGTTTAGGTCATTCGAGGTCACACAGTACAGTGGTGACCTTACACGCAGTGATGGACGAGCCAGTCGGCACAGTTGGCAACACTGCGCCTGAGCACCACGTGCCGCCTACTGGCTACATCACAGGACTAAAGCCGCATGGCAAACGGTCCAGCAAACAACACCAATTACAAATATATTATCATTGGTCAATCGCACTGCTGGTTGAAAGCATTCCCAAGCTACCGCCTGCCTCTCACAACCGCGCGATGCAATAATCCAGCGGGCACATAAGCACAAATGTATATTTCATCGCTTCTTGGCGAAGGTTCTATCGGCCACGTTCCATTCCTTGGCTCCCATTCCCATTATAATTCTTGACCATCATCCATACTTATTTTTTAGTGACGTGTCCTGCCCAAGCTCACGTACTGAACAGTTTGGATGACATTGTAGACGAATTAGTGTGTCAATTTGTCTTCTCGTTTTTTTTTTTATCCATGTCTGTATGAAAGGCAGCCACCACATCACCAAGACCCATGGGCAGACAGCCACCACACAATTAAACACAATTTTACATTAACTCACTGCTGCAGTAACTTTTAGTATTGGAAGATTTAATCTACAAACACGGGTTGCGGTGTCTTCGTTGGCACCTTCTCCCATTGACACTCCGTTTGCATTCAAAGCCATATACGACATTGAGTTCAAGCGAAACCGAGGAAATGTCACGAGGGGGCAGCTATGTCACCGAAAACACGTCACCGCACTAGGATACAGACACACAAACACAACAGTAACGTCATAACGCTGCTAAGCAGATGGGAAGAGTACAATTTAAGTCCCCGTAATGACGAAAATAACGCATTCGTTAATAACACTGCCTTGAGAAGGAAAACAATAAGCGACATTTTGGGCAACAGTCCTTCACTGCTCTGAGAGCTTTATAAGTGGAGTCCAGAATAGACCAACTACTTCACCCAGTTAACAGCAAACATAGCAGGGGGCAGTTATAATTACAATTACAGCAGCATTAATAGCCAAAATCACAATTACATTGACTGCAGTGCATTCCGAAATAATTACAACTGTAATTTACCACAGGTCCTGTCGCAACTACCAATATTAGTGAAATAAGTTCACACACCACTTGACGAAGGGAGTAAAACACTACCACATGATGCTCCAAAAGTTGCAGCTCAAACGTGTGTCCAGTCTCAATAAACGTACAGAAATCTTATATATAAATACATACCAGGTTATAACATGCACCACCTATTACTTTAAAATACAGGTGGGAGAGGTGCGTCTTATAACACGTTAAATATGGTAATTACAACTTTACATGTGATAATCATTTAACATCACCATCAAGAGTAATAGGTGCCAGATCTGGGTTCAATAATAATTACAATGAGCAGCAGCAACGTTAGCTGAAATTATAATTACACCATTATCGTAATTCATTAAAATTTGTATTTAAATTACCACAGGTGTGATTTATCAGCCACCGCAAAACTACAAGGCAACCACCACGTGGATTATAACCATCAATAACCAGGTCAAGTGACGCCCAAATCATCAGGTGCACCACCAACTTTTCCTTTTTACAATACAGGTGGGAGAGGTGCGTTGAATATGCTAACTGTACATGTGAATAACCATTCAACATCGCCATCAAGGGTAAAAACAGGTCTCAGCCAGATCTGGGTTCAATTAACATTACAATGAGCAGCAATGCGAGCCGAAATGAGGCGCACAACTTATCAACCACGACCGTATTATGCCATTCCCCCTGTCCCCCTTATGCAAGAGAAAACAAACATTAGATGACGCGTCTTATAATCCAGTGCATGCGACTTAAAAATGTAAAACTTGATTGACACCTGGTAAAAAGTTTAGGCTGCGTCTTTATCCTGAGGATACGGCACCATGACCAGTTGAACCGGAACCTCAACAATCATCAAGACAACGCCACCAACCAATTGTAAACGCAAACACCAAATATACAGCGTATGTTAACGCTTCTGCAAATCCACCGCTGGATGAGATACTCAACCACGCTGTGCGGGTCACGGGAAGATACATGGGCCATACTTCCCCATCACAGGTCAGTGCGTGTTTGGGAAGGGGGTGAGAACATTGAACTTCTTAAAACACCCACAACACTAATGGCCTTTTGGGGAACTCTCCTCTTACCGTACTTAAAAAAACACCAGATTCCTTCAAGGAAAAGAATCCGCTAGTAGTACATCAGCGGGTGAAGCAGATTAACCCCCCACCCCCCCAATCACCAGCGGGTGAACAAAAACCCACAATCCTTACACCAAACACCCGGCAAAAACCGAGAGATATTCACGGCCCCACGTGGCTGCCACTAGAAGTCGGGGCGAGCGGGGGGGGGGCCCGGGGGGGAGTTCCTATTGGTCGAGCCGATTGACAAAACCTCGCCTTTACACACAATTTGACATCCTCCCACCGTCTAGTGCACATACATTATCAACACGGCCGCTCGCATACGTAAACGACCTGGCCCGAGGGGAGCCCCACACACTTGCCCTGGGGTCGCACGGCGAGTCGAGAGGTGGAGAAGAACTCGCGACGCGGATGTCCGAAGCCGCTCGCGGCGTTCGTGGCGAGGGGACGCCGTGGATGCGGCCATCTTAACGTGGGGGGTGGTGGTGGAGGGTGGCAAGAGACAACTTCTCGTCTCCAACAACACCACCACCACCACCACCGCCGCCTTACAATACTAAAACGACGTACAAGGGAACAAACCACGGCCGTCCGATCACCCTCCGATGGCCGAGGCTCTCTTAACCGAGATGGGGGGAACGCGGCTCAAAAAATGAGAGAACGCAACGCAGCCATGTTATGTTCGAGCCGGCACGCACGCATCGGCGACGCGAGTCGGAAAAAAAAAAGATATATATAGACGAAGCCACTCACCAAATAAGACGTCCCTGGGCTTCTTTTAAATCGTCTTTTCTTTTTGGGCGGAATTTTTAAACGATGTGTGGGTAACCGCTAAAGAGAAACGGGCTGGCGCTCTTGGCCATATATGTTTAAGCGGAGCGGGAAGCGGCTGACTTGGGGCGGGTCACGCAATGAGTGGGGAACCCTCCGCGGCGCCGCCTTAAATAGCGACGCGTCACCGCCAGTGACGAGCGGGAAACGAATCCGCATAATGTAGTCCCCCCCCCCACTCTTTTGGCCCCGCCCAACCCAACACGTGCCATTAATTTATATTCTTAGGGTTTTTTCGGTAAAGTCACGTAGGTAAAACATCAAAATTAATAAAAAATAAAATAAAATAAAGATCACGACGTTTCGGAGGCAACACAAGTCTCCGTCATCAGGTGGGACCGTCACAGCCAGATCAGCTGCATCAAGTGAGGCAATGATTCAAGATGTAATCCCTTAAAAGCGAGTTGAGGGGGGAGGAGAGGGGGGGGGGGGAGCTCATCAGAATGTGGTAGCCCAGCGGTCGGGAACCTATGGCTCGCGAGCCATATATGGCTCTTCCAGTGACGGCATATGGCTCCCAGACAATTTTGAGTTGAAAAAATAAATAAAAATCAGTTTGGAACTGATTTTAAAATACTTGTGATGTTGCTTAATAATACTGTGTAATTTTAAAGTAAACAGAAATTAGTTTTGAAGATAAATTTCACGGGTCACGCCTGCACGAAGCTCAACCTCACCAAGTATGTACGAGACAACAAGGCCATCAGCAAAACCATGCAGCACCAGAAGTCACATTAAAAGTAAGACATATTTAATTTATTATAAGTTAAAAATACTATATGGCTCTCCCAGTCAAAAAGGTTCCCGACCCCTGTGGTAGCCAATGAATGGAACGTATCGGGAGGGAGGGGGGCGGGGCCAATAGGGTGGGCCATTAATTGGCTACCACATTCAGATAAGCCCCTTCCCCCCCTCCCCCTTAACTTTTATTTCAGACCTATAAAGGCCGGCACGGTGGCACACGAGGGGGTGGGTGGCCAACACCACTCCCGGCCGTCTTTGTCTCCCTAGTGGTGATGTTTACACATCGCACCAGGTACTAATTTGAGGCTGAGTCGACCTAGGGGAGGCCCAGGACCGGTTCAGATAATCGTCACCGGTGTTTTTCCGTGAACGGGAATCGAATCCCGGTTCGCCAGGTTCGTAGCGCAGTGTAGCGCTACCCACTATATACACACACACACCGCTATTGCCAAATCCCGCGCCAGACACTTATACCCATGGGTGAGATATTTTATCGATGTTTAAAATATGCACGGGTGTACAGTATGGACAGAACTGTGTTCTCTTGTCTCCAGATATAAATAAAATTGTGTTTCAGGTCCTCTCGTCACATCCCATCAGCGAAGTTACGCATCCCCCCCCCCCCCACGTCGAGACCACGTGGTCTCCACACTGTTACGCGCATCTTCCTCTAGTGACGTCATTGATGACGCGCCACTCGGAAGGCAAGGACGGGCACGCGGTGGCAAGCCCGGCACGTCTTCGTCTAGACACTCTCTCGAGTTGCCGAGTCGAAGGAGCGTCTGGTTATTGTTGACAATTATTATCGTAAATTGATCAATCGCGTTAGTTGCGCGGCTCCACTAGAAGCGACGACGATGGAGCGAAAGATGAGCTCGTTGGCGTGCTCCGTTTTCAACGAGCTGCGCCTGGAGGGGAAGCTCTGCGACGCGGTGATCCACATCAAAGATCGCGAGTTCACCGTGCACAAGAACATCCTGTGCAGCTGCAGCAACTACTTCAGGTGACGGCGGGTGGAGTTCATCGCCAGGGGGATTGAGGTTCGCGCGATCTCTCGCGGGAGTGCGACGCTCAAGCTGATAGAGAGCGGGCGGTCAAATTCCTGCAGCTGTGCCTAAGCGTTAGAATCACACCCCCGCCGCGCCCGCCTTACAACAAAAACAAGCAAAAAGTCACACAAAACTTAGGCTGATTTGGTCTCGTGCTAACAAAAAAAAAACATTCAATCCCCATCATCGGTTCACCAAGTAAAATCTCCTGGGGTGATAGCGACGCTCAGCTGTTAAGAGAGCTGACGGCATCGCGAGGAGAACGCAGGTTGGAATCCAGACTCGGGTGCATTTATTTGTGAATGCTTTGCCCAGACTGTAACAAAAAAAAAAAAACACTTGGCAGTATAAATTGTCGATAGTGAGTCTCCAAAAACGTAGGCTGTCTTTGATTCCCGCTAAAAACGTACACAAATATCGAATCCCCATTAATAGTTAACCGAGTAAATCTCCTGGTGAGTGCGACGCTAAAGCCGACAGAGAGCGAGCGGCAGTGTGGTATGTGACTGTACAGTACTGCGAATCGCATTTCTTTGTCGGAGGTTCAGATGTTTTGCCCCGACTGTAAAACACTTGGTTCTCCTGAACAAGAGTTGAGTCAAGCTCTTCTGGGCAAACGAGCGTGATGATGATGTTAATAATAAGTCCGATCCTGTGCAATTTTACGGTTGTTGGAATCCGTGCAGCCTTGCTCTTGCCACGTGTGGAGTTAATACCCGCACTGACAAACGCAAAAACACCACCGCGTGAGACGTCAATCACTCCCGCCCAGGACGCGATATAGGATAGGAGAGATATCCGTTCATAGGATAGGGGACAGACGAGGGAGAGAGATGTCTTCATAACATAAATAGGAGAGAGATTGATTCAGGAGATGAATATGCGAGAGATGCATTCATAAGATCAATAGGAGGGAGATGGATTCAGGAGATGAATATGCGAGAGATGCATTCATGAGATCAATAGGAAATAGATGGATTCAGGAGATGAATATGCGAGAGATGCATTCATAAGATTAATAGGAGGGAGATTGATTCAGGAGATGAATATGCGAGAGATGCATTCATAAGATTAATAGGAGGGAGATTGATTCAGGAGATGAATATGCGAGAGATGCATTCATAAGATCAATAGGAGGGAGATTGATTCAGGAGATGAATATGCGAGAGATGAATTCATAAGATCACAAGGAAATAGATGCATTCATAAGATCAAAAGGAGAGAGTCGCACTCAGAAGGTCAATAAACTAAACAGGAGAGAGATGCATTCATACGATCAATCGGACAGAGATGCATAGGAGAGCGTTGCCGTCGCGTTGCTGATGTCGCGATGCTGCTTCTTCCCTCAGGGCGCTGTTCACGGGCAGCTGGAGCGATGCAGGGAGGCGCGAGTTCATGATCCCGGGCGTGGAACCCGAGGCGATGGAACTCATCATTGAGTACGCGTACACGCGCACCCTGCCCGTCACGTGCGCCAACGTGGAGCGGCTGCTGGTGGCCGCGGACCAGTTCAACGTGATGGGCATCGTGCGCCTGTGTTGCGCCTTCCTGCGGGAGCACATCAGCTTCGACAGCTGCGTCGAGGTCTACAGGTTCTCCGGCTTCTACGCTCTGCACGATCTCCAGCAGAGCGCATTCGCCTTCATGCTGCAAAACTTCGAGGCGCTGGCTGGTTCCAGGGAGCAATTTTGCGAGCTGACGGCGGATGAGCTGGAGCTGGTGCTGAGCCAGGATGAGCTGACTGTGCGGAGCGAGCACACCGCGTACGACGCAATCCTCACGTGGCTCTCGAGGGACGTGGAGACGCGCACGCGGGACGTGCCGCGACTCCTCGCCAAGGTGCCGACCACGCGGGAGACACACGGGCACGCTCGCAGAGACGCACGGGCACACGTGCAGAGACACGTAGATGCAGATACGAACAGAGACACGGACAGATGTGCAGAGACACAGAGGTCACACAGAGAGGCAGTTGCAGATACAGAGACACGGGCAGTTGTGCAGAGACATCGAGACTCGCGCAGAGACGCAAGCACAGAGATTCACACAGAAACAGATGTCCAAAGATATCGATAGGTGCAAAAGACAAACTACACATATATAGACACAGAGACTTACAGATACACGGACTCTCACACTAAGAATCACAAAAACACAGATATATTCACACAAAGACATACAGACACGCATACTCAGATGCATACAAGATAAAGACAGACACACACAGATACATACAGACTCACAGACTCGGACATACAGATACATATTCATACAAACACACATACAGAAACAATCAATAGGTTTTGACACACAATGTCTCATCAGCAAAGCAAGCCTGGCCGCTCATGAGAAAGTTTTTGTCGAAACTGGTCTAGAGTTTTCTTACACTGAATCTATGCTGATCAAATTATGCAATGCCAGAAGGCCGTGGGTCAGCTTTGTGTAACAAATACTTTTAATTTTTCATGTGGAGAGGCGGATATGCAAAGTAAAGATATTGTCTGCTTATCTATTTTTAAATATTTATGTATCTCAAATTTTAATGATGTAATCTTATGTTTACATGTGAAGTGCTCCTTGACCATTTTATTGTGAAGGGCGCTATATTGAATAAAGTTTGATTGACTGAAGATCATCCATCCATTTAGTCATTCATTCGTGTTTCCTTCCCCTTATAAATTGATCTCACGCGTGTGCCGCACATCCCCTTTCTGCCCCCGCAGCTGCGCTTGTCCCTCATGAGACTCGACGTCTTCCTCGGCCACCTGGACCAATTCGAGCGGATCAGGGATCACATAGACTGCCGGGAGACGATCTGTGGTGCCGTGCAGGCCCTGCTGGCGGCGGACGGGCCCGCGCTCCGGCGCCCGCGCCTGCCCTCCTCCGTGCTCTTCGCTGTGGGGGGCTGGAGCGCCAGCAGCCCCACCAATGCCGTGGAGGCGTTCGACGCGCGCTCCGACTCCTGGCGCAACGTGACCCCCGAGCACGAGTTTAGCCCCCGCGCCTACCACGGCACCGCCTTCCTGCGCCCCCACGTGTACGTGGTGGGGGGCTTCGACAGCGCGGACTACTTCAACGGCGTGCTGCGCCTCGAGCCGGCGAGCGGAGTGTGGAGACAGGTGGCCCCCATGCACGAGCGCCGCTGCTACGTGAGCGTGGCCGTGCTGGGGGGGGCGCTCTACGCCATGGGCGGCTTCGACGGCTACGCGCGCCTCAGCAGCGCCGAGCGCTACGAGCCCGAGAGCAACCAGTGGAGCGTGATCGCCGCTATGAACGCGATGCGCAGCGACGCAAGCGCCACGGCCCTGGGTGGCAGGGTGAGGAACGGCAGCCCCCTATTCTCACCCTCCACTCCCATCCTACACTCTCACCCTCCACACTCACATTCTCCTCTCACACGTTCTACTCTCAGTTCCGCTCTCACCCTCCACTCTCACCCACCACTCTCGCGCTCCGCTCTCACGGTCCGCTGTCACCCTCCTCTCTCACACTCAACCCTCACACTCCACTCTCACACGTCACTCTCACACTCCTCTGTCACCTTCATACACTCCACTTTCCCAGTCAACTCTCACACTCCACTCTCACTTTCCACTCTCAACCTTTACCCCGACCTTCCACTCATGCTTCACTCCAAACACTCCACTCTCATCCCCTACGCACAACCTCCACTCTCACACTCCAACAGAGTGGAACAACTGGATGTCCAAAATAAACACCTCATTGAGACCCAAAAATCACACCTCCTGGCTTTGACTTCCCCCCCCCCCTGATGTAACCATTAACTGCATCAGAACACCAACAAGCAGATGCACACATCTCCTTCATGACTGGAAAATTAAAGATGCAAGCCAGTGTTGCGATTGTGGCCACGCAACACAAAGTATGGACAATTAGTGAACTACTTTAGTCTACTATCCATCAACAGAGGAGGAATAGCAAAACCACACAAAACGTTATCTTGAAAGCCCTCTCATCGTGGCTTGCAGACCTCGACATTGACGTTTAGCTTCTGAACACATTGCTGGATTCATTAGCAAGAATACTAGAATCTGGAGTTGTTGGTAACACCGATGCGTACATGTGTGTGCGTGACTACAGGTTTACATCTGTGGGGGATTCAATGGCAACGAATGCCTCTTCACGGCTGAGCACTACTGCCCCGAGACCAACGCATGGACCCTCTTCTCCCCCATGAATGTGCGGCGCAGCGGCATCGGAGTGATCGCCTGCGCAGACCGCGTGTGCGCTGTGAGTAGACCGGACCGCAAGATGCCACGGGACGCTTATGAGGACGGCAGGGTGGAGGCAGTGCCTGGGTTTCGATTCCCGACTCGGGCACATTTTGTGCGTGGAGTTTGTACGTCCTGCCCCTGCTCTGCATGGGTTTCCTCCGGGTGATCCGGTTTCCTTCCATAGCTTAAATAAATACTCCATGAAATGTAATTGGTTTTGGCCTCACATCCCAATGTTGAAAAATTACTCAATTGAGATTACAACGCAACTTCGCCCCCCACCCCCGCGTGCCCATGAAAACTTGGCAGGACCCTCCTGAAACAGTCTTATAACACAGCGAGGCTTTCCTTGGTAAACAAGCATAATAAGAACAGTCTGTTAGGGCTACAGGGTAATCTTTGTGCGTGCGTGTTTGTGTACATATATGTCTCTTTGTGCAAATATGTTTGCATGTGTGTATATATATGATTATCTGAACCAGTCCTGGTTACTCCCCTATATCTACTCAGCCTCAAAAAAGTACTTGGCGCGTTGTTTAAACATCACTACTGGGGAGACAAAGGTGGGCTGGGAGTAACCACCCACCCCCTCATGGTGTCGTGCTGTCTTTCATAGGTGCTCGCTAAAAGCACTTGCCCAAAAAGTCTGGTCAGGCGACACAGGTGATCTTTGTATCCGTACGTCACATATCTATTATGGAGAATCTATGTATATATATATCACTCACTTGCTGTGTGGCTGTGTGCCTGTGCGTGGGGGGGGGGGGACGGACCAGGTGGGTGGATTCGACGGCACAAACCGCTTGCGCAGCGCCGAGGAGTACACCCCGGCCACCGACTCGTGGAGCCCGCTGCCGGAGATGAACCAACCACGCAGCAACTTTGGCATCGAGGTCGTGGACGGCGTCGTCTACGCCGTGGGCGGCTTCAACGGCTTCACCACCACCTTCAACTCGGAGTGCTACGATCGTGACGAGGACCGCTGGTTCGACGTCAGCGACATGAGCATTTACCGCAGCGCGCTCAGCTGCTGCGTGGTGCAGGGGCTGCCCAACGTGCGCGACTTTGTGGCCCCCCGCGACGAGGCGGCCCCCCACAACGCCGCCTCTTAGATGTCACCCCGGACTAAACACGAAGCAGCTGCACAATACAAAAGCAACATTTATGACGAGGGGAATTGACGTTTTTATAAATACACTCTCGTATTTACTACTCTCGAGTGTCAGTGGTCCAATTTGTCTGTTGCTTCACTGTCGGCTGGTGTTTGTGCTATGTAATTGCGTCGGACTCACGGGATAACATAGCCATTATGTCATAACATATCTCGGTAACATATCCGAATTAGGGCAGCAGGGTGGGAGTGGTGGGAGTAATAATGCCTCAGCAAGAATCGCCAGGGTCTGATTCCCTTCTCGGATACATTCTTGGACTTTGATGAATGTTCCCCACCACTGTTCTACAGTTGTCTCATGAAGAGCCTTTTGCCATGCAAATCAAGCGCATCCGAATAAGCACAGACAATCTAATCGCACCTCCGAATTGCACGGTTGGCTAAGTACGGTGCAAAAGAAGTTCAACATACATACTGTACATACAACACAAACACATTGCTTTTAAGATTGGGACACTGTAAACACAACAGCAGGTGCGACGTTCCTACATTCAGAATAAACTATTGGCATTAAAATGTATTGCAGCAGTAAACTACAGAGGGAATTAGACATCACTGTTTAATTCATTATCGTTTTCTCAATTAGGTTCTGAATACTTGACCAGTATAAACTACCTTGATAATTCGACACTGCGTGGCCCTATGGTGATGCAGTCAAAGCTAACAATCTAATTACCATCAGATGATGCACGTACAATAGTAACTTTTTTTTATAATGGTCTTAAGCAAATTAGTGATACAAGGGATGCAATGGAATGGTAAGGTGTAATTTTTCCTGCAAGTGATAACCTTATCACCTTTATTTTTATCAAGAGCCTTTTGCCATACAAATGCAAGCAAATCAAACGCATTTGAGCAAGCACACACATTGCACGCGCAACATAACAAATCTGAATTTTAAGATTGGAACATTGTAATGGCAACAATTTAAATAATAAAATGACAACATATGAATAAATGCACAACAGCTGTTACAATCGTAGCAACATAATATCAAGTGTAAATTATTTTACATGTTTTACCATTGATTTGAATGTTGCCGAGATTTTAACAATGGTGTTTTGTATACCAGTGTTAGCATGACCATGGTGAGGCATTTCAACTGGCAATACTGGATCTTTCACATTTCGAGCTCTGAAGCGTTTTAACAAAAAAGTATGTTCATTATCCCCAACGCAAGTACCACAGAGGGGCCTTTGCTGGATTATGCGGTGGTTAAATGGACTGACATGACGATGCAGTGCCCATAACCATAGTGCAAACGTTACACAGAAATTGGGATCCCTAATTAAAACTATGCTCTTTAAAGCAGGTGTATCATGTATGTTAAGCCTCAAAGCTTGCCTCTGTATGCGTTATAGTTTTGAATCCCCGCTCTGCATACAGGCTTTAGAATTCTGACAAGCCCAGTCGTGAGAGCTGTACCGAGAAGAAAAAAAATCCCAAACTTAAAAAGCAATATCAAACTACAACACAAGAAAATTCAACTTAAAAATCTAATCGGCCCAAAGAATCAAACCCCGTGCCACAAGTATGCTTAAAAGCACAAATAAAATTTCAACCACACCGCAGGTAAATTAAATTCTACATTAAGACGTTAATATTTTGGTGTTCACTAGCAGACGCACAGCGTGACAACTGTTTTACAGATTTAGATGAACAAATCGAGATGGAAATTAATATCACTCCCGAGGAGTTCAAATCAGTGAGACCCAGGGCCACCGAGGTTCCTGGAGACAGCACGCTACGTGGGGCCCACTCATTCCACATCCACAGGCCTGTCGTGGGGCCCTCGTGTCTGAAGTCTGGGGCTATCTTTTGCGGCCTAGGGCAAATTTTCTTTCCCCCTCCACGAGGCCCTGAAAAGACCTCGGGAGTCAACCAACACCATGAAATGCTTCTGCATGACATATGCACTTTGTGGCAACAGTTTTCCATTCTCTAGTCCGCCTCAGTATTTCATCCTCTGCAGCAAGTTGCGCTCAACACGCTTAAAAACAAAATCAAGTGCAGCAATGCAACGTGCACAAGATGCATGTATTGTAGCAACATGGATTCGTATTTTAGTTGTCATCTGCGTTTCCGAGCTGCTTAACCTGAAGCTAACAAAATTCAGTCCGGCACAGGTCAGACTCCCATTTCATAACATTTGGTGGAACTCCACAATACACAACTACCAAAATACCCACAACCACTACAATAGAACCTCAGTATTTTACAACACATTTCTATTTGTATTTGTTCAATTATAGGTAATGAAAAGTGTGGAATTTATTACCTGCTTACGAAAAATGCACACATCAAGCTGTTGTTACATGCATCAATTTGAGGTTTTCATTTAAAATGCTTATAAAACTAAATGGTTAAACTCCGTTTGAACCGAGGCTCTACTGTAGTAGCGGTTTTGGGATATCTTTCACGCGTTGCATAAATCCCAGTTCCATGTGCAAACAGATGAGATGTGGCGTCCAGTTTGATTGCATTTCAATGTTAAATCCTTTAGTGCAGACTGGTGTTCAATAAATTACACCAGCATTTCACTTTAATGTTGGGACCTGCAATCTGGGTCCCTAAAGTTAGTTGGAATGGAGCAGAGGGGCAAAGTATTGCCCTTAGGTTGGGTCAAAACAATATCTGTGCTGCCCAATGTACTTTTGAAAGTCTGCACATGGAAACATGGCTTTACTGGCCTAAAACACTCACCCATCTTATTTAATAAGGGAGGAGTGAAACTCAGTGTGCACACAAAAACGTGGAAACAAAGGGATGCACTGGGAAGGCAGGGTTGATCAGTACGAGGCGGCGAGGGAAAGTCTTAACACTCCAGACTGACCGCACTGCACAAAGAATGCTGTCACGTTGGCTATGGGAAGGCCCTTACAGCAGCTTCCAATGTTTGACATTTGGAGCAAATCAAATTAAAAAGTTGTGCTGCTCCGATCTCAACTGGCTCAACACGCACACACGCATACAACGTGAACCCATCGCGTACAGAACTCTGCGCCACGCTCCAGAGCTCGCCCACAATTAGAGCAATCGATAGGTTTAAGTGTGAGTGCGGAGAGGCTTTAATCAGGGAGGTAGGGCTTGAGGTGGTCATCCACACTGCCCACTCCCCAGTGGGTGAGCTGGTCTTGCGGCAAGTACAGGCAGATGCTGCACAGCTTGAACACGGACGTAGTCATGCCCTTCTGACTCTGGAATTGACGCACACGAAACCACGGTACAGAAAGTCAAGAGTTGCAGAGGGTGCTTGGGCAAACCCTGACACTCTTGCATTTTCAGCTTACTCAATGTTCGAAGACTATTCCCGATGTCATCGGACTTGCTGAAGATTAAATGTGTTGCAATGTAACATACACAGTCCAGATAAACTTGTACTCATGAAAATATCCAGGCAGATAAATGTTCTTTAGGCATCAGTGTGCGTTATCCTTGGACACACTTGGAGCTGCCAGAGATTTTCACTGGGTAAAAATAATCCGTCTGCTCAGCACCCCATGGTCAGTTAGCTAATTTTAGTCTGCACACAGACAGAGAGGCGTCATATTTAGTGCTAATGTGAGATAGGGTACTCAATGTGTAGCGACAGCTAAAGTTCCACACATACTGTATATTAATACATTGTGGACTGCCTTCAGTGTCCTTTAATTGTTACAAAAATTTATTCCACGTAATTTATGTTCAGAATATAGAGGTGGCTGTTTATTGAACTGGTTTAAACAAATTATTTGGTCAGGATGGCCAAATGGCTCAGTGGTCAGAGCACTGAGCTAGCAGTGCTGATTAAACCCGGTTATCAAATGCAGTCCCCGTTGACGTTTTCAGCCAGGTCATCAGTGGCTTCATCAACAAAATTCAACTCAATTGGGAAATACCAGTTTGACTGCTATATGCCAAACATATCTCTGTGGAGGGCACGAGAGTACATGCGAAAGGTCACTTTAAGGGCCCTCTGATGCAGGACCGTGATCTTCTTCTGCGTGCCATTCTCAAACACTGACAATTCCAAATTGATATTCCGTCTCATGACCTGATGTGATAGCACAATTAGAATAAAACCGCCATTAGCGCAAAATCATAAACAAATTAAATAATAGTTCCCACTCACTGGGAGTCCGTGCCGGCGCACGAACAAGAACATAGACTCCGTGTCATTGTTGACAACGAGACCCGCCTTGTCCTTTTGGCCAAGCAACCGCACCAGCTGCTGTTCGTAGTCCTGGTAGTCAAACTCAAACTCGGCCTGCACATCAAGTACAGAATTAAGCATTCTCAGCGGAAGCATAACACACACAAAATACAAAGGATAATCTCTGTATTCTGTGGATTATAAGATCAGGAAAGTAAGACAAACTGTAAACTTGTGCCCAGTGCCAATAAAGCAATAAAAAGCTGGTCACTAACACACTTTAAAGGTTTGCTTTAGAGTACATTGACCAAAATACAACTTCAAATCTTAATACAGTAATAATACCTTTGGAAGCAACAGCATTCTGAATGTCATGATTAAAATATCTGAAATAACCAAAAGATTACACTTTTTAAAATGTTGGATTAGTTGACCAACCTTTTGAAGCAACATTTCAAGGTCCCTCAAACGAAAAGACTGATTGTCACCCTCACCTCGACATGAAGTATTTTATCAGTATCTAGTAGACATGACAAAGCCACCAATGATTACTGTTAGCAAATGTAACCCCATATTACTAATTGCAGAAAGCTCTATCTTGCTTGAGATTAGATGTGTGGTATGATGGACTCACTTGAATAAGCTTATATGGATCGTCTGAGCCCTTCCAGCGAGAAAAGAGGAGGCAAACCACCTTCTCTATGTCCTTGCGTGGCCATAGAAAGAAATCCATATCCTGCACATTGCCGATCACATCCTGCAAATGGAACAACATAATAACAATGCCAAAATCACTCCAGTTAGGTCAGACACTTGACCGCTTTGTTAGTGCGGATTGGTGAAAATGGCAGAAGACCAATATAGATAAGGCTTATTTACACATGTCATTGGATATTTTGAAAGTTTTTTTATTCCTTTTTAAGCAATATTCATTGTTTATCTTGTTTTCATTACATTCTGGCATTTTTTGTGAAAATAATTGTTTTTGCTCTTGTTAGGACATTCCCACGCTGCAATGTCCTGGAACTGCCACCACTGCCGATGGTCTTGGGCTGTGGTTTTCCTTGTAAAAACAGTTAAGCTCAATGGGCCTTACCAGCTGAAATAAAGTCTGAGTCTGGATAACCCTCGCTGCTCGTGTTAGCCCTGGCCAGCAAGATAACTCAGATCACCGGGTTCATTGGAGGGTACACCAACCACTGCACCACTGTTCCACCTTTTAAAATTCAGAATGGCCATTGAAACACAGAAAAGGTTACTGACAAAAACTATGGTTATAGAATACAGTAGATGGAAAGTGATGAAAAATGTCCGCAAAAATAAGCAACACAATTACTAAAGTTGCTTTTGACTACATCAGTTTATGCAAGACTACAAGAGGGCTATTGTAGTTTTGCAGTGTGTACCAGATAGTTTCTGATTTGAGATGAACCATCATGTTTAGGAGCATAAAACTTTAGTTCAGATTTGCAGAATAAGAGGTTAGGTAGGAACTATGTACATCAGCAGTTCTCCTGCTGTTTGTTTCACCTCATGACGGTTGCTTGTGTTGCGATCGAAACGTCGTCGTGATCTATTCATTTTCTATCTACGTGACTTTACCGAAAGAACAAAAGAGTATGTAATGAAGCCAAGTACAAAACAGATGTACAAATAAACGCAGGTACATGTATATTCGTACAGAGAAACGTTGTTTGAGAAAGGGCAAGGTACACTTCCCATAATGAAATCCGAATAGTACTTATAAATACCTTGTGGTGAGGCCACGCATTAACATGCACCTTTGTATTATTTGGATATCTAAACAATTTAGGGCCCACCTTTACAAGTGACTGATAAAATCAGAATCAGTTTTGCTCGTCCGAAAAAGAACCACTCTAGTATCCAATTAGTGCGGCTAAGATGGTTGCAGTAAAGGATAAATATCACTTGCGCAACCAAACAATGTGCTTATCAGAAGAAAACCATGGATCATCTCCTGAGATGCCCTGCAGCTCCACAATGCGCTCCTAAAGATGTGGCAATGCCAACACCAGAAGCAGTGGCCTGTGCAGAATTTTGAGAAAAACTCTATAGATTGGACAGGACATGAAGAAGACTTACGGGCCATTTAGAACTGTTGGACCTCATGAGGCTTCTTGTCCCTATGAAAGTCATGGGCCACATTCCACCTGCGGATCCTTAACCTTCCTACCGTTTTTGATAAACACCGAGGTGAATTTACACATTACATAGAAATATTAAACAAGCTGTTGCACACACAGCTGTACATCAAGGTGACACTTTGGACGTACACGTCGCAGTGACTGATAGCGCGGTGCGTGTAGCTGCACCACATCCTTGCTCAGCAGCTCTAGGGAGCTCTGCAGCGAGTAGTCGGCCTGTCGCACACCCTTCAAGATCAGCTCCTCATAGTTGTTGGTCATCACCGGCATCACTTCGCCGGCCTCAAACAGCGCCGGCCTCTTCCTCTGTAGAGCACAACAGAAAAAGATGCACAGGAAATGTTTAATTGGGCATGCATGGTTAAGAAAGCCAGTATAAAATTGGGTTTTGCTTTGAGGTGTCCTTAATAACTAATGTTTTAATGTACTGTATTCGCCATAGCGGATCTACATCCAAAATAATGAACAAATACCCATTGGCAAAACAGAAGTTCAGCCTTGGAGTAAAAAGCGCCATTTGCTTTATACGAAGCAGTAAAGTCATGTTTTGCTTCCAAGATAAGACTAGCTGTTGCCTTTGACCGATACTACGTCTTTATAAGTAACCAGTTTTGTAAAGTACAACGTTGCCTATCATACTCGCTTGAATTGGGAAATCTATAGAAAAGTACGGTTTACATTTAGTCCAAATAGATCACTGGTCAAGTGGAAACTGCTTTAAAAAATGACATGCTTTACCGTACTGTAGAAATCATGAGATAAAAAATACATCACTGTATGCGAAAAGGTGAGATTTGTGACTGCTGATATAAAATTACAATTTACACCATGCTACCAATAAAACTGCAGAGGTCGTGGGCAGTTAATCGCTCTGGGCGTATACGTGTCACATACGCCGCGTTGTTCTTGCACGTTCCAGTATTCACAAAGCATTCCTCTTTCCCACAAGGCTGGGGGGCACCCTGCGGGCAGGTGAATTCGCACCTTATCTCTGAATACGAAGGCGATGTACATCTTGAAGTCAAATTGGTCGGCGAGAGATTCCCTCTTGCGCCTCAGCTGTGACCGCAAGCGACCGAGAGCGTGGTGGCGGCGGGACTGTGGGTCACCCATTGCTGCCCGCCCCCGTCGAAGTTGCCCTCCTCTGTCTTATAATTCTTCACTCTTGTTTTTTTATATTTTGCGTTCCCTCCCTCAGCGCCCTTCCTCTTGTCTGTGGCCCTGTCCTGTCATATGGCGAAGGGGCCCTCGATTCTTATTTTGCTCTTCCGTTTTCGATGGAGAAAATAAAAGTCGCCCTCTTTTTGATGGTCAACCCCTCTCACTCACTAACGCCCCCCCCCCCCGCCGCTATGTATTTGTGTTTGTGAATTCACCAAACAGAGCAGGCGCAAGGAAAGTGTGTGCAGTGGGTGACTTTTTAAAAGTTGGGGAGCACTGCACTTTGCTTGATTAAACCCCTCCAGCAAAGAATCGCATAGCAGAAGCAGTGCGACCCAGATGTTTGGCAGCGCCAATACATGTCACCTGCATCTCACCCCCTACCCCCCACCACGATATAATGTGTGTGTGTGGGCCAACCGCCCAGGGTTAAGGCCACATGCGAATGACAACAGCACAGTCGTTACATGTACCACGTACAGGACCGACCCAAAAAAAATCGGTGGAATGAACCACACAACGACGGACCGACCTGACAATCAAAAAAAACCCAACCCGCCCCCCCTAAATGAAACGCCAATTCGCACAAAATACAAAGCCCAAAAACCCAACAACAAAAATGAGCACGCAGCACGGATGGTTATGTATAGATGAGTGAGGGGTTGACACTTTATCCATTGGCACCGGTCGAAATCTGAGGGGGAGATGGGCCACATGGGCCGAGGCCCTGCCCACGGCAACCCATGCTGCTCAACAACAAATGCCCTTCCCGTACGAGACCCGTCGTCGCTTCCTGTTTACTCCACTCGATCGCCGCTTTGCGCCACCCTCAACGACACGAGAGACGGCTCCACAAGCCCCGCTGCCTAAGTTCACCCTCGCCCGCACATCACATAGTTATGGGTTGACGGTGATTATGGGTGGGTGGGGGGGGGAAGAGGAGGGAGTATGGGGGAGAGGCCGGGGGAGCCGGCTAAACCCCGCCGGCGAGAGGCTCCATTCCACCGGCTGTCTCGCTAGGCAAGCCCGAGGCTTCGGTTACCGCCGTAAAGCGCGCGCTAGGCCCGACTATCTGCCCCCCCACCCCGCCCGCCCGCTAATGCTTGACGCGACGTTGCGATTCTTATTTTTTATGTTTTGAGTTTAAATTAGCGGTTTCTTCGCGGGGCGAAGGATCCTCCGGCGAGCGTGTCATAAGCCGCGACGGCATGCCGGCTGCCTGGCTCTGTGCTTGTCGTAGCAAAGGGAGCCGTGTTCGTCCATGGCTGATGAGCTCGCTGGGCGCGCCGCGTCCTCTCGCTTCCTCCTCCTCGCTCCACGCTCCTCCTCTTCCTCCAGACTCCTCCTCTTCCGCCTCTTCCTCCTCCTCCTCCCCCCCCAGACGACTCAAAGCTCCACCTCCTCCTCCAGACTCCGCCTCTTCCTCCTCCTCCTCCCCCCCCCAGACGACTCAAAGCGCCACCTACTCCTCCAGACTCCTGCAGACTCCTCCTCTTCCGCCTCTTCCTCCTCCTCCTCCTCCCCCCCAGACGACTCAAAGCTCCACCTCCTCCTCCTCCAGACTCCTCCAAACTCCTCCTCTTCCGCCTCTTCCTCCTCCTCCTCCCCCCCAGACGACTCAAAGCTCCACCTCCTCCTCCTCCAGACTCCTCCTCTTCCGCCTCTTCCTCCTCCTCCCCCCAGACGACTCAAAGCTCCACCTCCTCCTCCAGATTCCTCCAGACTCCTCCTCTTCCGCCTCTTCCTCCTCCCCCAGACGACTCAAAGCTCCACCTCCTCCTCCTCCAGACTCCTCCTCTTCCGCCTCTTCCTCCTCCTCCCCCCAGACGACTCAAAGCTCCACCTCCTCCTCCAGATTCCTCCAGACTCCTCCTCTTCCGCCTCTTCCTCCTCCCCCAGACGACTCAAAGCTCCACCTCCTCCTCCTTCAGACTCCTCCTCTTCCGCCTCTTCCTCCTCCATCCCCCCCAGACGACTCAAAGCTCCACCTCCTCCTTCAGACTCCTCCAGACTCCTCCTCTTCCGCCTCTTCCTCCTCCCCCAGACGACTCAAAGCTCCACCTCCTCCTCCTCCAGACTCCTCCTCTTCCGCCTCTTCCTCCTCCCTCCCCAGACGACTCAAAGCTCCTCCTCCTTCAGACTCCTCCTCTTCCGCCTCTTCCTCCTCCTCCCCCCCCAGACGACTCAAAGCTCCACCTACTCCTCCTCCAGACTCCTCCTCTTCCTCCTCCTCCCCCCAGACGACTCAAAGCACCACCTACTCCATGCACCACCTCCTCAAAGCTCCACCTACTCAAAACTCCACTTCCTCCATGCTCCACCTCCTCTAAAATCCACCTCTTCAATGCTCCACCTCCTCAAAGCTCCACCTTCTCCATGCTCCACCTCCTCAAAACTCTACCTCTATAATCCACCTCAATCCTCCACATCCTCCATGCTTCACCTCCTGAAAGCTCCACCTCCTCAATTATCCACCTCTTCTTAAATCCACCTCCTCAATTCTCCACCGTCCTCTATAATCCACCTCCTCCATGCTCCACCTCTTCAAAGCTCCACCTCCTCAAATCTTCACCTCCCCCATGCTCCATCGCCTCTACGATCCACCTCTTCAATCCACTACCTCAGTGATTCTTGACCGTTACTGCAGCCTGCACTGCTTTGATTCTCAGAAAGGGCATCTCCCACCCCCAGGGGGTGCGTGCACCCCAGGTTAAGAACCACTCCTCTACCTCCTGCATGCTCCACCTCATCAATCCTCCACCTCCTCCATGCTCCACCTCCTCTTTCTTTTAAACCCCCGCCCACTTCTCCAGGCCCAGCCTCCTGCCGTCTTCAGAATCAGAATATCGATTTATACTGGAGGGATCCGATGAGCTATAAAGCTCTTTTTTTCACAGATGTCCAGTAGGGGCGGGTCAGGATCCGCCTCCCTCGTTCCTTTTCCAGACTCCACCAAGCTCTCCAGACAAATAAAACCATGCATCCTTCATATATCTGTCTACACACACACAAAAAAAACCTCCAAAAGTATTTCTTTCACAAGCCATATGCCATACGGCCTTCTGGCAGTGCATCATTTTCTTCTCCAGGTGGTAGTGTAGCCCATGAGCAGCAGATGGCAGTCTATTAACAGCAGAAGGGGCAGTGCAGCAGCAAAGGGCAGTGCAAAATCCAGACCAATTATTCTTTGGTTCTTTCGGTAAAGTCACGTATAAAGATAAAATAATGAATTAAATTAAATACTAGCATACGACGTTTCGATTGCAACACAAGCAATCATCATCAGGTATAAATTAAATAGAAACACAAATCTAGTATACTTAGAAATGTAATGTAATACAACAGAGAGTCGGATAACATAACAGTCAACACCCTATCTGGTTGATTACGTTATTTTTATTATTTTATCTTTATACGTGACTTTACCGAAAGAACCAAAGAATAATTCCTGCAGTCACGAAAGCTCCAAATTAAATCCAGACCAAGGTGGTGAATTTTAGTTTCAAAAAACCTCCATTTATAAACATGCGTTTAGATTATTTACATTATTTTTCTGTTATACACTTCCACATGATAAGCCACTTTGTTTAGCTATCACGTGTGGCCAGGTCGCTTCTGAAAAAGAAGCGACTAGCTCCGTGGGCTTTACCTGGTAAGATGAAAAATAGTTTAGTTTTATTTGAATGTTTTTTTAAAGCTATTTGTTTACCTTTCCTATACTTCGCACTCCTACCGTGTTTTTGTATTGTTTGTTGATGTAACGTTCTGACCTACCCCAACTGGACATCTGTGAAAAACAACTTCATAGCTCATTGGATTCCTCCAGTATAAATATTCTGATTCTGGGTGGACAAAACGGGCCGTTCGTTCTGTACGGATCGTTAGCAAAGTGCGGTCCATTCTCGCCGCCGTAAAAGGAGAAGCTTACATAAATCAGCATACATCTAAAATGTGTTCTTGGACGCAATGGTGAGCGTAATGGTGAACGTAAATATCGATGTTTATCGATCAATAATTGAATGTTTTCAGTGCGTTACCGTATTCTCTGGATTATAAGACGCTCCGCAAAGTAGGACGCGCCTCCAACGTTGTTTTTTCCCTTGTGTCAATACATTTATACAAATCTGATCGCACGTTTACACACCTAACGGATCACACGACGGAACACCCAACGTTTGTCTGAATAAAAACCGTTGAGAAACAAGGTGCGTCTTATATTGAGTTAAAATACACGTCCACATATCATGCCTTAATGATAACCCTATTTGTATACGTCTTAACAAACGTTCCAAAACTGTCAACGCAGTATAGAAACAAGCATTATTTTGAGCCTTTCTCAATTCACGTAGGTCACAGTCTATTTTTAAACCATACTTCATTGCGGATTAGTGAATGGGTTGCCGGAGTCAAGGGCCGGTTTGGATGTCACTACAAAGCGCGCCACTGATGTTGGCTGTAGCCGGGAATTGAAATCGGGTGGCTCGTGTTCAAAGTGCAGTGCCCGCTAACCACTGCTCCATCCAAATAAAAATCACAGTATTTCACTAGAGTACAATTACGACAGGGCACGTGCTTCCCTGCTTTGACATGTAACGATGCAAGTGGAATTTCAAAAGACTCGGCACCGCAATCTCCGGATTTTTTAAAGCGCGTGTTTGTCTGTGACAAGATTTGTGGAACTTTATGCACACCGGGCGCACACAATTATGGGTTGCGTCTTATAATCTGGTAGGTGGGTATACCGATGACGATTATCTGAACCGGTCATAGGCCTCCCCTAGGTCGACTCAGCCTCAAATGAGTACCTGGTGCGATGTGTAAACATCGTCACTGGGAGAGACAAAGTCGGCCGGTCGTGGTGATGGCCACCTACCCCCTCGTGTGCCGTGCCGGCCTTCATTGATGCTCGCTAACAACACTTGCCCCTACATTGTGCTTAAGGCTATATGGGGGATCTTTGTCTTCGTGAGATCCAAGATACCTGTGACTTTATTAACACCCGGCACAATATTGGGGTGCGTCGTATAATCCGGTAGGTGTTATGCGTGCATGTCTTTGTGACGTCACAGGTCGCGTAACTTTATTGGTAACATTCGTGATGCGTCTTAGAGTGCGGCATGTGTGAAATCCCAGAATATAACACGCGCAACTGTATTGACACCGGGGCACGGATTATTGTGTAAGTGCGTGTGTGTGCGTCTTTATTTTTTGCGAATCGTCTTATAACCGACGACGGCGGTGATGATGACGACGGCGGTGATCATGACGACGACGGTAATGATGACGACGACGGTGATGATGACGACGACGGTGATGACGACGACGGCGGTGATGACGACGACGACGGTGATGATGTCGACGGCGTTGATGATGCCGCTGATGACGACGACGGCGGTGATGACGACGACGGCGGTGATGATGACGACGACGGTGATGATGACGACGGCGGTGATGACGACGACGGCGGTGATGACGACGACGGCGGTGATGATGACGCTGATGATGACGACGGCGGTGATGATGACGCTGATGATGACGACAATGGTGATGATGACGACGACGGTGATGATGACGACGGCGGTGATGATGACGACGACGGCGGTGATGACGACGGCGGTGATGATGACGACGGCGGTGATGATGACGCTGATGATGATAACGATGATGATGACGACGGCGGTGATGATGACGCTGATGATGACGACGGCGGTGATGATGACGATCATGATGACGACGGTGAACATTGGACCGACCCGCAGCAGGGAAGCTCCAGGCTCCACCGCGGTGGGAGCCGCTCCGTGCCGGGTGTTGACGCTCACACGGCGGAAGCAGCAGCAGCAGCGGCAGGGAGGGAGGGAAGGGGAGGAGGGGCGGAGGCTTCCATGGCAGAGTTGAGAGGTGAGAAGAGCGGTGAGAGCGGTGATTTTTTTTTCTGCGCGTAATCCACCTTCGCTCGCGTGCGCGTACTCACTACTGTACTCAAAAGTGCCCCACGTCACAGCCGCAGTACACACTGAGTACAGGCAGCAGTCACTGTACTCTGCCGTCATCACAATCACAACCGCAGTATACTGAGTAGAGGCAGCACACGCACAGAACTCCACCATACCAACGTCACATCCACATCCACAGCACACTGAGTACAGGCAGCAGGCATGGTGCTCTGCTGTCCCCACGTGACATCCACAGCACACTGAGTACAGACAGCAGCCACGATGCTCTGCTGTCCCCACGTGACATCCACCGCACACTGAGTACAGACAGCAGGCATAGTACTCTGCTGTCCCCACGATACATCCACAGCACACTGAGTACAGGCAGCAGGCATGGTGCTCTGCTGTCCCCACGTGACATCCACAGCACACTGAGTACAGACAGCAGGCACGATGCTCTGCTGTCCCCACGTGACATCCACAGCACATTGACTACAGACAGCAGGCACGATGCTCTGCTGTCCCCACGTGACATCCACCGCACACTGAGTACAGACAGCAGGCATAGTACTCTGCTGTCCCCACGATACATCCACAGCACACTGAGTACAGGCAGCAGGCATGGTGCTCTGCTGTCCCCACGTGACATCCACAGCACACTGAGTACAGACAGCAGGCACAGTACTCTGCTGTCCCCACGTGACATCCACAGCACACTGAGTACAGACAGCAGGCACGGTGCTCTGCTGTCCCCACGTGACATCCACCGCACACTGAGTACAGACAGCAGGCACGATGCTCTGCTGTCCCCACGTGACATCCACAGCACACTGAGTACAGACAGCAGGCACGATGCTCTGCTGTCCCCACGTGACATCCACAGCACACTGAGTACAGACAGCAGGCACGGTGCTCTGCCGTCCCCACGTGACATCCACAGCACACTGAGTACAGACAGCAGGCACGATGCTCTGCGTCCCCACGTGACATCCACCGCACACTGAGTACAGGCAGCAGGCACGATGCTCTGCGTCCCCACGTGACATCCACAGCACACTGAGTACAGGCAGCAGGCACGATGCTCTGCTGTCCCCACGTGACATCCACAGCACACTGAGTACAGACAGCAGGCACGGTACTCTGCTGTCCCCACGTGACATCCACAGCACACTGAGTACAGGCAGCAGGCACGATGCTCTGCTGTCCCCACGTGACATCCACCGCACACTGAGTACAGACAGCAGGCATAGTACTCTGCTGTCCCCACGACACATCCACAGCACACTGAGTACAGGCAGCAGGCATGGTGCTCTGCTGTCCCCACGTGACATCCACAGCACACTGAGTACAGACAGCAGGCACGATGCTCTGCTGTCCCCACGTGACATCCACAGCACACTGAGTACAGACAGCAGGCACGATGCTCTGCTGTCCCCACGTGACATCCACAGCACACTGAGTACAGACAGCAGGCACGGTGCTCTGCTGTCCCCACGTGACATCCACAGCACACTGAGTACAGACAGCAGGCACGATGCTCTGCGTCCCCACGTGACATCCACAGCACACTGAGTACAGACAGCAGGCACGGTGCTCTGCTGTCCCCACGTGACATCCACAGCACACTGAGTACAGACAGCAGGCACGATGCTCTGCGTCCCCACGTGACATCCACAGCACACTGAGTACAGGCAGCAGGCACGATGCTCTGCTGTCCCCACGTGACATCCACAGCACACTGAGTACAGACAGCAGGCACGATGCTCTGCGTCCCCACGTGACATCCACAGCACACTGAGTACAGGCAGCAGGCACGATGCTCTGCGTCCCCACGTGACATCCACAGCACACTGAGTACAGGCAGCAGGCACGATGCTCTGCTGTCCCCACGTGACATCCACAGCACACTGAGTACAGACAGCAGGCACGGTACTCTGCTGTCCCCACGTGACATCCACAGCACACTGAGTACAGGCAGCAGGCACGGTGCTCTGCTGTCCCCACGTGACATCCACAGCACACTGAGTACAGACAGCAGGCATGGTGCTCTGCTGTCACCACGTGACATCCACAGCACACTGAGTACAGACAGCAGGCACGATGCTCTGCTGTCCCCACGTGACATCCACAGCACACTGAGTACAGACAGCAGGCACGGTGCACTGCTGTCCCTACGTGACATCCACAGCACACTGAGTACAGACAGCAGGCACGATGCTCTGCTGTCCCCACGTGACATCCACAGCACACTGAGTACAGACAGCAGGCACAGTACTCTGATGTCCCCACGTGACATCCACAGCACACTGAGTACAGGCAGCAGGCACAGTACTCTGCTGTCCCCACGTGACATCCACAGCACACTGAGTACAGACAGCAGGCATGGTGCTCTGCTGTCACCACGTGACATCCACAGCACACTGAGTACAGACAGCAGGCATGGTGCTCTGCTGTCACCACGTGACATCCACAGCACACTGAGTACAGACAGCAGGCACGGTGCACTGCTGTCTCCACGTGACATCCACAGCACACTGAGTACAGGCAGCAGGCATGGTGCACTGCTGTCACCACGTGACATCCACAGCACACTGAGTACAGACAGCAGGCACAGTACTCTGCTGTCCCCACGTGACATCCACAGCACACTGAGTACAGACAGCAGGCACAGTACTCTGATGTCCCCACGTGACATCCACAGCACACTGAGTACAGACAGCAGGCACAGTACTCTGCCGTCCCCACGTGACATCCACAGCACACTGAGTACAGACAGCAGCCACGATGCTCTGCTGTCCCCACGTGACATCCACCGCACACTGAGTACAGACAGCAGGCATAGTACTCTGCTGTCATCACGTGACATCCACAGCACACTGAGTACAGACAGCAGGCACAGTTCTCTGCTGTCCCCACGTGACATCCACAGCACACTGAGTACAGACAGCAGGCACGATGCTCTGCTGTCCCCACGTGACATCCACAGCACACTGAGTACTGGCAGCAGGCATGGTGCACTGCTGTCCCCACGTGACATCCACAGCACACTGAGTACAGGCAGCACACGCACAGAACTCCACCATACCAACGTCACAACCACAACTGCAGTATATTGCGTATAGGCAGCACGCACATTACCATACCCACATAATCACGACTCAATATACTGAGTACAGGCACACAGAGTACTCTACCATCTCCAAGTCATATCCACAACCACAGTACACTGACTGTATCTGCTCCCCCCCTTGTCTTCGGTTTGCTCCCCCCCCCCCCTCTATATAGGAGATCACGGTACGGAATCGCCGACCGGTCACACAGAGGACGAGCCAAGTCCAGTGTCGTCGTCCGCACCAGCCATGGAGACGGAAGCGCCGCCCACTCCTCCCAAGAAGAAGAGCAAGCGGATGCAGAAGTACCGCGACGTGTGGGAAGAGGAGTACCCGTGGCTCGGCAAAGTCCACGGCGATTGCTTCAGAGCGAGGTGCAAGATCTGCCGAAAGGACATCTCGGTGTGCCACGGCGGGGCCTACGATCTGAAGCAGCACGCGGCTGGGGAGATGCACATCCGCAACATGCAAAGATCCGAGCGTAAAGTCGCACGGCCCAAGCTTGCGAAGGTTGCTGTCGACAAATCTCTAGAAGCAGATAAGGTACACGCCTTTGTAACCCCGCTCCCTTTAGCACTCTGCCCAATGGCAAGCCTTTGGCTCGGACTCCTTCAATCTTTGTCCGACCATCTGGAGCTTTCTTCCTTCGAGTTGTCAAGCGGCATCTCTCTTGTTCTGCCTCTTGGCCTCTTTCCTAAGGCCCTTACGAAACTTGCTTCATCAAGCCTCCACATCTGAGAATATTCCCAATCCACATCGATGGACTTGTCTGGATCATCGCAGAGTGCATCATCACACATCCTCATACATCCTCATAATCATCAGCATCATCGCTAGCATCTGACCTTCCAGATCTTCCTTCATCAATCTTTCACCTCTAAGAATGTGTCCAAGCCACACCAACTTATGTTCTCCCATTCGGTGCCATACCCTCATCACGACCCCTTAATACCTATGAACAAAATCACCCGCAATGTGTCACCAATCTCGTCAGATCTCAGAAGCTAAGCAAATATTGAGCCTGACTAGTGATTGTAGACTGTTGCAGAAATTATGTTGTTCGTAGGATGCAGTATAGCAAAACACATTGTTGTACTGGTCTATGCTCCCCACCTTCACCGACTTGCACTGACCAGCTTGGTGAATATGGTTAAAGAACCCCCATAAGGTGGACTGTGTGGGGAGGCCCTAATGCAGTAGTGGATTGACAATGTGCTGAACACATGTGCTCGTACATAAAGCAGAAAACTTAAAAACATGGGTGTGTGCCGACATACAATCTCACACATTTGGGTAAACAAAAATAAATCAGCAAAAAAAAGCCTAATCTCAGAAACGTTTTTGAATCTATAATTTAAAAAAAGTGTAATTTAATCCTTGTTTATTTTTCCTTCTCCAAGGTCACTGCGGCTGAGCTGGCAAACGTGTATCACACCGTTCGACACAACCTGAGTTATAACAGCATGGGTTGTGGCATCAAGTTTGGCGATTTGTGCACAAGCAAGAAGATTTCGTGCGGCAGGACAAAGGCCGAGAGTCTCGTGAAAGACGTCCTAGCTCCTAAAGCTGTGAGTCACATTTTAAACGCCCTATGCAGGGAAGGGCAACATCCATTTCCATTTGCAATTCAGACGGACGCCGCGAGCAAAGGAAATCGCAAATCGTTTCCCATAGCCGTCCAGTTCTTCACCCCTCAGCATGGCATGGTAAACAGAATGATCGACTTCATAGAAAATCCAGACACATCGACCGCAAGTGTGAAAAACTCTATTACAACATCGCTCGGCAATTTGGGGCTGTCTGTAGACTTGGTCTCGGCTTTTAGTGCAGATATGACTAACTTTAATTCTGCGGTTCATCATTCCCTGTTCACGGATCTGCATAGGAACCACGAGCATCTGCTACAAGTAAACTGCCACGCTCACATCGTGCACAACGCCATTAGACACGCCATGGATGAACTTTCCGTGGACATTGAAAACGTAATTTACAAGGTATGCGGTTTCTTTGCGGTGTGCGCAACACGGTCAGAGTCGTTGAAGGATTTTTTTGATTTTCTGGATACGCAGTGGAGAGAAATACTCCGGAATTCCACAAACAAGTGGGTTTGCCTGAATCCTGCCATATCAAAAACATTACAAAACTGGCCGGCCATCAAGTCAGAGTTAAACGGCATTGGTGAGGAATGTCCCAAGCAGATTCGGAAGGTCCTGCACCCTCCAACAAATGGAGACGCGGTTGAGGCCGACGACAGGCAAGACTCAGTGGAAGTGTATCTTCTCTTTTGTAACAACACTCTCGGCGTCTTTGAAGACGTCGTCAAGAAACTTGAGAGATGTGACGTCACAATCCTGGAAATTTACCAGTTAATGACCAGCCTAAAAGGAAAACTCAACCAAAGGATGGAAGATGAACTGTATGGTTACATAACCAAGAGGAAGTTGGCCGGGCTGCCCCCATTGGAAGCAGTCAGGGCCAGAAGTGAATTTAAGGCCTTCCTAAACTGCGCCGTCGCTCATCTTCAGAAATGGTTTTGGTTTTCCGAGGAAAATTGGCTTTCTTCTCTGCAGCCACTCGCCCTGCATGGTGCTTACGAACTGTCCTTTGCCGATCTGGGCGAGGTTGCTCGTCGCCTCAGTCTGATCGAGAGGCTGCAGTTGGACATGGACGCGCTCTTTCTCGAGTTTACAGCGTTCAAGGCGGTTCTCGACGAGCTCCAGAAAACCAAGGAATGGAAGTTGAAGAGCACCTCGAGCAAGTGGCAAAGCATATTTCAAACGGCCGGCGCCGACGCACTTCCAAACTTGCTCTCTTTGCTGTCGTTCCTGCTGAGCGTGCCCGCGACCACGGGATACGTCGAGCGCATACTGCCTCTGATTCACAGCAAGTGGAATGACATCCGTAACAGGTGTTCGATAGAGCTGATCAAGAGTGAACTTCTTGTGACGCTGAACTTTGACATGGGGTGCGCTGACTTTCACGCGATGATTCTCAAAGACAAGGCTTTTCTCACAGTGGCGAAGAGCGACCAGAAGTATTCGTTCAAGAGGGCCAAGCCAAGTCAATGTTGAGGTACATCAAAAAAATAATACTCTGGATTGCCTATCAACACCAATGATCAAATTTACACAGTACATTGGCAGCAAGCGTAATGCTTCACCGCCATTGTGATGTTTTTTACATTGTCGTGAAAGTAGTGGCGGTGGAGCGGTGGCACAGTGGTTAGCACACTACGCTGAACCTGAGCTCGATTTCCAGCCATGGCCAACATCGGTGGCGAGCGTCATCTGAACTGGTTCTGGTCTCCCATTCACAAACCCACACCGACCAGTACGGTTATGTACGGTTACACAAACCCATTGGGTAGGTCTTCATCTAGCGGTGGATTGTCAAAGGACCGTAAGTGAATGTAGTGGGCACTAGCAGCAGCAGAGATGACGTCAACTCGTTACATACACCATATATGAATTTAAAAACATCAGTTCTCACCCATGGCAGCTCAGCGCTTCTGACCTCCGAGCCACCCAGACACCTGGCCCATGTTTGATTTTTTTTTTATCAGAGGCCAAATAAGTGCTACTGTGCATTGCTTATTCAACTAGTTTAGTCTGAACTATGGTCGTGGAAAATATGGTCGTGAAAACCAAGGAATAGAAAATCCACGACTGGCAGAATTAGGAAGGAACAGATTCAACGTGTACAGACGTGTTCATTTCTGAGCAAGTGATGCTTGCCTCTGGCAGTGTTATTGATAAACGGTGTATCATATAAAAGCGACCAAAATAACATTGGTTTTCTTTCCCTCAGCGGTCTTCAGTATTCCGGTCGCCACTTTCATCAGTGGCAAATCAAAGGAAGGTCCGGAATGTGACTACGGAAAACCTGACCAAACCGTAGAGAACTACTGCAAACTTCTGGAATTCAAACTTGATTTGAAGCTTTCGTGACTGCAGGAATTACTCTTTGGTTCTTTCGGTAAAGTCACGTAGAAAGAAAATAAATTAAGTAATAGAATACGACATTTCTATTGCAACACAAGCAGTCGTCATCACGTAGAACTAAATTTGAGAGAGAGACAAAACACAGACACGGAGACACACAGACACACAAGCAGAGAGACAACACAGAGACACACAGAGAGAGACACACTGTGTCTATGTTGTGTGTCTCTCTCTGTGTGTCTCTGTGTTTTGTCTCTCTCAAATTTAGTTGAACCTGATGACGATTGCTTGTGTTGCAATCGAAACGTCGTATTCTATTATTAAATTTATTTTATTTATGGAATTCAATGGGGCCGCAGCGGCAATTCATTTCGCATCACCCGAAGTCATCGTTTGGCTTTCAAACGTGGATATATATATCTATTAGGTTGTTATTAATTTAGCCATACGCAATAATGTCGGTGTGGATTCTCCATTCTTCTCTCGTTGACACATCTGTGTCGCTGAGAGTGAAGGAGCGATGTGCGGCGGTGCGTTCTCAGTTGAAATGATGACACTTTCACTTTGCTACACTACCTGACACGACCCTTAGAGTAAACTCCACGCTGGTTCTCATCACTGATGGGAAAGCAAGAATGTGTGCGTGTTTTTAGATTTTATAATCTGGTGGAAGTACCGTCGTTGAACGACATACACCCCCCACCACCACCACGAGCCCCAATACCCTCCCCACTAACCCAAATACCCGTCCCCACTAGCCCCAACACCCCCCCACTAACCCATATACCGCTCCCCACTAGCCCCCCCCCACTACTAGCCCCAACACCCCCCCCCACTAACCCAAATACCCCTCCCACTAGCCTCAACACCCCCCCACTAACCCATATACCGCTCCCCACTAGCCCCCCCCCCCCACTACTAGCCCCAACACCCCCCCCACTAACCCAAATACCCCTCCCACTAGCCTCAACACCCCCCCACTAACCCATATACCGCTCCCCACTAGCCCCAACCCCCCCACCACCACTAGCCCCAACACCCCCCACTAACCCAAATACCCCTCCCCTCTAGCCCCAACACCCCCCCCCCCCCCACTAGCGCCAACACCCCCCCCCCCCCACTAGCCCCAACACCCCCCCACTAACCCAAATACCCCTCCCTACTAGCCCCAACACCCCCCTCCCCCCCCACTAGCGCCAACACCCCCCCCCCCCCCCACTAGCCCCAACACCCCCCCCCCCCACTAGCCCCAATACCCCACCTCCCCCCGGGTTTCCCCCCTCCCCAACCCGCCCCTCGCGTTTGACAACCCCGTGCCAGGTGTTATAGGCTGCGGCGCTACGTTGTGGTGGGCAGTCGAGGGCAGTGCAGTAAAAGCCATTGTTCTGTGCTCCCACAGCTATGCAACCCCGCCGTGACCGCCCTGCACTGACCGACACGGTGAAGCGTGGTCAAATAATGCCCCCACCCCACACGATCCACAACAGCGTGAGAGGGGAGGGGGGCCCTCATCCAGCGGTAGACAACACGGCTGCACGTGCATAAAAAGTATGCATGCACCAAAGCAACACGTTTTCCTACACTACTTTAAAACTGTACAGATGATAAATATTCAACTGCGCATCTATTTTGCCGACACTTGGCTAAATTTATTTTTTTGTACGATAAAATATTTCGCTTCCGTAAGGAATGTATATTCAATATTGATGCTGCCCTGGAATGTCTTTTAGTGTTTTAAGTTATTTCTTTCAATTTGTGTTTTAACCAATTCATCATTTAGTTGAAGATGTGTTGTGATCCACTACATTTTGACGGTGTTTATTTTTCGCACATATACTGTGTATAAACATGACCCTTGTCCCTTGGAATCTATCATATACCAGGTCTCATTGTATAGCTTTACATGTCTCCGTAGATTGCCACATGGACAATAAAAAAATGATAATTTAAACCTTAATGCACAATTTTGAAAATATGTATTTTTTTTGTGTTCCGATTGTGTCATTTGAGTGATGTTAGTCACGAGATGAACTATCCATTCACATACCGTGTCAATCCATACGGTTTACCCGTATTCTTGTACAGGGAAATCGAGTTTTAAGATAAATACGGTGTACAACCGTTTCAACACGGGTAAAAAAAATGTCTATTTGTTTGTGTTTCTCCCTTGTGATGGGACTTTGTAGGATGAACGTTGAGATGTACAAGGGCACGGGGGTGACTGATAAGGTCTGAATTTGTCTAATAAGGTAGGAGGCACCGACATGTTGAGAGGTGTGAATTCAAAACTCTCACATGGCAGTGCCATAACCCCTGAACAGCCTCTTAGGCCACATATCCTGCTCCAGATAAATGCCCATCGCATGGAAATAAAACCTTGGCAAAACATTTTTTTTTTAATACAACATTCTGAGATTTGTGATTTAGTCAGTAAAATAACTGCACAATCCAGTGGAATTTGTATTTATGAACACCTGATATAAGCACAGTTCTGATATAAGCAACACACTGGTGGCAGGGAACTTTAGCCTTGCTGCCAATGCCAAGTGTGCTTGTATCCAGCTTTAATTGTACACAGTCATGTTGATCTGAAAACTCAAATATGTAACCCCTCATTTGCAGTTCTAGTCTTTCCTCCTGAGTAACTGCTGAAACCGTATTTAATATCATGTGTCCCAAACCACTTGCGCGCATTCCCATCCTGATTCAAATCATCTGATCAATCCCTGGGACTTATTCCCTCCGAGTGATAAAAGCATGCAGGTTGCACTTGAATTCATGCAAAAATAAACCCACGCAGTTACCTACGACGAAGTATAAAATCACACGGTATTTTATCACAGATGATTCGGGAACAAACAAAAAACCGGTTGCGCTGGTTGGGACGTGTCCAGGATTTTTGGGATGGCCGATCGCCGAGATTGGAAGTGGAGTGGTCTCCCTGAGACCGGCGACCAAAGGGAAGACGTAAGAGGCAGATGGGTGGGAACCAGTCAAGGCAGATCCTGGTGGTCACCCCCGTGTCGACTGTGCAGCAGTTGTGGGATCTGGCGGAAGGAGGCCAAGGAGCGCTGGCGAGGCGAAGTGGCATCAACAGCTTTGGACCGCAATTACGCTTCGATCTTTAATCACAATCTTTATTTAAACTTGCGAAATCCGATTAGTGATGCCAGCAATCTTGAGATGGTTACAATCTTTTAAAATGTGAAATGTGTATTATGGTATAGTCAAATATGAATGAAGAAACCCACTCGCATGAATAATTGTATTGGCTTTTAACTGAACATTACACATTAGGCAATGCTTTTTCAAGAGATAATCATTGCTTTCCAACAAATTGCACACTTTTTTTTATCAGCTCAGTAATGTATTATCATACCGGTCTGTTTTAATGTTCACTTTGTCTACGTAATTATGTTGACATGTACTGCTCAGCTACACGCTTGTTGCTCAAACTAAATCAAATTATGTCACCTGTTTGTGGTTTGAACAGTTGGCAAACCCATGCCCTTGTTTATTTTTGCGTCCCATACATTGATCTATTATACATCCCTAATTTTAACGTTATATTCCCACTTAATCGTAGATTAAATAGCACACCATATTTTAAGCATCTCGGAATCATAATATGTTCTTTTATTATTAATCAACGTACGAATACCAAGCTGCATTTCTAACCGTAAAGATCTGGGCTGTTATGCCATCCCAGATAAAATAAGCGGACTGCTTAAAAACGTATATGACGGAACTCAGGCCTGTGCATGGACAGAATGCGCGACACCAGCATGTGGTTTGATGCATATGACAGGTGTTCGGGACATTTGAATTTCTCCCACATTGAATGTTGTGCTTGACTGTCTCAATCACTAACACTGTGAATGGGATTAGCACAGTAAAGAACAACCAGTTATCAACAGTACAGATGAGATGAATGTGCGGGACATGGAGTATGCAGGGGACGCAGCTTTGTTGGCGAGGACTTTGTTTGGAGCCGTGCAGTTGTTGGCGGTCTTAGGAACTGACGACTTGAGATCAACTTTATTCACACAAAGTTAGACACAGGGCTGTTGTGGTGGGATCGCAAGTCCCGATAGGAAATGGTTAAGGTGGGTAATGCAGGTGGCTGTGAGAAGGATGCCAAGTAGGGCAGATTTTTTTCATGGACTCTAGAAAGCACACTTTGGATGAGATGTTATGTATGTATGTTGAACTTATTTCGCATCGTACATCGCCAACCTTGCTCATCGGAGGTGCGGGAGATAGGAAAACAAACAACTCAAAAAAGCAGTTCTAAAGAAATGAGTTTTCAATATAGATTTAAAAATGCATAGCTCCAGTGGCTTCCTAATATCGGGTGCTATTAGTTTAATGAAAAGGCTATTTGAGATGCGAGTGCTGTGAAAGCTAAAAAAAATAGTTGGTATTTGGGCACACGTGTCTGAAATAAATAAAACAAATGTGTAGCAAGACAGGAGGCCATGCCAGGTAAGTATTGTAGATATGATGAGGCAACCAAAGATTGCACTGGGTGGGCCCACGTGTGTGCAAGATGTAAGGAGGGCTGACTACTAAGACAGGCATTGCAATGGTCGACTCCACACGTTCGGCGAAGATGGTGGGATAATTGTTAGGGCAGATCTCTTGGGAGGTCCCAGCTGCAGGATCTAGGATTGGGTAATACGAAAGCATTGGCGAGGCACGGTGGCATCAACGGCTCTGACCACGATGACATTGATTCATTCTATGGAGGGTAAGGTAGGAGGGGTAAGAAACCCAAGTAGGGTAAAAGGCCACGTGTTGTCCTGGTGCTGCCAGGTTATTAGGTTGAGGTGCAGATTGGCGCACTCGTTGAGAGGTTACCTGCTGCGCGTCTTTTGCAACGACGGAGAACCACACGTGAATGCCAGGACCAAAAAGGCATTTTACCCCACGTATGCCTCTTACTCCACTCTATGACAGTCAGCAACTAATCTGTGAAAGTCTGGAGAACGCCTCCTAGACCGCTCCGCAGACTTCAATGAACGAGTCATTCAATTGCCTGCGATATGTAGTTTAAGTGACGGTCTAATTTATGAAAATGTTAAATAACCTGTGACCTTTTAATTCAGCTTATCGGCTCCAACACTACTGATCCATTATATTATTTACAACGGCAGCAATGTGTGTGTAGAGGATGCCTCACCCATCCTAACACACTCGCAACCACGCAAACAACACGCACACCTTCCGCACTCGACATCACACGCCACACACACATCAAGCACGGGTTGATGCACGTGGGAAGGGTCGGAGGTCAGGGGTAACTCACGTCATGCCACACACGCGGCACGCTCGGGCAAGGGAATAGAGATCAGGGGTGTGAGCACTGACGTGCACGACGCGCAATCCGATGGGTAGGGTGGATGACACGCTGATGGGATTGGTGAGCAGAGCGGATCTTGGAAGAGGGGGATATGGGAGAAGGGTCATTGGTGGAGAAGGGCGGAGAAGACATTTAAAAGGGACTGTGGAACGAGGGAATTGGGGTTGGTTTGATGATTAGTGTTGCTGCGGTGTACGAGCGGTGACAACGAAACAGAGAAGTTGACATACACCAGTCCAAGCCTCCTCTTCAGGTGCAGCAATCCCCATTTCCAAATCCTACTACGAATAGGCGTGTGGCATTGTGGAGTTGGGAGCCTTGTGGGGTTGTCGATAAGTCATTGAATCTCCACGAACATCTTCACTGTCTTGTTTAAACTGGCAAGTGGCGATGGCCAGGTGAGCTGATGACAGGTGAGCAGTGTAAGGTGAGTGGGTGAACATCCGATAAGGGTTTAAGTGTCAGGTGAGTATGGGGACCTCATTTGCCAGTAAAAATATGATAATTGGTTCTTTACCCTTCTATCTGGCAACAAAACTGACACCTTTTTTGCAAGGAGTCATGTTTGCATAGACCGCAATACCTGCAGTCATAATACAAACAAAAGAACATAACTCTGATAATGTGCACTGTCCCTGAAGTTGATTGGTCCACACCCGAGACAGCTTTCCTTCGAGCCTAGTCTCATATGGGTTGGACCAGATGACACCAAAAGGCGCATCTGGTCCAACCCATATGAGACTAGGCTCGAAGGAAAGCTGTCTCGGGTGTGGACCAATCAACTTCAGGGACAGTGCACATTATCAGAGTTATGTTCTTTTGTTTGTATTATGACTGCAGGTATTGCGGTCTATGCAAACATGACTCCTTGCAAAAAGGTGTCAGTTTTGTTGCCAGATAGAAGGGTAAAGAACCAATTATCATGTCAGGTGAGTGTCATTGTAACCCCATTGATTCGACCGCCTGCCCTCTGAGTTCCTTATAAATGAACACAAACTTTACTAAGGATAGTATTCATTGTATAATCAAATTGCACGATACATAAAATGCAATATATATTTTTAAAGATATGTTATTTTTTTAAATTCAGACTGCAATAACTAATGATATCAATTGTGTTTCATGCGTACATATGGTATATGCTCTGCAGAGTGCATACAATCCATATATCTCATAAGTCCCAGTCCACGTGTTTGTGGAAGAAAGGAAGCTTCTGTGAATGTGGATGAAACAGTGCACAAGAGGACACGAGTGCTCGTGCATGAATGCTCAAAATCCTAATCTGCGTCGTGTTCACGTCAGCCAGGGGTGGGGAAGCTTTTTTTACTGATCGAGTGCCGAATAGGACTTGCAAACAAACACCTTTGGTGGGCAACCAACCACACATTAACACGAGACAAAGATCCCCTGTATAAATCATAACACGACAACTGGGGCAAGGGCTGTTAGCGAGCACCTTTTGTCGGCTGTCACGGCACACGAGGAGGCGATGTTCACACACTGCACCAAGGTAGTCATTTGAGGCCGAGTCGATCTCGGGGAGGCCCATGACTAGATCAGATAATCATCGCCGGTGTTGGCCATGAGCAGGAATTGAACTCGTGTCGACGGGTTCGTAGCCACCGCTCCCCATAACACACACCTCAAGTCTCTTCTGTCACTGCAAGAGGCCCCCTGAGATGATTTTAGAATATCGTTAAAGAAAAATACGGCGTTGTTGCCAGATTTTAAAACATTCCCCTCTAACACCCAAAATGTGCATTTAAGATGCTCGCAGGGACCAAAAAAATATATCAGTCCTGGGCCCTTGCGATGTGGTTCGCTGCATGTGGCCACTGACCATGTGGATTGAAGTTCCGTCGGCTTCCCCACCCCTGATGCTAAAGCACTTACAGGTACAAATGACACGTTTGATTCACACAGTATCTCAATGCATCTCGAGATAATCCAAAAACTCAACGCATTGCATCAATAACACTTCCATTCTTCACAATGCATAGAGAGGTTTCACTATGTGCTGTGATGAATGGCCACTGCCCGAATTGTCGCCTATTGTACACTTTTTCGTTTTAGAGCACAGTGTTTCCGACGAATGCGACGAGTTTTCGTTGTTGTTGCTGTTATTTGTGCTTGCGCACCAACTGCCTATACGCAGCATCGGCATCGCCAAAGGCTTCTCAAGATGCTCCAACATTGGAATCAAGAGATGATGGGTGCCCGCTGCATTAATTATGAGTAGTTAAAAAAGCCTCACAAACATGTCGATGTAACGGCATGCAAGCATTACATCACTAAGAAAAACCGTCGATCGTAAAGATACATTCAGTTGTCAAAGCATGCCTCCGTTCGATGACCATATCACACACCCCCTCTGCTCCGATAACTGAAAAATGTGGAAACTAAAAGAATGAAGTTGATAGTGTGTAGTTGCGGAGTAAAGCACAGCGAATAGCAAAGAGGCTTGGAATGTCTGCGTGGCAGCATTGCTTCCGCAGCATCACATCATGGGTGGTTTGCCGTTTTCTTGCATCTTTCCTGTGAACACGCGCGTGCACACCACACACATAGCACTTATATGGGCGCTGCAACCAATACTAAACTATATGTTTTTATTTTACCAGGTAAGACCCACTGAGCTATGTAGCTCTTTTTCAGACCCGACCTGGTCACAAAATGATAGCTCAGCAAAGTGGCTTAAAAAATGTATAGTAGCCAATTTAAACTAAATTACACGCAAGCATGGGGAGAACATGCAAACTCCAAATATACATAATAAAGATTTTTGGGTTAGATCGCGTTATTTATAAATGTGTCGCAACCCTCCACCACCCGACACGGCCAATCAGTAAAAATGTGTGTCACGTTGACAAAAGACAAATAGTTCCAAATATACAAGTGTCGGGGTCAGGATCGAAACCACGTCCTCCTGTACCCCAGGTGAGGTAGTTAACATCTTACCAGCGTGGAGCCACAGCGCCCCACTAATATGTGTGTGACAATGCACTGATCCTTAACCTGGCGATACATGCATTGCACCATGCATGTATAAATTGGTCATTCACGATTCATGTACACTGAAACTTTTTTTGTCCAATTATCCGCTCTTCCTATATACACAACCCTGTAATAAATTTGCGGAAAAATTACATTCGCCTTTCGATTCTTCCGAATATCCACACTTATCCACAGATAAGGAGAGTGACCCAGATGTGGTGGAAAATTCGTCATTCTATGTGCAGATAGGAAGAGTTGCGGTCGGATAAATACACATAAGAGGATTTACACGTAATCATAATTTACATTTATTTTTGAGGCGCCTTGCACTAATGTCTCAAGGCACCTGGTTTATACATACACGTGGTGAATGTATAAACCATCTGAGATTGATCGCCGACGGAGTTATAACAACCAGCGGTGAAGGACTAGAGGTGATTGAAAAACGTAACTAAATGCGGCAACAAAGTGGAGCTAATGATACATATGAGCAAAAACAATATTCATAAGTAACAAGTTGGTGGAATCCATAATTGCTCTTTGGGTCAGATCGTGTGAAGATATTTATGGATCACCCCAAAGAAAACCCCTCCGATAAATGTGGGGCTCGGTATTCGCTGCTCATTGCAGAGATGTGTGGTTCGAGCCAAGTGGCCGCCCCAGTTAACACTGTCGGTGTGCTAACCATAGACACGTGCCAGCTGCTTGACAGTGGATGTTTGAGATCCCGTGATGTTATTCTAAAAAGAGTAAGCCATGTGCGCTGGCATCGTGGTCCAATTTTTGCAAAACTTGATCAAATTACTCGCAAATTACTTTATCGCCAAGAGCCACTTAGCAACATTGGCTCGTTACAAGCGGACTAATAGCAATTAGTCCGTTTGCTTTGTGCCACAGGGACGGATGCCAGCGAGAGTTCCTTAAGATAGGTTGCAGTGGCACAGCATTAGAATGGTTGAGATGGGATGTGATGTGCTTTGGGTTGCGAGGTATTTAAGCCAGCGCCCAAAAACTCTCCGTGTAATTATCAAATCCTGATCTGAAGCCTTACTTTTTTTGTGACAGCAGAAGCCTCCAGCGCCCACGGCTATGAACACCAATGCCCCGAGGATGCCGCCCACGATGATCGACGCAACATTCTTGGCAAGCGAGACACGCTCCTCCTCCACCGAGAAGGGGTTGGTACTCACCTGGTACTGGGTGTTCTGGTTGATAATAAACTGCATCACAAAGCCAGCGCCTATGGGGTGATTGACAGGAGGGAGCAAAGGGGTAAGGGTTGAGGAATAGCGGTTGGGGAGCGGTGAGAATAACGGTGAAGGAATAGTGTAGGTTCTTGCGGTTGCGCTGTATTATGTATGTTGAACTCTTTTCGCACTGTACGGAGCCAACTGTGCCAATCGGAGGTGCAGTAGGACAACAAACTACACGCAAAAAGCAGTTCTAAAGAAATTAGTTTTCAATCTAGATTTTAAAGTGCATAGCTCCAGTCACTTCTTAATATCGGAAGAGCGTTCCAGACGGCTGCAAAAGCTCATCTGAAAGCACGTGACGCGGGAGCTGTGTTCGAACTAAAAGCCGCCGCTACGAGGATGACCGAAGTTTGCATGGATGGGTTATGTTCCTTTCCGAGAACAGCAAGGTATTGTGGTTCATTTGTAGGAAGCACTTTGTGTCTAATGAGTGCAACCTTGTAAAAGTTTTCCTGCAGTCTTTTCAGGCATTGATCGCCGTATTGTACAACTTTTAGCTCTACGTGCTGAACTATTCAGTGCCTGCAGAAGCTCCCACGATGTGGATACCACGCCATACACAGCGCGGTAACAATCCAAAGACACATTGGGGTGCTAATATTAATAGAAATGATAAATTAATGAATACTCTACAGCCCTTTTGTCAATCCACTACCGCAAGTAGTTACTTGCCTGCAAAAGGTATTTCAAAGTCCTGTTCGGTTATCAATGAGCATAAATGTTCTCTTCCCCTGCCCTACATTCTCTTGCAAGCGCAGCGAGATGTTATCTCCCTTGCCTGGGATGCAAGAGGTCGTTGGTTCAATCTCGATCCTGACGCCTGTATATTTGGGGTTTGCACTGTTCTCCCCATGGTTGCATAGATTTCTCTCAAGATCCACCGGTTTTTCCCTTCGCATTTAGAAACATGCGCTTATATTATTTGGCTGCTATAAATATCCACATGATAAGCCACTTCATTGAGCTATTATTTGTGGCCAGGTCGCTTCTCAAAAAGAGATAGAAACCCCAGTGGACTTTACCTGGTAAATATTTTGGTTTTGTTTTAAACGTTCTCTACCCCCTGCCCTATTATATTCTCTTGCAGACTGAATGGGGCTTTGTGTTTGCATAAGCGGCTGCAATAGAGGACTCGTGCCTGTGCTTGTGATCTGCAGGTCAGTGTAGTTTCCCCAGCAGCCTTTGAAGTTGATGGTCGGGTGACCACGGAGTAGTTCTGCCGGCTTTCCCTTGGCATCCTTGAGAATGACGCTGAGTGTCCAGGATGTCCCGCCCACGTTCACGCACAAGCTCTAGGGTGCGTGGGGCGTGGGGAGGAGGGGTTGACGGTTGGAAGAAGCAAAATAAGAATCTTTATTTAGACTGGAGGAATCGGATGAGCTATGATGCTCCTTTTCACAGATGTCCATTTGGGGCAGGTGTCGGTAATTTACAACAACAAACGATACAAAGAAAAAAACGACAGGAGTGCAAAATAGCGAAAAAGGTAAGCAAATTACGGAATATAAATTGATAAATAAAAACATCAAGTATATAAGCCAGATTTTTCAACATTAAATGCAAGCTTGTACTTTTGTGCATTAACTCGAGCTGTAAAAATAAATCTGATTCTGTATTCCACAATCGTGCACATGACATGCACTTTTCCTTTTTTTTTAAATGTACCCATCTTTTTTGTCTGATTGTAATTTCAGCTTAATATCGTAACATGAAGAATCCACTTCTAGAATTTAAAACATAGTTTTTTCGTAGCCAATGCAATGACCCATGTTTTTATTGTGGGTTTAGCCTCATGGTAGTGTATGCCAAAGTTCTTGTCATTAAGTCACAGGTGAGCTTTATGGATCAGAATTTAAAACATTTGTATCTCTCACAGAGCAGTGCAACCATTTGTGATAGAGAAGAGGCCACGGAAGTGAATATCACAGATCTATCTCAGAGATGCCTTCTTCAAGTGACCTTTGGTCTACACAGTAGAGGGCAGCACTTTTCCACCCACTGTGCATATAAAAGTAATGTTTGTCGCACGACAGTGAAACTGATATTTACATTTCACAGAGCTAAAATTTCGCCAAATTAAGTGCAGAACCAATATTTTTACATGATGTGTTTGTGCAGTTATTGGTGAATGAGCGGAGGATCATTGGCCAAACTGGACCTGAGGACCCAGTTTAATCTGGATTCAAAGCCAGGACCTCAGCGGTGCCAGCTCAGCACTCTGACCTCCGACCCACCAAGGCCTCCTCTTTGAAAAGAGAGACAAGCGCTTATTATGGAGCCGTACGTTTTTGTCGATGGCCTGGACCATGACCAAGAAAGACTTCCCGGCGAGCATCTTCTTTGGGAACGAGAAGATCCTGAGGCCGTAGAGGGATGACATGTACGGCGACTCAAAAATCACGTCCGTATATGTGACCTATACAGTGGTGGAGGGGCGGTGGAAATAAGTACACCTCGGGGTTAGATTCTCTTGAAAACGGTGGGGCATGATTGCCCATTTGCTTCAAATGTGAGATGTTTCTGCTGAAGAAAGATTATACAACTTAATTTTGTGGCGGACAAACATAACCTAATCAGCACGTACACAAGCTCAGACACTTAGGTTCTTAGGGCGCCAAGGTGGTATACAGGAGGTCGTAGGTTCGACCCGACCATGACACCTGCTGTATACTTGTAGTTTGCATGTTTTCCCCGTGGTCGGGTGTATTTTTCTCCGGGTCCTCCGGTTTTTCCCTCCACATTTAGAATCAACGTGCATTTAGAGTATTTGGCTGCTATAAATTTCCACTTGATAAGCCACTTCGTTGAGCTATCATTTGTGGCCAAGTCACTTCTGAAAAAGAGCTATATAGCTCAGTGTGCCTGACCTTGAATAAAAATAATAATAAAAAATGCAACTCTTTCATGAAATCATGGCGCTTCTACATAATCGACCAATGAGCTTGTCAGGCGAAGCAAACCATGGATAATCTCCTGAGATGCCCTGCAGCACCACAATGCACTTCTCAAGATTTTGCAATGCCAACACCAGAAGCGGAGGCCTTGCAGAATATTGATAAAAGACCATATAGGTTGGACAGGAGACTCGGCGAAGAAGAAGACCTGGTTTAACAAATATACAGTTTATAGTTTAGTTTTATAGTCGTGTTTTTTTTAGCTACCTCAGTCCATTCTGAAGAGCCCACAGCAGGCAGGGGATCAACCACGCTTATGTTGGAGAGGTCAAAGCCGAGGTCAGCCGACAGTTGCCCACTCAGCACACTGGCCGTAAGCTTGTCTCTGAGATTTCTGGAGAGGATGTACGCATCGAAATCTATCGCAGACAACATCCGGGGGACAAGAAAGAACAAAGTCAAAATCAATACAGTGGGTCCTTCAGTTAACAGTGGCATCGGTTAGCGGCTTTTCGGTTAACGTTTCGCCTCCCATAAGACCCCCGTGGTTTTTGACGTACGTTAAAGTTTTTATTAACACGATGTTTACGTTATGCACGTGGGCGGCAATTTCGGCCAATCCGAGCACTCGTAAGTGGGGCTGAGCATGCCTCTGCCAATCAGCGACGGATATTTATGAGTGTTTAGAACTCGACTGGCTTTGTTTACATTGTTTTCTGTTTTGGCAGTGGAAACAGCTCTCTTGCAGAGTCTGTGATTTTTACTTATTTTGAAACTTAGAAGTGAAGTCAATTAACAGTTATTTCGGTTAACAGTAGTTTTCGTGGAACGAATTAAAAACGTTAACCGAGGGACTAATGTATCGTGTTTTTGATCCATGGTTTCATTTCCAGCAGTGATTGCGCTCAGCATAAGCAAACTATATGTGAGGTTCTACAGCCTTGTTTAATCATTTAACTTTTCCACTTTATTGTAAGAAAATTAAGTAAAAGCTTCGGGCCACAAGCATCCCAAGGGGCCCCGGATTCATGAAACATGAGTCCATTAAATATCGGCTCAAATTGAAATCCAAATACAAATTTCAAACATAGAATTTAAAAAAGCCATTGAATCTCTTTTCTTCCATCTCACAAAACTTAAAATGTTTCTAAATTGATCTCATATTACAACATCTCGATCTCGTCTATTTCTCTTCTGTCATCGCACTCCAGGTTTATAAATTGAAATAGGAGGAGCGGCTAAAATAATTTCCACTCAGGGCCTCCTATTTATGGGCCAGCACCACCACCGACTTACAGTGAAGCTTTTATATCACCGACCATCTGAGAGAGCAAATCGCAAATACCTGAAAATCACGTCCGTGCAGAGAATCTGTAAGTCAAGTGTGACATCATTTACCTGATATAGTATACAACGGATACCCAAGTCGTATACCTGAGACGGTGAATATCACGAAGACATCATGCGAACATTACCATTTTGGTGCCAATGATGATGATGACGATGATAGAAGTGGTAGAACATATGATGATGATAGCAATGGCATGGCGCATGATAATGGGAGTGGTAATAGCTGTTTATGTGGATGATGATTGATGGCAGTCGTGTAAATAATGATTATGATGGTTATGTTTAGCATTGTAGTCAGTATGCAGGGTGCAGTCATGTCACATCATTAAAAATGATAGTGGACATAACCACTACTGTACTTAATCTCACATGGCCCACAGCTCAATCAGGCCTATCACTTTGATATAGCCCATAACAACGTTTTATCTGTCACTACAAGGCATCTTAGCTGTACTAATCAGGTACTAGAGGGGAGTACGTTCAATTGGGTAACCCCGTGTGTCTTTATTTTGGTGCCCGCACTCAGTCACTTCTGTCAACGCAAAAGCCTATTTCAGAGACGAACATTTCTTCGGTGTGTATGTGTTAATGTGTGGTGTAGTGGCCAGCGCTGGGCTGCGATACGAAATCTCGCGACCCGAGTTCAATTCCCGCTCATGGCCAACACCACTAACTATTATCTGAACCGGTCCGGGGCCTCCCCTAGGTCGACTCAGCCTCAAATTAGTAGAGTACCTATTATGGTGTGTAAACATCGCCACTGGGCAGACAAAGGTGGTCGGGCGTGGTGCAGGCCACCCACCCCCTCATGTGCTGTGTCGGCCTTCATAGGTACTCGCTAACAACACTTGCCCCAACAGTCTGTCTGTTTGAATGTCCTATTATATTTTTCTGCTATAAATTTCCACATGACAAACCACTTCGTTGAGCTATCATTTGTCGCTAGATCGCTTCTAAAAAATAAGTGAACAACTCAGTGGGCTTTTCCTGGTGAGATAAAAAGAGTTTATTTGTATTTGTATACTTTTTGAAGTGATTTGTTTACCATTCCTATACGTTGCACTCCTGTCGTTTTTTTATATTGCTGAAATGTTCTGACCTGCCCCGATTGGACACCTGTGAAAAATATATTTATAGCTCATTAGCATACATAAATATTCTTATTCTGACATGAACATGAGGCATAAAGGGATTTGAGCACTCGTGCACCCGCGTACTCTTGCATGCTGTTTCGCATCCCCACGTGGGCCTTTTTATCATCCTCATATTCACAGAAGCTTCCTTTCTACCAACACATGGACTGGGACTTACAATGTTTATGGATTGTATGCACTCTGCGCAGCATATACCGTAGGTACACATGAAATACTATTTATATTATAATTACAGTTATTATCTTGCCCTCTGACTTAAACTAAATATTCCCCCTGACGTACAGCATAATGTGTTTAGACAATAATTAATATCCGAATGTAATTTCATTGTCATGAAACTACTCCTCCTAACTACTATTTTTATTTTACCAAGGAAGGCCCATTGGACTTTAAGAAGCAATCTGGCCACAAATAATAGCTCAACGAAATGGCTTACCATGTGTGAATTTATAGCGGTCAAATACTCTAAACACATGTTGATTCTCCATGTGGAGGGGAAAACCGGAGGACCCGGAGAAAAATCCACGCGACCACAGGGAGAAAATGCAAACTCCGAATATACAGACATCAGGGTCAGGATCAAACCCACGACCTCCTGCATACCAGGCCAGGCAGATAACATCTTGCCACTGTGATGGCCCACTTTATACAACAGTAGAGAGCAGCTTGCCCTACGAGCGAGGTGGCATGACACTCGCTTGACCCTAAACAGCCCTGCCGCTGTGCCTCGCTGTCACCCTGCCCACCTGCTTTGGAGTTAATGTTCAAGGCGGCATCGTCGAGGTTCCCATCGTTGATGTCGGCGATGATGGTGATGTAAATGATGGGGTCCAGATCGTCGGTTGAACTTCGTCGCTTTCGCGCTTGAGCCTAGCACAGAGACAGCAATGGAAGCTCAACACAACGCATTCGACAACAAAGCTGCCAGTGTCAGCTCATCCCCACACCTTCCACACGGTTTTCCCACTCCATTTCTATCCCCGATCTCCGATCTCTCACTCACTCGAGAGTCCCAAGTCAAGAGGAGGTGGGTGGCCAGCACAACGCCCGGCCGCCTTTGTCTCCCCAGTTGCGATGTTTGCACACCGCACCCACTCACCAACCCAAATCCCTCATCTGTACTACAGCCATCGATCAATGTTAACAAAATGGTGTCTGCGATGGCGAGATGTTAACTACCTCACCTGGTATACAGGAGGTCATGGGTTCGATTCCGACCATGACGCCTGCTGTATATCTGGAGGTTTGCATGTTCTCCCCATAGTCAAGCGGATTTTTCTCCGGGTTCTTTGGTTTTTCCCTTCACATTTAAAATCAACACGCGTTTAGAGTATTTGGCTGCTATAAATGTCCACGTGACGAGCCACTTTGTTGAGCCATCAATTCTGGCCAGGTCACTTCTGAAAAAGAGCTACGTAGCTCAGTGGGCCTTATCTGGCAAAGTAAAAATTGTTTAGTTTAAATAGTTAGTCCACTCTTCCTACATGTGACTTCGTCACATCCTTGTCTGTCTGCCATTGAAGCCCTTATGCCCACATGATACGGCAGTGTGAGCTTGGCCCATGATGATTAGTTACAGCAGCATCACCTCTGGTGCTGGCGTGTGGCGCGGGGCTTGCCTGAGGTTTTTCGATGATCACTTCAATTTTGTCTTCGCTCGAGTTGGTTTTGGCCGCCACGGAACTGCGAATTTTGTCGGCGGTGGGGTAATTCTCGGCGGTCGTGTTGCGGGCCGTGAAGGAGATTCCGGCGGTGTTGCTGATGAGCAAATCCACCAGATCGCCGGCGTGGAGGTTCAGGTAGAGGATGCGGTAGTAGTTGTTGAAACCCTGTACGGCTGCGGGGTAAGTTCACGGCAAATTCTGAGACCACTGTCATGTATTCAACCATACAAGGTGGCTAGGAGATGTTAAATACCTCGCCTGGTATACAGGAGGTCGTGGGTTCGATCCCGACCCTGACACCTGTATATCTGGAGGTTTTCATGTTCTTCCCGTTGTCCAGGTCCTCCCGTTTTTCCCTCCACATTTAGACACTGCTCAAGACATCCTGAGATTTTCCTTCCTTATAAAGCGTTTTCTTTCCAATTATCCCTAGGCATCACAAAACAGCCATTGGAATCTCATGGCTAAGCAGTGCAACTCATTCGTGCTAGAGAACCGCCCCATGGACGCTTCTTCACGAATGGAATCCATTCTATTGAAGAGCGTGCCAGGCGAAACGTCGGACGTCGTGCCATACAACGTGTGGTACAACTCAAAAACACGTCAGTGAGCTGGACAGTACAACCGCGCAAAACCTATGCGGAAGTAGTATTACACGTCACCTAGATAACTAAAACTATCATTCAGTATAATTGGGCGTCCGAGGACTCAGTGAGGCTCTGCTTGGAAAATAAGTAATAATTATTACGAGATTACTGCCCATCTCGGAATTTATTCCCCGTAATATCCCCTCCCCACTGCCATGGCCACTGCTCGGAAGGCACAGTGATGTCCTCAATCCCACCCAAGGATTAACTTCTCGCGCAAACAACACGCGGCACAACCCGACAGCACATCGGAGGGTCATGGCAACGTGGATATGACTCGCGCAGTAACAAACTTGATGCAAATTTGAAACTGAAACGCTGCAATGTTAAAACGGTGTTACTCGTCGCGTGCATGCACGAGATCAGCAAAGAAAACCGAGGCATTACCGTCCGGACAGGAAATGTTCTTTCCCACAGTGACGGATGTCCATGATCCCCGGTTCACGCTCACCCTGAAGCGCAAATCCTTTGGGTAGAAGAGGCCCACTTTGAACGTCTGCGCCACGATCAAAACGGGACATGCGGATTAGGAAAACATGGGATGGGTGGGCAGCCTTATGTGACACCAAACAATAAGCGCGATGGGTGAGAAAACAGGGCTCACCGTGTCGGGCTTGCCGGAGAGCAGCGTGAGACGGAAGGCGTGCGGAGGGTACCGTAGGAAGTACACAGTGTGGCAGTCCGCCGTGTTCACGATGCCGTGGAACACGCTGGCGGTCTGGGGACACGGGCTGTCCTTGGGGCAGGATTCCATCTCGTGCAGCGGGGGCCCTGCGGGAGATTGTAAAATCAGGTGTCAATTTCCTGAAGGTGAGGAGTGACGAAAACGTTTGCCAACCAAGCGTTTTTATTTTAATTGTAGTCAACGATGACTTAAGACCGGGCAAAAATCATTAAGCATGATGACGATGACTGATGATGAAAATGCTCACTAAATGAGTACTGGCATTATGGACTGTTCCCAGTATGAAGCGGTAGAAATGTACGTATGTTGACCTTCTTTCGCAGTGTACATAGCCACCTGTGTTAATTGGAGGTGCAGGGGAAGGACAACAAACTAAGATTGATCATGATTAATAAACAATAATAAAAAGGCCCTGGGGTTTGTGTAACCATACTTCACCACGCTGGTCAATATAGATTGGTGATGTTTGGTGCCCAGGACCAGATCAGTTATCACCTGCCACTGATGTTAAGCCGTGGCTGGGAATTCAACTCAAGTTGTCAGGTTCACAGCCAGCAGATATTTGCCGTGCCGAACCAGAACATAGCCATGTGTGACGTCAGTCAGTGCTATGTGAGGACACGACATCACCGCATCGTCTACACGCGTCTGGACTTGGTTATTTTGCGACGGCACGGCTCGGGTCCTGCAGTGGAAAAACAACGTGGTGCCTCGCGGGCCTCGCCGGGCTGGCTCGGCATGGCCACGGCATGGCTGTGCAGTAGAAAAGAGGAAGGCAAGTGCTCCTGCAGGCGGTCCGAGTATGGACCAGCACACGCGCCACACAACGCATTGGATAAGGGGGGCCGTGGAGCAGCGGAGCAGCGGTCCGAGCACCACGCTACGAAGCTGGCGACCCGAGTTCGATTCTCGCTCACAGCTAACACCGAGTGACGATTATCTGAACCCATCCTGGGCCTCCCCTAGCTCGACTAGGCCTTGAATGAGTACCTCGTGCGGGGGAGACAAAGGCGGCCGCGCATGGTGCTAGCCTACTCGCTAACAGCGCTTGCCTCAACAGTCTGTTAAAGGCTATATGGGGGAGGGAGGGGGATCTTTGTCGTCTTTGTCTTTGCTGGTCCGCGTGGCTCTGAGCTTCACCGTTGAGGACGTTGACATAGTTGGGGCTGAGTAGTGCTGCCGGGGAGAAGGGGCGCGACGTGAAGTCGGCGTCCATGCTCTGCATGGCCAGCACGGCGTGTTGCACCCCGCCGCAATTCCACCACGTGACCATGTCCGTGCAGCCGTCCATAAACACGCCTTGGATCGACAACGACAACACATTTCAAATTAACTTCACGTGTAATTCATGGGAGGAATGACATATGTAGATTCATTCGCGTAGGTTGCTGCGGTCGTCCTGTATCATGAGTGGCTCTCCGATGAATTTTTTTTTATTTGTTTGTACTGGCGTGTTGCGTTGGCTCAATTCCTGGCATTTCATTCGATGTGCTGGGAGTTGGAATTGAATCTAAACTAATTTTTTTCTGGCAAGGCCCACTGAGCTATACAGCTCTTTTATAGAAGCGGCCTGGCCACAAATTATATCTCAACGAAGTGCTTTATCACGTGGAAATGTATTGCAGCCAAATACCCTAAAATTACATGTTTGTAAATGTAACCGGAGGACCTTGAGAAAAATCAACGCGACCACGGGGAGAGAGACACGTAAACTCCAAATATACAGCAGGCGTCAGGGTCGGCATCGAACTCACGACCTCCTGTATACCAAGGCGAGGTATTTAACATCTCGCCACCGTGGCGTCAAAAAGCTCCCAGAGAATAAAACGTCGGGAATTATAGCAAATACTTCAATTGTTTATATGGCAGAGACATTCATTAGCTTACGGTATTTACGAGAATTTGTAACAATACAACAAAAAATGTGCCTCTGGGCTCTGGAGCAGTGGCATCACTAGGGGGGTGCGGGGGGTGCGGACCGCACCGGGTGAGACCATCAGAGAGGGTGACACCAAAATGCAATTTTTTGTGCAGTGTTTCAGCAGAATTTTTTTAAATAAAAAAATATCCCGGTATTTGGTTATAACAAAAGAAAATTCGTAAGCCCAGCTTACATGTACTGTATAAATACACCTACAAGGCTAAAACTCTATGCTAATTTACTTTTTTAACCTTCTAATGCGTTCCAATTACAATTGTAACGGTGTTATTGGGCCAAGATGCACCGTTCCCATGCAATTGCCGGCAATACCGGCCACAGGCCAATAGGGGGCAACAGAGAGGCTGAGCCCCAATGCTGAGAGTCTATGGGCCATCGGGCCCAACGGTTACCCTATGTAACAGCATGTTACTTAAATTTCGATTTAAAACTTTCGTGACTGCAGGGATTCATCTTCTTGGTTCTTTCGGTAAAGTCACGTAGAAGGGAAGTAATAAAATAATAAAAATAAAACATAATATTTATTTTGTGTTTATTATGTTTTATTTTGTATTATTTTATTACTTCCCTTCTACGTTACTTTACCGAAAGAACCAAGAAGCATGTTACTTGTCGATTAGCCAGTGAGAGGCGTAGTAGTCTGGAGAGTAGCCTCCATAGAGTATCGGGTGTGAGGGGCCGTTACCTCTCTGTGTTAAGTGTTAATTGTTAAATAAAAACTGTGTTGCCTCAGAGAAGCCCTCTTCTAGTTATTAAACCCACTACACAATGACGCGTCGAATCACGTGGATTCGTCTGCACGCGCTGTTGTTTTCGTCGATGGTGGTGTTTTTATAGTCGCTGATTTTGTCAAGTTTTCTGGTGCTTTAGCTACAATATTGTGGTAATTAGTATTTGTGAACCTATATCAATAACTTTTTTGAGAATGAAGTAGTAATTAAAGGAAATATTGTAATTTAAAGGTGTAATTTTTATTTTGCTAGTTGTTTATGTCACTACTATTGCCATTACATTCAGTGAAATACGGGAATTACGATTTACGAGTAACATTAGTACAGAAAACATTACTAAGGATTCTATATGGTCTGGTACGGGCGGAGGTCCATGGGGGGTGACACCATGAGTTACGCACCGGGTGACACCAACCCTAGTGACGCCACTGCTCTGGAGACCACCTGGAGAAGATTCCAGGCATGTGTTGACAATGATGGCGAACAAGTGGAGACTCAGTCTCGATTTGACGCTTTCGTGACTGCAGGAATCCATACTCTTTAGTTCTTTCGGTAAAGTCACGTAGTTATAAAAACATTTTTTATAAATTTTATTTTATTTTATTTCATTTCTAACTACGTGACTTTACCAAAAGAACCAAAGAGTACATGCTAATCTCTTACATTTATATACAAATTCCATCTCTAGCTCCGCCCACTTAGCCTTAGCTCTTTCTCCGACGTCAGCAGTTCTCCTGCTGTGTTTGTTTCACCTGATGACGGTTGCTTGTGTTGCGATCGAAACGTCATGATCTATACATTTTCTATCTACGTGACTTTACCAAAAGAACCAAAGAGTAAGTGGAGACTCCTTGATTTGTTTCAAGCTATTAGCATATATTTGTCATCATGTTACAGTGTATTATCCGCTCTTTTTTCATTAAAAACGATAGGTCCCATGTACGTGTTACGATTTTTTTGGAAGCACCCTGTATTTCACTACTTATATCCTCTGGCCGACGAAAATGATAATTTTGGGTTAAGCAAACACCGGAACATTACCACGCACGGGACGAGATATTTGTGATACACGCGAACATCGTGCAGCAGACGGTGACTTCATAGGTGTGTTTAAAGAAGCACAATATCCACCCCGAGTTAATTACACATCTCACGTGACCGTGTTTCCTTTAAACACGGGGCATTGTTGCCCGAGTGTAAACAGTGTGGGGTTTCTTTTCTCCTATAAACAAACGACGGAATGTTTGACGGGTAAAGTTCAGCTCTGTTTGTCTTGCTTCCGAAACCATTATGTTGCGCATCATTGTATTGAACTTGTAGGCCAGTTCATACAAATAATTGGCTTAAAAAAAAAGAAAATCATAGAAAGGCCACCCCTCCCACCCTGCAGGTCTGAGCACACGGAATTTCGCACGTCATGTACAAACCGCAGACGTCTGTGAATGACGAGGAGGCTCCCCCCCCCGCGCCCTCCCCCCCCCCGTGGCACTGCGGCTTGTTTCAAGTGAGGGGGTCACTTGAAACAAGCCTCTCACAGCGCCACTCGCGTACGGGGTCAAAGGTGTCGTCCGCTGAAGCGGCAACGTGTGCGGTGGCGAAACGTTAAACGCCGCGACCGTCGACGGCACGTAGCCACTCGTGCGTCCCGCCCCCCCCCCCCGAAAACGCATTCGAGAGCTAAGCGGCGCGACCGCAGAAACCTGCGCAGCAATTGGACGGTCCCCCCTCACCTCTGTCTCTCAACATCGGAGGCGACGCACGCGGCACGGGCAGCGATCGGTTTTGCGCGCAGGTACCTTTTTTGGAAGCGATGCTGGCGAGCGTTGACATCGAGTTGTTGGGCCATGTGAGCGCGATCTTGGGCACCCAATTGTCCCCGATGCCCAGGGAGGGATCGCCCCACAATTTGTCGGCGATGGGCACAGCGGTGCCTTCCTTGCCCAGAAAGGATCCGTCTGTGTCGGTGAGCAGCGCCGTTCTCTTCCCATCACACGCCGCGTTTGGACATCCCAATGCGACGGTTTTCCTATGCGCGCACACAGACGGCAGTTGTTGGGGGGGCTGTGCGTGAGGAACCGACAATGCTGATGGTACAACGGCATGCGGTGTCGTGCTACCGTGCACGTGAGCAGAAATCCGTACTCCTTGCCTCTAAATCTCTCGTCTCTCTATCTCTTGTTCATCTCTCTCTAACTTCACAAAGCCGTAGCTCTCAGTGGGCCACAGCTTGGCAGGCCGTGCCTAGAGACTTCGCAGGCCACAGCTAACTCGAGGGCCACCAGCTAAAGAACCCTGGCATAGCCAATCACGCAACTTCATTGTCCAGTGCCAGGGAAGGCCTTGATACGTTATTTTCCACTGTACGTAGCCAACCGCGCGAATCGGAGATACGGGAGAAGGACAACACACTAAACACAAAAAGCAGTTATGAAGAAATGAGTTTTCACTATTGATTTAAAAGTGCATAGCTCCAGTGGCTTCCTATTATCGGAAGGAAGAACGTTCCAGACGGCCACAGAGGTGCATCTGAAAGCGCGTGATGCAGTGACCGTTTCTGTTACATGGCTAGTAGCCAAAAGCCACTGCTGCAAGGATGACCAGAGTTCACGTGATGGTTTATACTCCTGAACGAGATCAGCAAGGAAGCAGAGAGTGCGGAGCTAGGTTCTCACTTGGCCACGTGCATGTAGATCTTGTTTTCATCGTTCACGTTTTGGAGCTTGGTGCCCTTGATGACGATCGGGTGCTGGAAGTCCTCAGACAGGCCGTTTGTGGCAATCGCAGCAGAGCCTTTGTTGCCTTGGCAGGTGCTGAAGTTCATGAATTTCACGGCTGGGGAGGGGTGGGGGCGGTGGAGATGGAGGCGCTCGTCAAAACAGGTGAGTGCGGTCAGAAGGTCGTGAAATTCAAATCTCAGTCCACGTCAAGTGAAAATTATTTGTTTTAAGATGCGCGTTTGTCCCCTTGTATTTTTCAAGCAAAAGTTCGCGGAGGCCGTGTTATTATAAACATAATTTGACAGGTGTTCATATGTGTGTGCGTAACTGGCGTACGTGTGCAACAAGTGTGTACAACTTTATTGACACCGGGTGCAAGTTTTGGGGGTGTGCCGTCCAACTTTCCGGAGTGTCTTTTAATCTGGAGAGTATACGGTGATATTTATCAGCCGCCCGTGTTAAGCATCAGTGGCAGTGATGTGTGGACTGGAAACCCACTGTCGATGTTGGTCTGGCCATTCAAGACACTGTAGTTGGTTGGTACGGCGTGGTGGCCGTAGGCAGGGGCCTTGTTACGGTTGGATGTGAACATCGGCCACAGGACACCGACTCGGCCATCTGGGACAAGGAGAAACGACGATTCATGTCGGGCACGCAGCGTCAGGGAACAACCTGCGGTGTGACCTCGTTTAAAGGAGGACCATACAAAATCTCCCGACAACAGTCCATGTGAAACAAACTAAATCTAAATCGAAAACTAATTTGTTTAGAACTGCTTTTTCTGTTCAGTTTATTGTCCTTCACCAGAACCTCCGATTAGCGTGGTTGACTGCGTGCGGTGCGAAAGAAGTTCAACGTCCATAATAAACGTTTTTTGGGTTAGATCGCATAAATATAAAAGTGTCGTTAAACCCGCTACCACCCCGACACAGCCAATTAGTAAGGTTTGTCATGTAAACAGAACATGCCAATTAGTTACTAGTACAGCATACTGGTGTGTTGGAGAGCAAATCCACAACATTTACAATCTGAGTACGACGTTTCGACAGTAATTACAACTAGTTTCATCAGGCGCAGGCCGATTTGTGGAGAAATCCTCCTGTATCATCCCTTAAATAGAGGCGTAGATGTGATGACGTCACTTGTGAGCACTTCTCGTGCGAAGGGGAGGGATTAATGAACGCATATAAATTACAATGGGTATCTATTGCCAGTTTGGTTATTCATATGGTAATCAACGCACATTCTGCATGCACATTGTTCTTGTAGCTCCTGTCATTTGCATGCAATAATATAGCAGTACCTGCAGGTTCAACGTACATACAGAAATACACAAATGTTTATGGTTCCTCTCTCCACGCTAACCAGGCCTGCACCTGTACAGAATAGGAATCTCCGGATGTGTCCGTGACGATGAAAGCCGGGGCGGCCGCGTGTGTGTGTGGGTGCGCACGTGGGGAGCGGTAGTGTAGCGGTTAGCGCGCTGCGCTACACACCCAGCTACCCGAGTTCGATTCCCCGCTCACAGCCAACGCCAGTGACGATTATCTGAACCAGTCCTGGGCCTCCCCTAGGTCGACTCAGCCTCAAACTAGTACCTGGTGTAATGAGTAAACATTGGGACTAGGGAGACAAAGGCGGCCAGGCGTGGTGTTGGCCACCCACCCCCTCGTGTGCCGTGCCGGCCTTTATAGGTGCTCGCTAACAGCACTTGCCCCTACAATCTGTTAAGGCTATACGGGGGATCTTTTTTCTTTGTGTGCGCGCGGGCTGGAATTCTCACCGGGCACGGGGAGGGCATTGAGCTTGTCGGGGATGTAGCCGTTCTGTGGCGCGACGTTGCCGCAGGTTTCGTCGGAGCTTGCGCCGATGATGGTGCTTGCCTGCGATCATTGCAAGCACAGCTCTTAGAATATACATTCATCATCGCCGCGCCGTCATCGTCATCGGCCAATACAGCGCCATTCGACGGTTGCCCCCTTGCCGATGGAACGATTTTATTGTATACTAGGTAAGGACCAACTGAGCTAACTAGCTCTTTTTCAGAATGGGACCTGGCCACAAATGATTGCTCAACCAAGTGGCTTATCATCATGTGGAAATGTATAGTAGCAGCCAAATACTAGAAACGAACGTCAATTCTAAATGTGGAGGGAAAAATCGGAGGACCCGGAGAAAAATCCAGTTGACCACGGGCAGAACCCATGACCCCTGTATACCAGGTGAAGTAGTTAACATCTCGTCACCGTGGCGCTGGCGATGCCAGGAACGGCGGTGGTCTTTCATTTCCAAACGTGCGGCAACGAAATGTGGTTTAAAAAAAAAAGATGTTTACGTAAACGATTAATGGATTAAATTTATGAGGTGTGATGATGACTTAAGTGTGCCCGCACAAAGACCAAAGCGCTTTGATGAGACGGAATAATGAAGTTTGAACGAAAGAGCAGACTGAGGTCATTTAGTAACGCTGCCAGACTGCAGTGCACTGATGAAGACTGAACATGGTAATTGGATACATGTGTGCATATATAAGATTTCCTGAGTTTACTGATCGGTTATCCTGGTAATATTGGAGAGGGGGGAGGGGGTGCGGTGGTGGAGGAAGGAAATTGCGCACCCCTCCCAACAACATTTTCCCCGCATCTCCGATCGGCACGGTTGGCTACGTGCCGCGTGAAAGAAGTTCAACATACGTACATTTAATAAGAGTGCAATACATGCACGGCCGCTTTAGTCGACAAGGCTAAGGGAACGACCAAATGAAATCCGCAGGCTAAAGCCTCGACTATTAAACCCCACAAAGGTCGTCGTTACCGACTAGACTATAGCCAGAATGAAAAGAATGCCGACTGCAGCTCGCGCGCCACTGTGAACCTTCATACATTGATGGTGATGGACTTGTTGAGGAAGGTGGAGGTGTTGAACGCCGTGTAGACCATGGCAAAGACGCCCACTCCGTTGTCGGCCAAAGTCACGTTGGTCACCGTCACGTTGGTGTTGACCTTTGCGAGAGGCGCAAAAGGGATGATAATTTTTTTGCACGCAGCAGTTAGGGAGGGTTTGATTCAACGCCTCGGGAAAAAAACCCACCTTAGATTAGATCTCATTGATGGAAAGATAATAATAGGCTTTAACCCTTTCTGGCAATAATGCAGGAGGTGTTAAGATGTCCAAACACCAAAGAGATACATATTTCAAGGCATCAAGTCTGCATTAACCATACATACTTGTGGCAAAATGTGCAAACAAACATGGTCTGATAATATATGGATTGTCTTTGAAACTGATTGGCCTACACCAGAGACACCCTTCTTTGTGGCCTAGTTTCACCAGTGCTAGACCAGAGAACACCAAAAGGTGAACGGTGCAGTGTTTAAACATCTTAACACCTGTTTTATTGCCACAAAGGGTAAAGCCTATTCTTATTTTTTCATCACTTTGATACTGGCAACAAAGGTACCATAGATATCAGATCTCATCTCAACTGTTTCAATGGCCTGCCACTGGAGTCTAGCCTAAGGGATCCACCAGTGGCAGCTGTCCCTGTGCGGCACAAGGACAGTGCAGACCTGGCCCACCAGTAGGCATCAGTCTGCCATTAGGGGGGGGGGCGACATTCCTACATAGTTCTTCACCTAAGCCTGATCATAACATGGTGGTACACAGCATGATAATTTCCAGATTTTTAATTAATATTCGACTACTTTTGAAATCACAGTTTCTGAGCACAAAACCCTAAAGGCCTAGAGCACCAAGCGTCCAGCAACAAACGGCACCATTAAAGATGTACAACAGGGGCAGGGAAATAAGCAGAGAGGGAATTTGTTTTGCCCTGCAGTGTGGCGAGTGTCAAAATAAACAAGATAAGAGGATTCCTCCTCTACCTGGATATAGACACCGTAGTTCCAGCTCTTCCACACGAGGAAGTCCCTCACGATGACGTCTTTGTCACAGTTACCGGTCACGTAAACTCCGTAGAGCCCCGAGTGTGCCTCGTTCACATATCCTGGTACTACGCATCAGAAGCAAACGCGCACGCACGCACACATCACATGCACGAGTTCAGCAAAAAATAAGTATAACCCGTAAAAACAAAGTTTTTCACTCTAAATCCTTTATATGCGTGGCGGCTAGAGTCCTCTCGTCCTCTGGCTTGAGATGGCTGCCACCTATGGGTCAGATGATTGTCTGCAGTATTAAACAATTGGTAATTAAATATTTAATTTGTTTTCCCTAAACAGTGTAAAATTTTTGAAAAATTTTTTCACGAACATTAATTGTCTCGCACAACGAGTCTGTGTGCAAAATGTCAGCTCGATTGGATCACGGGAAGTGGGTTAAAAAACGACCGAAATGTTTGCACGGTCGTAAGCAAGCAAGCAAGCAAACTTAATATATAGGATTTAAAAACACGATGTTTCGATCGCAACACAAGCGGTCTTCCTTCATCAGGCGGAGAGAAAAGAGGGGGCAAGCCTACAAATGCAACTACTTGTAAGGGCTTCCAAAGTTGTGAGTGGGTGGGGGACGAGAGTTGCGAGGCAGCAGCAAGGAAAGCTGTGCGGCGTCAACCCGCAGCAAAAACTCTCCAACGCTGAGCTTCTGACGTCATGACATTTGCACAGCTTATGCTGTCTGGAATTTCTATGTGAACGCTCATCTATATTCGTTCATTTAATAAACTTAAAGCTCGCACTAAACTATTAATTTCCGTGGGAAGAACGGGTACAACTGCTAGTACATTATAAGGCCGCACTCATTGCACACAAAGTGCTTGCTACAAATGAACTTTGCTGATCTCGTCAAGAAGCATAAACCATTCTGTGAACTCTGGTCATCTTCGCAGTGGCTATAAGCTAGCCATCGAACAATGATGGTCACTGCATCGCGTGCGGTCAGATGCGCTTCTTCAGCCGTCTGGAACGTTCTTCCCATATTAGGAAGCCACTGGAGCTATACACATTTAAATCAAGTGGAAACTCATTTCTTAAAAAAGTTTTTTGTTCTTAGTTTGATGTTCTTCATCTGTACATCCGATTAGCACGGTTTGTTACGGTGCGAAAAAAGTTCAACATACATCCCACGAACCAGAGGACCCGGATAAAAATCCACGCGACCACGCAGAGAACATACCAATTTCCAAATATACAGGTGTCAGGGTCGGGATCGAACCCACGATCTCTTGTATACCAGGTGAGGTAGCTAACATTTCGCCACTGTGGCACCCAGGACTGATTCAGCGATATCACTCGACAATGATGTTAGCCCATCTCCAGGTTCATAGTGCAGTGCACAAAGCCAGCATGGCACCACTTGACCCCATGCATAGCAGACACGATACTGTTAAGAACATAAACAAAACACACAGCGGTTTATACTGCGTATAAGCAAGCTTGCTGTAATCGGATAATCTTGTTCTTTCGTATTTAGTTTTTAAAAAGCAGCAGGGTTCCAATTGTGTTTTTAATGTTGTTGAGCTATTCCATGGCATCAGAGGTGGTAGCTGAGTGGAGTAGTCTGCTTGTTCCGCCAGAATCCGCTTCGTGTATTGGGAAGTCATCAGTGGTTTTCCCCTCAATGCATCCACAGTTTGGTGGAGTGCTTTATCTCCCATTAATGGAGGCAATAGATACGGACATGCAAAATTGTGTTTTGTTTTACTACATTTGTTGAGCACACGGCTCAAATGCCTATTTAGACGGCTACCAAGTGGCAGTTATACACAGGGCAACGTAGGAAAAAAAAATCTATTGTTGCACTGTACTATACCCCCAAAGTCTATGCTTCCTATCTTCAGGAAGTCCACACTGTCAAGTGTGAAGCACGGTCAAATCTGAGGGCCCCCAGTGGTGAAGGATGGCTACTTCCCCTGTCAAATGATTAGACCGCCGTTGGATGATGTCATCGCAGATCATGATTTAAAAAAACATGTTGCAGTTGTAGGAAAATTGTAAATCATATTTCATTTCAGATGCATTTAACATTACACCTTAAGGAAGCTTAATTTGCGTGCGATAGATATTGAAAATAACCCTCGTGACATGACCTGCACGGCATGGGACGGTCCTCATCCAGCAGTAGATTGGCAAGAGGGCTTTACACATGCACATGCGCTGCGGCAGTTTTAAGTGTGGTATTGTCCATCACCAAAGACGCGATTTTCCGGACTGAACTCACAATTGGATGCAGATAATCGGTAGGCGACGTACTTAAATCCAGCCACCACGTTTCCCGTGAGTCTGCTCGACATGTCCATGACCTATCACAAGCACACACCCCTTGGATTAGCACGGCTACGTAGGGTGCCAAAAAAGTTCAACATACATAAAAAATGAGGGTTTTTATAAATCGACGCGGTATCTATCAATGGAACAGCCTGTATAAATATAGTTTTTTTTTTTTAAATAAGGTCCTCACTTGTTTGCCGTGGCTGAATACATATATCACACACAGACAGGTCACGGGGCCATCAGCAGTTAGGGAAGCAAGTGCGGCTACATTGGCCCAGCTTGTTGATGACAACATCGACGTCACCTTGACGTTAAAGTGACCCCGGCCTCCGTCTCCAACTCGGTCCACGTCAGGGTCACTCTTCCATCACAGAACGGCGGTCACACCGGCTTGGGTCATCGGCGTCGTGAGTGCAAAACGGCCGTGCGGCCTCCAGGCGGACCCTGCGCCCCGATTGAAACTAAAACTAAATCTTGCATTTTACCAGGTAAGGCACACGAAGCCTAGGTAACTCTTTTTCATAAGCGGCCTGGCCACAAATGATTGTATGTTGATTCTAAACGTGGAAGGAAAAACCAGAGGACCCGGAGAAAAATCCACGCGACCGCATGGAGAACATTCAAACTACTAATATACAGGCATCAGGGTCAGGATCAAACCCACGACCTCCTGTATACCAGGCGAGGTAGTTAACATCTCTCCGCCATGGTGCCTGGGTCAACTGCCATGACACCGCTGAAGGTACTTGGAGGGGGGGGCGCGGAAACAGCCGCCGTTCGCCACTGAGTGACGGTAACGTTGGGCAAGCACTTGTGCCAGGCTAGGTGCACTTTGAGGTCATGCGCACGTGAATTGTGGAAAGGGTCACTGGCAGGATGTCCACGGGTCAGACCCAGGTATTGTAGGTGAACTGACTGAGATGACTGGCGGATGCACCACCTGTGCTCTCCACACACACGTGGACACTAGTGCTGGGTGACATTAGCAAAAATACGATGCAACACCGACGCCCTTCATGGTCATTCTATGCATATGACCAGGCCGCCGCATCCACGCCATATGGTTGCTCATATCAACCCCGGACTAAGTGCAATTACTGTAATTTAACCCGATTATATAACTAAATTTTTATTGTGCATTTTCAAAGCGTCCTAGGTCAAATTTTCACCAAATTTGTACATATTCATTAACGCCGCACATGAAAGTTTGGGTTGCGTACTACTTTCGGCAGCGTCTTATAACCCGGAGCATACGACATGAGCAAATGTTGCTGAAGATTAGAGCAGCGATGTGACGCAGTGCGTAGCGTACTGCGCTCCGAACCCAGTGACCTGAGTTCGATTCATGGCCACCAATCCACAACAATGTTTTTTGTGAGCTTGAATCGAACTCAGGTCACCAGGTATATAGCGCAGTGCACTAACAACTGTGCTACTGCTCCCCTTGAACAAACAAAAATGACAAATATCCCCCATATAACAGACTCTGGGGGAAAGTGCTTTTCGCGAAAACCTATGAAGGTTGGCACGGCGTATGAGGGGTTAGGTGGCCAGCACCACGCCAGCACCAAGCCCACCGCTGATGTGTGCACACTGCACCAGAAAACTAATTTAAGGCTGAGTCAACCTAGGCGATGTTGGTCGTGAGTGGGAATTGGGTTCGTGGCGCAGTGGAGGAGGGGGCCCGCCGGTCGCTAGCGGGAGGGCCTTGGTTCAGGGCCGTGCGGCATTGCACAATGACCTCAGGGGTCCGCCCAGCTATGAGAGGCCAACCGAAAATCCAATTGCACCGGTATTTTGCCGCGTCGAGGGAGATCACTGACTAAGAGGCATTCAGTTACAATCCTCCTAAAAGGCACATGTACACAAGACAAAGATCCCCCGTATAGCCTGTAACAGACTGTAGGGGCAAGTGCTGTTAGCAAGCACCTATAAAGGCCGGCACAGCCCACGAGGGGTGGGGTGGCCAACACCACGCCTGGCCGCCTTTGTCTCCCTAGTCGACCTAGGGGAGGCCCAGGACCGGTTCAGATAATCGCCACTGGTGTTGGCCGTGAGCGGGAATCGAGCCCGGGTCACCAGGTTCATAGCGCAGCGCGCTAACCGCTACACTACCGCTACTTACATACACACGCGCACAAGTGTGAATCAGCTCACGGCAGCCATGCGTTGGCCATCAGCATGTGTGTGTTGTTTCACCTCGATGGCCGCAGGCAGGTAATTCGAAGTCATTCCATAGTCGGAAGCCGACGTGGTCACGAGGTTAGACGTAATCGTATTTGATGGTCCCGTCACCACAATTCCTGTCAGAGAGACATTTATTTGTTGATTCGTAATTGGGTTTTGGGTTAGGCCGCTTCATGATCTAAATTTAGTTGTGAGAATTGTTCTTCAACTTACCCGATGAACGAACCGAAACTAAAATATTTTGCAAGTGCACCACGTGACAATTTAATGTTTGGAAATTCGGGTGGTGGAGGGTCTTACGGCAAAAATTTGGCCGGATCATTACGTGGGCCTAACCCAATCGTAAACATTGGCTGTAAAAACCCCATATGCGTGTTACATGTATTTGATATAATTCGTGTTTAATATTATTCTTATTTTTCGAAGTAAAAATGTATTCAATGAGATGATGCAATAAAAAAGACATGGGGGGGGGGGAATGATTTCCACCTTTCATCTGTCTTCACCAAGTTTAACCCACCAAGTGCAAACAATAGACCAGGTTAGGAGGGTTTAATCTGTGTACAGTCCTAACAAAAATGATAAGAGCGCTGAAGGAGGACGATGAGGAGGAAATCCCAGACGTGTAACTTGCCTCGGTGCTACATGCCTGGCAGACTGTGGTCGCCAGGGTTACGTCCTCATAGGGTAGGGTTGATCGGCAAGAAAGGGAGTCTGGATCTGTTGCAAAAGTCGTGGATCTGTCCAGTAATTCATAACCCAAATATTCCAAGGATGCTATGTGGTAGAAGAGTGTATTACTGAGGGAGCCCGATGGCTCAAGAGGTCAGAGTGCTGAAATGGCACCACTGACATCCTGGGTTCTAAACCAGATTTCAGCTGCTTGTGATTAATCTGGCATCTCCAGAGCAGTGAGTTGATTGTCTCAGCCCGGTCAGTAATGACTCCACAAAAGAACCATGAGGGTTAATCCGGTGTTGGGTTTACTTTGTCAGAATTCCAGCTCTGAAAATAAAATATATTTTTTAACTCGTTCGGTGAGCGGATCGAAAGGTGCTGCCTACTGTGTGAACCAGAGGATCTATCTCGGAGGAATCTCAGAGGTAACTTTGTGATATCCGTTCCTGTAGGCCATTCTGTAACGCAATTGTTCACACTGCTCTGCGAGGGATCCGGATGGACATTTCATCTCATTGGAAAATGCCAAGGATACAACCGGGGATACAATTGGAGGAGAAATGACAAAAAATGTAGATCCATTCCACCTCGCTTGAACAATATTTCCTGCATCATGTGGAGGGACGATGCGATGGGTGGTGGCGGTGGTGGTGATGGCTCTCGTGGCTCATAGATTATTATAATCCCTCACCTGATCCGCTGGTGTTAAAGACCACGCAGTGTTCCAGAACGTTGGACGTGCCAGCAATCTTGATGGAGGGCCCAAAACCACCACGGAAAACACTGAATTTGATGTTCGCCTGCGGCAGACGAACCAGACAGATGAACGACACGCGCAGCTCATGGGCATTGTAAGGAACACGGATAAAGATTCGCGCGCATTAGGCGCTGGCTCAATCGAACGAGCAACTCAAAAGCACTCCACACCACGTCTCATCTCAACCATTCCAATGCCCTGTTGTAAGTCTTGCCAAGGGGAACCCCCCGATGGCAGCTGTCCCTGCGCAGTACAGGGTGAACGCAACACCGGCTTGAAAGTAGGACGTTACTCTGCCAGTAGGTGGGCGATGTTGCCGTACGGCTTTCCCCAATGAAACAATTTGCGAATATTTTATCACATCTGGTCGACGACAACGATGCCTGCACGCACGGCCCTGCTCTTTTTCAAACGACGTCGCGCGATCTCTGCCACGTGTTCATATTTTAGGAGTTTGGCCATCGTGTTGGGTGGAATGCGCGTGGTGCGAAGTTTCAGAGCACATCGGTCTTGCCTCGAGTTTTTTGTGTGGGGAATTTCCATTGATGGAGGGGAAAAAAAAAACTGTTGGCGATACCTTCGTCACATTTTCGCTGGAGAAGAGGGAGAATGGCTGGACAGCGCCTGCGAAGGGCTCGCTCGGGAAGTGAAAGTCCGTGTATTTTATCGAGACGTCACCTGATGAAACAAACAAACAAACACGGTCATAACCACGGCGTATCCATGCGCGCATCATTCCAGCGCTCGAGAATTGTAATTAGACAGAGCTTCAGGAGCGAAGGTCCAAAAGCGCGAGTTGAGTTATGATAGAAACGTGTGAACACGTATTTTTTAGTTGAACGGGGTCATTATAAAAACCTGGGAAAAGAGACGGCGATGGAAGGGAATTCCAAATTAAAGCAGAACGAGAGAAGAAGCAGAGAGAGGAAGGAAACACAATCCTCCGATTTACATGGATATATCGTATTACGTGTATTATATTAAGCAGCTTATAGTGAGCAGTTCGAGCTAAATTCATCAAACTACATACCAGCACACGAAATAATAATTTAAACTTGTAAAGTACCGCACAGTATTCACCAGATGTCGCAATCGGGTAGCCGATACCCGTACCCTACCCGATACCCGGCTACCCGTACCCGGCCGTGAGTCACTGGTGAGTAACCGTTTGTCACTCATTTCCCAACGTCTTGTCTCTTCTCACAATTCAAGTTCCTAGAATCAACCCACCCGCGCCTGCAACATGGCTTCATCCCAGAGGTCGCAATCGGGTACCCGATACCCGTACCCCTACCCGGCCGGGTACGTGTACCCGTTTGCGACCCTGGTGCGGCCGGGTACGGGTACGGGTAAGGAATCAAAACCCGTTTGCCACCTCTGGTATTCACTCACTCTGGAAGAGTAAAAGTGTACGACGCAGAGACGCAGGCAAGACGCGCAGGTGGAGCAGCAGGCACACGGCGAGCTGGTGCCAAATCCCCCCAGCCGCCAAGCTCTGCGGTTCTCTACGCATGAAGGTGTTATCGGCACATCGACCCCTGAACTCCTTTTTTGCGTTTAGTTTGTTGTCCTTCCCCCGTCCCTCCGATTAGCAATGGTTGACTACGTACAGTGCGAAAGAAGTTCAACATCCATATATACGCACTGATGGAATCCACATTTTTGCTGCATCGCCTCCTTCAGGCAAGCCAGGGTTTAGAGCACATCGACAACCCATGGCAGCACACCGCTCGGCCAAATACTCGGTCGGTCGGCGTGAACATTTTATTTTGCGGCTCTCGACCCTCGAAACGAAAAATCCCCCTACGCATCCGCCGTGGGGGGGGGGGGGGGGGTTGGAGGCGATGCCCGTCGCATCGAGATCCGAGAGAGCCCCCCCCCCCCCCCGCCAAAACGATCGCCAGTGTCATGACGGTGCCTCGATGCGGTGCATGTGGAGAATCGCCTCGTACCTGTCTGATTTTTCCCAAGGTAGATCCAAGCGGGAGCAGAGCCGGAGGTGTCGCCCGATGACTGCATCTCCACAACAAGGTCCCGGCTCAACAGGACCACATCACTGGCCATAGTCCCATCAGAAGATGCTGCACGGTGGGTGGTGAGCGGTACAAAGACAAAGATTCCCCGCCTCCCACTCTTGCATAGCCTTAACAGACGGTTGGGCCAAGTGCTGCTAGTGAATAGAACCTATGAAGGCTGCTGGCATGGCACACGAGGGGGTGAGTGGCCAGCACCACGCCTGGCTTGCCTTTGTCTCCCCAGTGGCGATGTTTACTACACACCGCAACAGTTATTGATTTGAGTCGACATAAGGGAGGTTCAGGACGGGTTCAGATAATCGTCATTGGTGTTGTCCGTGAGCGGGAATCGAACTCGAGTGGCCGGGTTTGTAGTGCATCGCGCTAACCATAGCACTACCGCTGACCACTCGCGGACAAACACACACGTTTTGGACCATCCCCAACATCATTCGTCATCATCATCGGGCAAATACAGTATTTATACTCCTATTTATTGTCCAGGAATGCTTTTTGCATAGGGTTTTTACATGCTTATTTCAATTATTTTGTTTATCAGTTTGATTTGGCATACAGCACAGTACTTATTTCAATTGCGATGTGTTCATTTTTGTTTAGCCACGCACCTAACGACCCGTTGTTTAGGTAAGGCTTAAGTATTGAATATCGCGGCTTTGGCTTTCACGCGGCACTTTCCAAACACGTGCAACCCTCTCCCCACCCCGGCGATATTCAAGGGTCTCCTGTGCACACGGACACGAATGCGAGTGCCACGCAAAATGACGAACGAGACAACATCCTCCGTCTAGGGGCCATACTTTTAGTGGGTACGCAAAAATTATGTCAAAACTTGACCCCTCTCCCCCCCTCCCTGTACGCACGTGGACTTTTTACCCCCCCACCACCTGCGTACGTTCGTTTGACGCACCCCCCCCCCCCCTCCCGAATCCTACGGAACGGCCGATATTTAATCCACGCAGAACGATTAATAATATTAACGAGTTTCAGCAAACAGATAGTCCACCGCCGGACTATCTAACTCATTTGAAGGCCAATGTAGACAAATTATTGTCGAGGCTTCACCACCCCCCCCCCCGTTTCCTATACGTACGTTGTCAGTAGACCACCCCCCCCATACGCAAGCGTACGCATTTGGGTTAACCCCCCTCCCCCCTCGATGCGTACGTACTAAATAGATGGCCCCCTACCCTGATAAAGACTGTTGGGGCGAGGGCTATTAGCGAGAAGCTAATTATAAATTACAATTTAGAGAACGGCCCGCGATAGCCTCAGCTTGGTCTGTGAAGAGGCGGTGACCCCTACCCATAACCCACTGGGGCCACGGGGACCACAAACACCAATGAGCCCCCCAGGAAAGGTGCAGAACACAAAGCATGGTGGTGGTGGTGGTGATGATGCGGATGATGATGGTGGTAGTGATAATTCACTATGTAACACGATTTTTGTTCCCGGGTAGTAAGTGTTATTTTCTAATTGCTTATGCCTCAAAAGTATAGACAGTGGCTATTATTCCCTACAAACTTTGCTTTTGTGACCAGGACTTTATGTGAAGGCATGACACAAATGCACACAATATGTAAATTTCTAAATATCACTGTCCTGGTCACAAAGCAAAGTTTGTGGGGAATAATAGCCGTTGTTACAACAATTCCGGTGTTGATGATGATAGAGATGATGTTGGCAACAATGATGGTGGTGTTGTTGGTGGTGGTGACGACGACGATGATGGTCGTGGTGATGACGATGGTAATACTAATGTTGATAGTTGAGATGATAGTGGTGGTGGTGACGATGATAATGCTAATGTTGATCATGATAGTTGAGATGATGGTGATGGTGGCAATGAAGGAGGAAATGCTGCTGACGATGACGGTGGTGGAGATGATGATAACGACGAGAGGTGGTAGTGACGTTGTTCATGGTGGTGGTGGTTGTTGTTTGTGGCGGTGGTGTTGATGACGGTGGCAAGTGTCGTCATCGTGACCGCACTCACCCCAGTGGGAGAATTCGAGCGCAGCCGTCAGGGTGATCTCGCTCTTTGCAACCGAGGCAACCTTACGCACCTCGTTCTCCTGGAAGCTGAACCCACTCGCGGTGATGAGAATCTCGTCGCCCGTCTGGGATGTGGAAACCGCGCGCGCGCAGAAACGAAAAATGACAACACAGCCCCGCGGGGAGACGTGTTGCTGGCGCTTGGTGACAGGTGTAGTGTTGATTTTTTTTCTCTCTCTCCCTCATCTCTATTGGCGCCTGACTCATTAAGCATCAATAAGGTAATCAAACTCAGGATGGTCTCGTAACGATGAGTAATGTATGATAAATGGTTAAACAATGTTAGTACTAAACAACTTCGGGAGCAACGAGAACAACAACAAACACTACTTTCCGGTCACCATAACCATCTCTTTCTCTCGCTGCTACAACTACTCAATGTCAACTCTCAGTTGTCTAAAGGTGCAAGTTCGGTGCTACTAAGCTCCAAACCCCTGTGTTGACGTCACGCGCAAGTTTTCTACATTCGGTGTCAATCGCGCAGAATCTGAATATTTATACTGGAGGAATCCCATGAGCTCTAAAGCTACCCCCTCCACCGCTGAATGTGAGCCACCGATAAATGTGAGCCGCCCGCCACCACCACCACCGCCTGCTTCATTTACAACCTCCCAGAGTGCCTGAACACGCTCCCGCATCCCCCTTCAGGATGGGGGCACTCTGGGAGGTCACCGTTTCAAGGAAAGCAGGCAAGCTTTCATTTCACGCCCACGTATGCCCATGGCGCATGGCAGGCAAGGCAAGCAACAACAACAACGAAACGCCAGTGTCTTTTTGCCAATCCACCCCCATCTCCGAGACAGGAGGCCTATCCTTTCCCCGCCAAACACCCCCCGTCCCGCACACACCTTCCCCCGCACCGACCGACGCAGTCCGTGCGTTGCGGTTTCGTTCGAAGGTTGGACACGCGATCGAGCCTAAGGACTTGCACTGACCTGCAAATTGTTGTCATTGAGTGTGATCGTTGTGGTTCCGGCACGGGCCGTGGCTGCCAGTTTCCCCTTGTAGAATCTTTCCCTTCCTTCCAGTTCCAAGCTTCCGAATATAGCTGTATTTAGAAGTAAATAAATATATATGAACACAAAGCAACGCCATAAGATTCAGGACACCCACCTTAGGAGTGTACCCCACCACCCCTGGCCACCACCCCACTCAGGGGCTGTCTGGAGCTTTTTTCTGGCATCAGAAGTGACATCGAAGTTCCAAAGGCAGCTCCATTGCCTGGACACCAATGACTACTCAAATGAAAGAACATAAACCACTGCGCTACGCTTGGTTGTTCTGATTAATTTGATAAATTCGTCCTCTGAATGTTACTCTTATCTAATACAGTGGGTATGCAAGTGATGCCCTCTACCAGAGGTGTGGACTCGAGTCATGTGACTTGGACTCGAGTCAGACTCGAGTCATGAATTTGATGACTTCAGACTCGACTTGGACTTGCATAACAATGACTTTGTCCCACCTCTGCCCTCTACTGTGTGGACCAGACGTCACTTGAAGGCAAATTCAGAGGTAGCTCTGTGATGTCCACTTCTCAAACATGAAGGGGCTGCTCGGGTGTGCGCAAGACCCTGAATGGATCCTTCGTCTCGTTATGTAACGCCGATAGCAAATTTGCGAGAGAATCCGGGAAAAGACTCAAAGAATGCACTCCATAACTAGACGTGCTTCGGGATTACATGTTCTGCCGGAATTTTCCACATCGACTTCCCGTTTCTCTCGTCTCATTTTAGACACAATCCTGGCCAACGAGGAAGTGTTGAGCTCAACAGGAAGTGATGCAGTGACAGAAAATGGCTCTGTGTTAATAGGGTCTCAGCACGTGGGCTGAGTGCTTATTACGTGCAACCTGAAAAAGACAATGGAGGGCTAGAAATTATGAATCATTACATTTCTCTAACAAAGGTGCGGGCTGACCACCCACCTAGGCCACGACCAAAAGGGTCAGAGCTGCCGGTCAAGATGATACGTGCTATTCCTTGTTGAAGCTCCGTCCTACGCGACACCAGCTTCCCACCCTGCACACACACACGTGTCCGCATACGTACAGGATATATACATGTACACACAACTTTCTAATTCGCGCATTTTCCGTTCACACCCACGAGAGCGAGAGAGAGGGGGAATGGTTCAGTGGCGTGGAAAACCACACACGAGACAGCCGAAATCGGCATCTACAATTGCTTGAGCTCCTGTGGCCCGATCGTGGGATGTTTGGCCAACTCCATTAACGAGGTGTTTTTTCTATACATGGGGGAGGAAACCGGAGTACCCCTTGAGAAGACCCCGCTTCTTGTGAGGGGCGAGAGGTAACGTTTAAACCCCCGTTCCGTTGTTCGTGTGCAGGCAGCAATGTTGCATTGTGGCGTGGCGGTTGCATTATAGTCACGTGAGTGCTGCATCACCTCGTGCTTAGGACGAGCGGCTCACCAGTTACTTAAATAAAACTAAACTCAATAATTTATTTTATTCTATTAGGTGAGGCCCACTGAGCTATGTAGCTCACCGAAGTGGCTTTTCACGTTGAAATTTGTTGCAGCCAAACACTCTGAAAGCACGTTTTGAAATGTGGAGGGAAAACCCGGAGGATCTGGAGAAAAATTCACACATTATACAGCATTCATCAGGGTCAGGATTGAACCCACCACCTCCTGTATACACCAGGTGAGGTAGTCACCATCTCACCACCGCGGCGGTCCGATAAAGTATTTCATGATTGATAATTGTTTTTTAACCCTTTTATCTGGCAACAAAACTGACACCTTTTTTACAATGAGTCATGTTTGCATAGACCACAATACTTGCAGTCATAATGCAAACAAAAACATAACTCTTATAATTTATGCACTGTCCTTGAAGTTGATTGGTCCACACCTGAGACAGCTTTCCTTAGAGCCTAGTCTCACATGATGTTGGACCAGATGACGCCAAAAGGCGCACAACTCAAAGACAATGCACCATCAGAGTATGAGAGCTCAGGGTAAGCATTTACACCATTGGAACCTCATTTGCCAGAAGAAAAAATATGATAATTGGTTTTTTACCCTTTTATCTGGCAACAAAACTGACACCTTTTTTTTGGCAAATGAGGTTCCAATGGTATTTCATGATTGTGGAATAATTTATAGTGCTTTGTGTATCCTCGTGCCCCGCATTTAGTTGGCGAGCTCCTAGGGGTATAGACAGCGTTATGGAGACGATATGCGACATTCGAGTGAAGAGGTTGATCTTGTGCCATGCTGTGAAGCTCGAGTGGGGAACCGTTTCCTGACTGAGGGCTGCATAGGACGTTACACACAACCACTCAGCTCACTTCCGTCACTGCAAGAGGCCCCTGCAAGAGGCCCCTGCAGTTATATTATGAATACAAGTGATTGCAGGTTGAAAATACCTCGTCTTGGTGTGGCGTGTGGCACATGGTGAGTGGCGGGTGGGGAGCTGCTTGGTGATTAGTGTGGTGCGTGGAAGATGATGTGGTGAGTGACGTGATGCGTGGTGAGCAGTGTGGTGCGTGGAAGATGATGTGGTGAGTGACGTGCTGCCTGGTGCAATGAGTGGTGTGATACGTGGTGATTAGTGGTTTGCGTGGCACATGGTGAGAGGCTGGTGGCATGTGGCGCAGGGTGTGGAGAGCGGAAGCGTAATGGTTCGCCTGCTGCACTACAAACCCGGCCACCCAAGTTCGATTCCCGCTCACGACCAATAACAGTTGCGAATATCTGAACCAGTCGCGGGCCTCCCATAGTACCTGGTGTGGTGTTTAAAAACACATCACCAATGGGGATACAAAGGTGGGGCGTGGTGCTGGTCAACCCCCCCCCCCTCTGCCCACCCTCATGTGCCACAGTGCCGGCCTTCATAGGTGCTGCTCGCTTCAAGCAGTTGCCCCAACAGTCCGCTAAGGATATACGGGGGATCTTGTCTGTTGGTGAGCGGTGTGCTGCATGGTGCGCTGCTGCGTCACGCCGTGCCTGCACAGTGATGTGCGCTGCTCTCAGTGTGCCGCCCGGAAGGACCTCCAAGGCCCCGTTGACGACGACATTCCCAAGAGACGGGGTCGTAGTATCCACAAGCATCCAAATGTCTGAGGGGTCAAAGATCAGGGGTTAGAGGTCAAAGTTCAAGAGCGGCTTGGCCAGATGACACGTCATGAGGGATCGCCTGCAGGACGGTAATTACTTTATGTGAGAGGAGAATGTGTATGTATATAATTACAGAAATGTAGCTGGGAGTCCTTGTTGCGATATATAAGTTCCACGATATTGTCCGTTTTGCACAATATCATGATATTGTGCACGTTTTATTTTTTGGAGATATTTAATTTCGTGACAAAATCAAATTAAAACTAAAAAATACCGATTACCCATTAAATTACCATCTTGCAAACGTTTTCTGTGTAACTTACGATGTGATCAATAATTTCACAGCATGCGCGCAATACGCTTTGGTACATGGTAATAGTTGCAATCGTTGGAACATTTATCACAGGCTTATGTGCATAATATTAAATCCGATTTACAATGCGTGCATGAGATTTGCGTGGCAAGTTGCTCCCGCAAGTCAGAGGCTCGAGCATTCTGTGCAAACCTGTCAACCCATATAGTTTACCCGTATTCTTGTACAGGGAATTTTCGTTTTCAGGTCCATACGGCGTACTGCCGTTTCAATACGGGCATTTTCTTTGGTCGATTTGTTTGCGCTTCTCCCTTGTGATGGGACTTTTTAAGATGAACGTTGATATTTATAAAGACACGGGGTGACCAATAAGGTCTGAATTTGTCTGTAATAAGGTAGGAGGCACTGATAAGGAGTTGACAGGTATGTCTGTGCTTTAACAAAGTTTTCAGAAACATTAATTCGAACTTGAAATACATCACAGGCACTGCGATGAGACAACATCTTTCGGAGTGAAATACTATTTACAGAGTTATGGCAAACTGTGTTGACCGACTCTCTGTGTCGTTTTACATAACATTTCGATACTTTGCTAGGTTATTTGATTTTAGTGTGTTTCTTTCTCTCCCTAAGCCTGCTCACTCCTTTTGTTGTACTCATTGACATGTAAATTTTGTCTCTAACCCCTCCCTCTCGCTGCCTCCGCCCCCTCCGTCTATTTAAGGCCACCCCACAGAGACGATCACCCCTCTCTGTACCTGTGTTGCCCGCTCTCTGTGTATCTTGGTGATATCTGTCTGCTTATATGTCTGTCTATAATTTTTTCTGGTCAGATTTTATGTCGCTATTTCATTATACCTGATGATGATTGCTTGTGTTGCAATCGAAACGTCGTATGCTATTATTTAATTTATTATTTTTTCTTTATACGTGACTTTACCGAAAGAACAAAAGAATGATAATGGGATGACACTGATATTTGATATCGTATTATGATAAATTATTATCGCGGCAAGGCTCGTGGCCAATGTTTCCAGATGTAAAGGAGAGCCGACACAAGATTGCAGGGGTTTCGTCCTTTAATCCTTTTCTCCCATCCACACCTGTCCCCAGCCATCCCAATCTCGTCCCCGCCAAAGGCCTCTTCTTCCCGCCCGTTCTCCCCTTATTTCTCCTCGATTACGCCTCCCACTAACCCTCCTATTGGTGGGAATCCTTCCCCTGACACCCCCTACACAAACATCGCATAGCAGTGACCCCCTGCTGAATCCGGAGAGGCACTTGAGAATGAGATCCCCCGAGCAACTTGGATACAGTGGTTGGTTAGGGAAAGTTTGAGAGACAAGACTCCTCTAAAATTAACGGATGAATATTGGAAGATACAGTCATAATGGCTTTAGCAGGCGAATTTTTTTTTTTTACAATTGACAATAACATTTGGAGGAGGGAAAATAGAAAAGAAAAATAATGACAGATAAAGAAACAGCACTGCCTCCAAGGGCAAAGGCAGGCACACCTTGCTCAATGACTAAGTCGCTGCCATCAGTGGGGGGTTTCTTCTCCAGACACAGCCACGTCAGCTTTGCAGAAAAGAGGGCCCTTGATAGGGGACAACAAACCAGCGGTGATCCACGCAAAAAATATTCGACACTGGTGCTTAAAAAACGAGCGGTGTTTTTTTTTTTTTAAACAATCGTCGGGTCATTACGTTACTTCCGGCTCAAATGAGCGTTGAGGCAATGCTCATCGTCTGTGTACAGCCCCTGAGCCAGTGGTATAAATTCCACATTCCTATGGCGGGGGTGGGTCGGGCCGAATCAATCCCCAACCAGGATTTGACCTCGCAAGCCTTCCGATTGCGATATCCCCTCTTGCTGTACCGCTGAGCCAGCTGGCCGGCTAGCGATACTGATCAGCGGTCCCACATTATCGGCGTCGACAGCATCGCGAGGCTTTCTCAGTCCGTGTCATTACTGGACATCCGTGAGAAAAAGAGCTTCATAGCTCATCGGATTTCTCCAGGATAAATGAACATTCTGACGAGTCTAACTCCTGGACGAATGATCTCTCAGCACACTTTGAGGCACAAACCAACTTCGTTTTGAGTGCGGTACAACGTCACGTATCCGCCATGGCCAATTGACCGCCCACATCGCTTCCTATGGATGTTCACAAATCTGAGACTTTTCTAAATATTCGACCTTTAAATATATCCATATATACCTTAACCTCAGCCCCCCCCATCCCCCCTGCCAGCGAGTCAGGATATGCAGCGTTTGCCCTGCATTTTAAATTCATCTCACTACCAAGAGCCCTACAGTTTCTATGGAACCACATCAACTCATTGCTGTATGCTGACATCTGTACCAATCAAACGGCAATGGGTGTGGAAGTACTGTGTAGTCTGTTAATTCCCATGGTCATGCACAAACACTCGGCCATATAGGGAGACATCACTTCAGAGAAAACAACACTTCGTTTTGCAAAACATTTAGCATCAGAATATTTATACTGCAAGAGGAATCCGATGAACTACAAAAAGCTCTTTTTTTACAGATATCCAGTAGGAGCAGGTTAAGAACGTTACAACAACAAACAGAACAAAAACACGCTAGCCGTGCAAAGTACAGGAAAGGTAAACAAATCACCCAAAAAACATACAAATTAAACTAAACCATCCCTATCCTCCCCATGCAAAGCCCACCTAGGTATTAACTTATTTTTCAGAATAGACCTGGCCACATTTAGAGAACACCAAATCTATAATATGCCTCTTTAAACTATCTTCAACACTCTCCAATGTAAGCCATAACGGGTGACCCGAAGTATCCTCGCTTTGCCAAAAAAACAAACACAACTCTTCTTTTCAACACGTAGGCTTTATCCTCTTTATCCGTTCGTTACTCCATTAATAATCGCGTGACTCCTTCACGAGAAAAAAACTCCCTGTTATCAACGGCCGCCATTCATCCCGATTATCAACGATTGTTTTCTGCATCCCCTTCCCCGTAAGTTCACTGCTTCCCAATGATGCGCACATTGTTCAACGCGCGAGCAGAGCCGAGCGGCAAAAGAATTCCCAAATTATCCACAACATATTTTGCTGTTGTTAACATTCTCACTCAGACCCTACTGCACTGCTCATGGGATTCCTCCAGTATAAATGCATATTATGATTCTGGAAATCCTCGATGAACCACCCCTCCGCCACCCCGCAAATAATCTGGAGTATATTTACGGATAACCCCGCGGATAACAGGATCAATGAGACATAACAAAACATTGCTTAAAAAAGAGGGTTTTTAGAAATCAGTGCGGTACAATATCTCGGAATTGAACAGCATGTGTGTGAATAGAGGGCGTTTGTTTTTAGCAACGACGTCCTCACTTGTTTGCTTTGGTGGAATCCAAGGGAAGTGCGTTTGAGTAGTTACAGATGAATTTGGTTATCGTGCTGGAGTCGTAAAACTCTGCAGAAGAGAGCACAGTGAACAAGTGATAACATTTACAATCAGCAAGCAGTAAGCTGCGCACTGCCTGTTACAGAAACACACTTCCTACACAATTGTATATTTGTACATCGTCCCCAAGTATTAAAGATCAACTTGCAGGCCTGAAATCCCTCCGCTCGCGCCACAGTATTTGGCCTACTCTTCCACGCTGTTAAGACGTCTTGGAAAGTGGTGGGGGTGGGGGAGTGGGTGGGGGGCTACTCCACTTTAATCCCACCACGCACGGACCTGCCGATTCAACTGCGGTTGTGCCGAGATTTATAACGCTGCGTTGTAAAGAACCCAACCCTTCCGTAACGCGGGGACTGTCTGTACAGTCGTCCCTCTGTTAACGAGATTAATCGTTAATTGAAATGATCGTTAATCGAACATTGGAAGCACACGTTAAAGGCTCAATTTGTACCAAGACGATCAGAAGTTGACCCCTTTCACCCTAAAAACATTGTTCATAATATTTAAACACGCGATTTTAATAAATACGCGTTACAAGAACACATTAAAACATTCATATGAGTGGAAACATGGATAAATAATTAATACATTGAGAATATAACATAAAGTTTATTTTTTACCTGAGGCTAAGAAGATGGACCGCTTAAGCGGTTGATTGAGAAGTTCGGGTGGGAGAAAATTGTGTTCCTGGCTCTCTCCTCTTTCTGCACATTAATCTTAGGGGCCATTGTTATTGGTCATATTCAACTTTTAAGTAAAAAAAAACCACTTAAGTATTCCAGAGAGCTGTTTCCATAAGCAACGCGTATCAAACATTAAAAATACCTACGTGACTAGAATTTGAATTTATTTATTTTAAAATGTTTTTTTTTCTTACCGAAAGAACCAGATAGTATGGATTCCTGCAGTCACGAAAGCTTCAAATCAAGATTGAAAAGCCAGCAGCCAGTTGCTCTCAAAACGTTCATAAAAGGGTGGATCGCTGATGGGCTGAGGTCTGGTGAGTCCACTCGGAGCGTTCCGATTGGCCGAAATTGGCCGGTCCGCGTGACATCGCAAACTTATTGTTAATCGAAAATGTGTCCTTAATAGAAACAACGGGACCTTATGGGAGGCGGATCGTTTATCGAAATATCGCTAATCGATGGCATCGTAAACCGAGGGACCGCCGCTGTATTTCACCATCGTTTCAACTCTCCGCACTCCGAGAGATGGAATCAAAACTGGCGACTTCGAGATTGCAAGTTCGAGTGTGCCGACCGTGACACCACTGCCAAGCGTCCACCCCGTCAACCACGTAACATCAACAAGGCCGATGCACACATCTCCTTCAAAAAAGGGCAATTAAAGACAACCCGCAGAGCGACTATGCCTATGCAACCCAAACTATCGTCCGTCCGTACGGCAGTAAACCACTGTCGTTTGCGCTCCTTCATGGGAGGAGGAACAGCCAAACTACCAGAACTCTCTCTGATGAAGCCCCCTCTCGTTGTGGCCGGCAGATCTCGGCATTGAGCATTTAGCTCTTGAACGTATTGCCATACGCAAGACTAGTACAGTGACGCGTTTTAATCAACTCTCGCACAGGCATGATTTGCAGGTGTTTAGCACATATGCACGCACGCAAAGGTCACATTGCACGCATTAACACGATGGAGACGAGAGGTTTTTTTTATATAAACTGTGGCTACTTGGCAAGGTACCTTGTGGGAAAACCACGTTGCGAGCTTCAGTGATGTTGCCGTTCTGAAGCATTTTGAGAAGGCACGTCCACGCACACTGCTGAGCAATCTGGAGACTGGAGGAGCATTGGGGTTAAGTATATACACGATTACACGACACTATCATCTCCGTCATCATGCAATGTACAAAGTAGCATTGCTATTTTTTATTTTTAGGGGCGGTCCATAAATGACGTCACGCGATTTTGGACGAATTTTGACCCCCCCCCCCCTCTTCGTCACACGACGTCACAAAAAGTCAGACCCCCCCCTCAAATATGACGTCACAAAGCTCTGCCCCCCCCCCCCCCCCCCAAAAAATAAAACATGCTTCAAATCGCTTTAAGCTATTGTCATTTTAGTGCGTATTTAATGTGGCGCTGCTCTCTGATGTTGTAGGAGAAAACATTTATTAAAAAGCCTATTTAAATAAGTAGAACGTGCTGTCTATATTAATTGAAAGTTGCGTATTTTGATGTGACGTCACATTTCTCACCGCCCCCCCCCCCATCGTCAAACATCGTCACAAATGTCTGACCCCTCCCCACCCAGTTGCGTGACGTCATTTATGGACGGCCCCTTTCCGAGTTGTGCGAAAATTACTCCCAAATCTACGAACCGCGTGAACACCACGCCTTAAGCAAGGACTTGCCGTCCATAAATGAGAGAGTGAGATAAAGAGTGAAAGTGACCACACATCATTTGAGTGATTTTTAGAAGGCTTGAGCTGATTTTAATATATATTTAACTAACTACAATTCCTTTTTACTTTACCAAGTAAGACCCACTGAGCTATATAGCTCTTTTTAGAGGCGACCCGGCCACAAATGATATCTCAACGAAGTGGCTTATCACGTGGATATTTATGGCAGCTGAATATTCGAAACGCGTGATGATGATTCTAAATTTGGAGGGAAAAGCCGGAGGACCTGCAGAAATATCCACGTGACCACGGGAAGAAAGATATGCAAACTCTAAATATATAGGCATCGTCAGGGTCGGGTCCTGTATACCAGGCGAGGTAGTTAACATCTCACCACCGCTGCGCCCTATAGAGATGAGAGGGGAGAGATTGCGAGCGGGTAGGCTGCACAGAAAATCACAGGATTCATGGGAGGCTTGAGCTGAGTTAAATAATCAGATAAGAGGATGACGTTCACAATACATGCAAGATTGTATCCTCTTTGATTCGTATATAATCGCATGGAAAGGTTTTACTTCGGGCTAATAAATGAGATTGGAGACAATGCAAATGAGACGAGCCAGTACTACAGAGTACGAATGAGACAGACGGTACAAACAAAACAGAGCAGAACTACGTTGACTTAAAGCTTTCGTGACTGCAGGAATTCATATTCTTTGGGTCTTTCGGTAAAGTCACGTGGTTGGTTCAAAGAAAATAACAAAAAACTACGACGTTTCGATCACAACACAAGCAATCGTCATCAGGATGAGTCATCAGACCCAAAGAACAGGACAACGTTGTTGGCAGTTCTAGAGTAGTAACCACAAGATCCACTTTTAATTCTCCCTGCCTTAACCGACCCATTATGGACTACCTCAGTGAGATGACGTATGGTGAAATAACCCCCACGACCCGATGGGTATGGAGAAGCCCTCGTCCTGTTAAATTCATAACTTTGACCTCTGGTATAACCAGTAGTGGCGCTAGGCATAAACACTAAGAGCTTAATATGTCCCAAGAGGCTCAAGAGCCACGGATTCATTCAAAAACAGGTATACACCAAATACCAGACCCTGGTTAACATTAAAGGCATTTTACATTAAACGGCAAATTAATGTATCTCATCTCCATATCGTCTGAAGCTCTCCCCCCCCCCTCAATATCAATTCAATACAAGTGCGGTGACACGCACAGCATGCTGGGATTTCTGGTTATGATTCGCCGTTGTGAGACGCACAATTTAAAAAAATTAATCCACACACGGTTTAAAAAATGTGTTTTCAAATATGCGCGCACAATTTGACTTTTACTCTTTGCCTGGAGTGATCGCTGCAATTTAAAGCGCTTACCTTGGGATGTCGCTCATTTTACTCCCCGCCACTAACAATGCCGTGGTGTTCGACTGAATGCAAGGTCGCACACAATCTGCGAACAAATGGGAAGTCCATTCCTCAGAGATACACTCAATGCAAAATACCCTCGATGCCGTAAATGTTGCCAAATTTTGCCAAATTGTATGAATTACTCCTCGAATATTGTTTAATTGGGAAAACCCACGGGGAAACATTGTCCCCTGCCTCCTGGCAAAAGAATGACGCCGTGTGCCGCACAGGGACAGCTGCCACTGGTGGATCCCTTAGGCGAGACTGCAGTGCGGGGCATTCAATTCAAACGGTTGAGCAGAGATCTGACGTTACGGCGCTCTGGGTTGCAAGGCATTTAAGCTTCTTTACAATTTCGGCCAAATCGCCCCTTTTCGTTCTCAACAGTATCTAACAGAGTAGAGCCTTGCCTATGAACATATGGCATTAGTTTGAGCATGCCTGACTGCTGATGAGACACCACCAAATGTCGAAACCGTTGCAGAGTTTGCTCGTGTTAAATCGATGTTGCTGGAAATAAAACCGCCACGTGGCCGATGGGACGTGTAAACAAAAACATCAAACATTTATTTATGAGCAAAGACAGATACGGGAAGGAGGTGAACCGTCTGCTTGTTTATTGTGTTCCTAAACAGTGCTTTTGTAGGCGACACCATTAAATGTCACATCCAGAACGAGGCCCTACTATCTGACCTATGGGAACTGCCATGTCCCCCTTCGAAGACTTGATGTATTGGGTGGTGTTCTCCATACAGCTGAAGGGATCGGGATAACTGAAAGTACAACAACAACAACATTTGTGAAATAAATGATTTGGTGACGCGGCTGCGTTTGCAGTGGTGCACAAGCACAATAACAACAACACAACGCAACACACGCGTCAATAACACTGCCGACTGTCAATATTTGGTTTCATTTAATGCAATGTTACTGACAAATCTGTTCAGTTCCTTTTTTATAGTTGGAAAGGAAATGCTTTCAAGTTACTTGAAAATGAATCCCGTGCACCCAGCGGTACAGCCAGAGTTTGGAAGCTGGGGCAGAGCAGCTTATAGGGTGCCCTACAACATACTATTAATAGTTTTACTATTTGTATTTGAGCAGGTAAGGCTCACTGAACTCTATAGCTATTTTTCAGAATATCATTGCAGCCAAATACTCTAAACGCACGTTTCTAAACGTGGAGGGAGAAACCGGAGGACCCGGAGAAAAGTCCACGCGACCACGGGGAGAGAGACATCCAATCTCCAAATATATAGCAGGCGTCAGGGTCAGGCTCGAACCCACGACCTCCTGCACACCAAGTGAGGTAGTTAACATCTCGCCCCTGCGGCACCCCAAGTGAATGGGTCCCCACACTGTACTTTCGTAATTGCACTGCGTTACAATAACATTAAACAAACTCACCTGGTGGTACTTCGTTGGCAGCAGTGGTGCACAAGCGCAAATAACCAATACAATGCGCAACACGTTCTTGAAAAACAAAAGACACTGTGGCCTTAAAAAGCAAATGTATATAATAGATGATGATTCAGGCAGTGGCTCATCTTCACAGTGATCTGGGGGGGGGGGGGGTCAGTGGTGGGGGAGGACCAGTTGGGGGGTGGTACCAGTGTGGGGGGGTAGGTTGTCTTGATTGGGGGAGGGGGGTACAATTGGATAGGGGACCAGTGGCTGGGGGGAGGGACCAATTTTGGGGGGGGAGGGGGCCAGTGCTCTTGATTGTGGTGGAGGCCGGTGCACCATATCAATGATTTTGAGAAGCACTGCCCTCGTGCGATCATGGCCGCCAACGTCACAGCAGCCTAAGATATTGAATAGTCAAACAAATAATGCAAACAGAGATCCAGTACAAGCGTCGTGACAAATGCTGCTGTGACACGCAAGCACGCAAAGCATTAGGTGACAGATGCTTACATCACGGTGTCAGTTGACGGAGAGCAGGAGTCGATTTTGTCTGGAATTAGCGCCCTGAGTTGTGTGTACACGCATCCTGTAAATAGACGACACAATTGACACAAAGGCAATGATGTATACCGTCCATTGATATTTCAGCCAGACAGTTTACATCTTGCATGGCAGCCACTCTGATACCTATTGCGCATTTTTCAATTCCTCCTGATCACGTGCCTTGAGTTCCACTGCCGTTATAACACGTAACAGGCACATTAACAGCAATAACACCGTATTCTATGGATTGAAAGAGGCACTCTTTCCCCTCTATTTTAAACCAAACGTTGGGGTGCAGCTTATAATCTGGCGAGCGTGTGTGTGACTTTTATTGACACCGGACACAATTTTGTGGTGAGTCTTACCTTCTGGAGCATCTTATAATCCGGGGAACACGGTAATACAAAGAGTGCAACCTTTTTGTCAATCTGCTCCTGGATGAAGGCCTTCCCACGCTGGGGCAGCCACGCGGATTACCCTTGACCATACTTCACCACACTGGTCCTAGTGGGTTTGTTGAAAGGTGGGTGTACCGGATCAGATGTCACTCGCCAATTATGGTAACCGTGAGCAGAAATCGAATTCTGTTCTGCAGGTTCTTAGCAAAGTCACCCCCCCCCCCATCCCAAGTCACCTCCCCCCACTCTCCCAAGTCACCCCCCCTCCCACCCACCTCGTGTTGCAGATTACCATCCTGGTTTCTGGTTTATCTTTAATTTTGCCTTCCCGTTTCGGTGAGAATACACGCGCGTGATTTTGCTGTCACACACTCCCTTGTACATCGATGGGTTTTTTTTCGTCCCCAGGTTCACGTACACGGGATTCTTGGAGATAAAGGGCGCGGCCCCGCAATTGCTCGCTCACTCCACTGCTGGCAGGAAAGGGCCTCCACTGGAGGGAACTTGAGATAGCCCCTCTTGAGGGTGTTTTTGGCCTACTCTTCCTCTTCCACGTTGGCCAGGTGTCCTGGAAGAGGTGGGAGTGCCCACACTTCACCCCAACAAGTCACTCTGGCGTACCAGTTTCAAATGCTGGGTGGACAGACGGGGAGGGATTTTAGAAATTTGCCTGTTGCTTAAAATGCCAGCCGGCTTTCAACCGTAGTTAGAAAGTTTAAATTAAAATAAAATGCACCCACTGCCTTCTGTATTGGAGAATTCTGGGCACTGGTGGAGTATGCCTGTAATCCAGCATTTCGGTGGCAGTCAGGGTTGGTGAATCACACAAAGTCGTGAAACTCCCTCCTTACCCGTGAACATCAACGTCACAGTATCTCCTGGTTTTCCAGGGTATGGGTATAACACTACAGCCAGTTGATCAATTTCCATATGTTCTATCTGTATATGTGTTTGAGTGTTACTCCCACCACCCCGTCTCGCATGTTGTGGGTTTTTTCTGGGCACTCCGGTTTCCTCCACATATACAAACACTCAAGAATGGAGTTGGCCCAACATCCCAACATAGGACCACAGGAGCTTGAGAAATAGTTTGACCTCAGTTCCGGCTGCCTTCCCCCCCACTTTCTCTGTGGGTTTCCCCGCACCAACTCGAAATCATTATCTCCCTCTGAGAGTGAACGAGCATTTTTATGTTTAGTTTGCTGTCCTTCCCCCGCACCTCCGATTAGCACGGGTTGGCTGCGCACAGTGCAAAAGAAGTTCAATATACTGTACATACATTCCGAATGGGAAAATTCTTGCAAAAATACGCAAAAAGATATATCGACATCGTGAAAAAAGGTACTACTGTGTGCTTCGTATACAACATACACAAACGTCTCCTACCTGACAAAGACGCGACTCACCTTTCATCACGGTGATAGTGTGTTGCTGGTTGGTGACGGGTTTGGTTAGTGGCGTTCCACAGAACCACTCGCAGGCCAACGCTTTGTCGCTGCAAACCCAAACAAGCCACACGAGTCACTGGAAGCAATTTCCGCGTGTCAATTATTCGCGAAATTGCTATCCGCAATTTTGGCTGGCCGCGAAATCGCATCTGGAACTCTACACGACTGCATCGAGAGAGAGATAGAAAGGAAGTGATGAGAGATAAAGTGATGAGAGAGAATTTCATGAGAGATAAAGTGATGAGAGAAAGTGATGAGAGATAAAGTGATGAGAGAGAATGTGATGAGAGAAAAAGTGATCAGATAATGTGATGAGATAAAGAAATTATATAGATGCGTAATTTTCATTTAAGGAATAGCTTATTTACGTATTTATTTAAGGCAATTCATAAAAAGATAGCTTTTTTCGTACGCCAATATCATTATCCACGAAATGTGTAATTCACGAACACCTCCAGAAGGTATCCCTCGCGAATAATGATGGAACCCTGCAGAGTGCAGAGTCTGGTGGAGCGACTCTGCTTTTCCACGTCCATGTGGTTGGGACGGGGTGGGGGGGGGGGGTAAAATTTGTCAAATGCGCGATGTAATGGTAAGCACACACTGAACCTGCAGGCCGGACGTTTTGTCCGTTCAATTTAATATCCAGTGTGGCTACTTCTGATCTGTTTCAATATGTTTGGCCAGTAAGTACTGAAAAATTCGCCTCTCGAAATGCAATGAGTTAATGGTCCCAGTTCTGTTTAAGTTTATTTTGAAGTACAGTGTGAGCTAAGAAGCTCATAAAAAAAATCACACACCGTTTCCATGACAGACATAATACATCGGAGAAAAATAAATTAACAATACAAACAAAAATGTAAGAAAACATAATTTCCAACGTAAATGTTTTTCTCTTAAAAGTTTTAGACTATTAAGGAATCAAATAAGTGCAAGATTAAGCATACAAATGCCAGTGGTAAAGCACACCGTTTCCCAAGAAACACTAAATTCACCAATGACAGCAAATAAACTCATCATGTAATCATTGGGATTTTCATTTAATTTGGCAAACTAAAATTTGGCAAAAAAAAATTTCAACGGGGAGGGTTTGCCGTGCTTGTTTATTTCACACTAAAGTTCTAATTTAGCAATCTTTGGAAGAACGTAATCAACCAGGCTATGCGTTAACTGTGTGCTAACCGACTCTATGTGTTGCATTGCATTTCACTTCCTAATTTGACGAAATTTGCTTTCTATCGTGCAACGCTCCGTGCATGTTTGTTTAGAAGTCCAGTGTCCAGCCCGTCCGTCCCCCTTATGTGCAGGAATTCCACACAACTCCCCATCTGCCCCCCCCCCCCATCTCTATTTAAGGCCTCGACACAGAGACGTTGTCTTTCTGTGTGCCTATGTGTGTCTCTCTCTCTGTTTGTCTCTCTCTGCTTGTGTGTCTGTCTGTGTGTCTCCGTGTCTATGTTTTGTCTCTCTCTCAAATTTAGGCATCTATGGAAGAACGTAATCAACCAGGTGGTGTGTTGACTGTTTTGTTGGCCGACTCTCTGTTTTGTATTGCATTATATTTCCAAGTTTACTATGTTTGTTTTCTCATTCATTTGTACCTGATGATGGTTGCTTGTGTTACAATCGAAACGTCGTATTCTATTATAATTTTATTTATTTATTTATTTCTACGTGAGTTTACCTAAATAACCAAATAGTCTGAGTATATATATGTGATTTCACTATCGTGAGATGAACGCCAATCGACTCGGCGTCGGTAGCAGTCGTTAGGCGGTCGTAGATACGAGCACTTACTGACTACACTGGTCAACACACTCTTTCTGGCATAAGGTATTCCCACGGTTTTAATGTAATTTTGGGGTGCTGATTCCAAATCTGGCATCAGTTTTTGTCTATCACATCAGGTTTTTGAGATATCAAATATTGCATTTTCAATAAAAACTGCAGAAGAAAAATATTAAATAAATGTGGATATCTACATAAAATGATATTATAAACACACTATCCTAAAAATACAGCACCATATTTTAACACTAAAGCAGTCACTGACTCGCAACAACTTGCAATCATAAGTGACGGAGTTAATTTCGGGTAAAATCAATGAAAATGGGGTATGCCGATAGCATAATAAGTATAACCCGTAAAAACAAAGTTTTTCACTATAAATCCTTTATATGCGTGGCAGCGAACTTAATATAAAGGATTTAAAAATATATTCGCCTGTGGAGGACGCGGGGATCGATCCCGCGACCTTTGGCATGGGAAGCGAGGGCGCTACCAACTGCGCTACTCCACCACGGCCTGTGGAGAGGTTACGCTGTGGGCTCTTACACTCTGACGTTCAGCCAAAGCCATGAATGCGTTCTATTTGAATATATGTAAAATAATTTTTTTTTGCTTAAAAAGTGTAAAATTTTGGGAATAATTGTCTGGCACAACGAGTCTGTGTGGAAAATGTCAGCTCGATTGGATCACGGGAAGTGGGTTAAAAAACGACCGAAAGATTTGCATGGTCCTAAGCAAGCAAGCACGCAAGCACGCAAACTTAATATAAAGGATTTAAAAATGAGATGTGATAGAGCAAATCTGAGATCAGATTTGGAATCAGCACCCTGAAATTAGTCTAAAACAGCTGCAAAAGTCCAGGCCAGAAAAAAAATTTTTTGTTGTTGACCAGTGTTATAAGAAAGGTCGTAAAAGCGGGGGGGGGGGGGGTCTCAAGTCGAGGCGTCGTAAGTCAGGGCTCACCTGTATATGACTGGAGGATACGAGGTGCTCTTTTTACACAGGGTCTCGCAATCGTTTGCTGGAAGAGAATAAGGGTTGTTTGGTTATTCACATGAGTCATTCAGGGTCAAGTCACGGTTTTGAGAAATCAGGCGAGACGATCAGCCGCCGACTGTCTCATAGTAATAATACCTTACATAACATTTCGATACTTTGCTAGGTTATTTAATTTAGTGTGTTCTTTCTCCCTCTAAGCCTTCGTACTCATTGACATGTAAATTTTGTCTCTAACCCCCTCCCTCTCTCTGCCTCCGCCCCCCTCTGTCTATTTAAGGCCACCCCACAGAGACGATCACCCCTCTCTGCTGTACCTGTGTTGCTCGATCTATGTATCTTGCTCGATCTATGTATCTTGGTGATATCTGTCTGCTTATATGTCTGTCTATAGTTTTCTGGTTAGATTTTATGTCGCTATTTCACTATACCTGATGATGATTGCTTGTGTTGCAATCGAAACGTCGTATGCTATTATTTAATTTATTATTTTATCTTTATACGTGACTTTACCGAAAAAAACAAAGAATAATTCCTGCAGTCACGAAAGCTCCAAAATTAAGAGTAATAATACCCTTTACAGTACTTACCAAGGAAAGCCTCGCTAAGTCTCAGGACTATTTTTCAGCAGGGTCCTGCATTGGGATGTTTGGTCAGTTCCATTCATGAGCGTTTGGCTTCATTTGAGATGAAACCAGAATTCCCGGAGAAAACCAAACCTCAGCATACGAGGGAATAACGAGGGAATGCAGTTCTGGTACAGATGGATTCACTCCACTGCTGGTTTACCATCACCTGGCCAGACAATTCGCTAAAACGCCCACAGTTATTCAAATATTTTTATCAGTGACGATCTAACCAAAAGTGCCTTCAGAACCTCCCATGATTTAAAGTCTCAAAAATACAAAGATTCCCCGTATAGCCTTGACAAACTGTTGGGACAAGTGCTGTAAAAAACTGGATACTTCCTGTATAGGGATTATCGGCGTTCGGCACTACCAATAGAGTACAATCAAGGTACGCGTGCCCATATCAATTATGTATGTGTGTGTTTTTTGCACACACCACCGCAGAATCGCGAGGACAAAATAAGGCAAGATGGATTGAAAGCACAGATCCCATACCTGTGAGTTTTGCATACACGATGCCTCTGGGGAGGCAGGAGACCAGCACCAGCAAGAGAAGGGACGTAAAGGCCACGAGGGTCTGGGATGTAGCTCCGGCCATCGACATACTTCGCCTTTTAATCTACAGGGAGAGACACACAATGACAACTGCATTCTTTATACTGGTAGGAACCACCTGGTTCCACCAGCCCACAGGGGATTATTGTGTCCGTCCATCCGTCGTGCATCCAAAAATGGGAGGGGAGGGGCTGGGTGGGGAGGGTGGGGCTGGGTGGGGGGTGGGAGGGATGGGGCTGGGTGGGGAGGGGCTGGTCACCCCGTGGTGCCCTTATAAAACTCAACGTTTAACCTACTCACGCCGGCTTGTACCCTCCCTTACAGTCGGCCATATTTGCGGAATACACCACGCCGCCGTTGACCCTGGCCATTGACCGAGCAACCCAACGTTCATACCAGCTCCCTCCGCAGGAATGTGTTATGCTGATAGAGGTATTGTGGGTGAAGGAGTGGCACACACAGACCAGTGTGGTGAATTACTATTTTCTGTGTGTCAGCGGAGATTATGATTGTCGCGATACGACGATATTACATTTAATGATATAACGATTATCGTGATGAACTGTTTCCCGTAACTATGGAATTGATTTGCACGCGTTTTACGTTTTTTTTACATCGTGTCTACGTGATGCATTTGTCGTGTCACTCAACACGAGCCTCCCGCGTGTGTTTCTTACTCTCTCGAACAGCCGAGTAGTCAACCGGCGTCTCCCAAGCTGCGGCCCAATCGAAGGGGCATAACGTGGAACATGTATCATCACTGCAAAGAATAATGAATGTCTCCCGTGCTGTGCCCGACAACTGTAAAAACAGAGTGCTTCAAAAAAAATGTTTTAACACTTCTGAGAAAGTTATAACAATACCACGAGTAGTGTGCCGCCTTCGGGCTCTGGAGACCACCTGGAGAAGATTCCGGGGCACGTGTTGACAATGATGGCGAACAAGTGGAGACTCTGACCTTCTGAAGCTGTTAACATTACATTTGTCATCAGGTTACAGTGTATATTATCCGTTCTTTTTCCATTAAAAACGATAGTCCCATATAAGTGTTAACATTTCGATTTAAAGCTTTCGTGACTGCAGGGATTAATCTTCTTGGTTCTTTCGGTAAAGTCACGTAGAAGGGAAATAATAAAATAATAAAAATAAAACATAATAAAATACAATTCTCACGACGTTTCGGCCACAACGCAAGTGTGATGCCGCCGCCACGAAGCCGTTCGGCAGGCACCAAATCCCCGACCTCGCCACCACCAAGCAACGGAGCCGACCCCGCGTCCCCCTCACCTCACCTCACATGAACACACCCGCACTCATTCCCCCCCCCCCCCCATAGAGCTCCGAGGGGAGGTCGCCTGGCCGACCGGTTTTTATCCGAGAGACCCTTATCGGGATTAATTCTCACGGTTTCCGGCGATCAGGGAATTGGATGACCTCCCCCGTGCTACGTGGCACCGCGGCGCTGCGGCCGGCCTTAATATGGTGTGGTCGCGGCGTGGGGCATTCGGCCACCGCGGTTGAGGCGCATTTCCCCCCACACACACCCCCACGAGTCGACGGGGCAAGCAGGGGAGGCACGGGACAGCACGAATAGCGGGATCACAGGGGCTGTTGCGCATAGTCATGGAGGGTTGGGATAATTGCGCTTGAGCGCGCAGGCCCCATTGTTAGGGAGGGTAAGGGGTTAATTAGGATGTACGCCGCCAACGTCGCTCACTGATTAGCATATCAACAGCGCCCGGCACCGCCGTGCGCGGGCTCGGGGTGCGCGAGCCGATTGTTCAGCGCAGCATCCCCTTTGAGGTAGGGAGGATAAATAGAGGGGCGCAGAGGGGAAATGGCTCTTCTCTCCAGGCCAGAGGACCACCCGCAGCTCCAGCCAGCGACCCGGACGTCCGTGCGACGCATCGAGGTGCGCTGTTAGCACAGGGAGCAGCGAACCACCGTGGGCATCAAACAGTGAGTGGGGAGGTGAAGTAGAATTCTAGCCGATAGATAGGGGATAGGTACAGGTTTAGTGGAATAGGCCAGCCTCGTCGACTCAAACTGATTTAACATCAATTCGCAGTTAGCAAATAATAAATCATTAATAGCGAAGCGTGGCCTCGCGTGATCTTGTTGAGCAGTGGGAACGTGTGGGTGCGCGTGTGTACACCGTGGTTCGCCACGTGAGTGAGCGCTGCGTAGAGCGGCGCACGAGTGGGTGTCGCTTGTGTGCAGGTGTGTGCGCTCGTAGTGTGGGGGGAAGGGGTCGGTGCGTCCGCAGGTCCCCGCTCCGTCTGTCGCCGCCGGGACTCGCGCAGTGTGAGGGCAGAGTCGTTCGCCCTCCGACCCCTGACCCCCGTTTAATAGAGCGTGATCCGTGGAGAGACAACGCAGCGTCTGCAGGTGAACGAGGGTGTGCGGCGAGCTATGCCTCTCACACGAGCTCGCGGAGGGACGGACCAGGGAGGGGAGCCGTCGGGCGATGAGCCCAGCGACGGCAGCAGCTGCTCGCAGAGCAGCGAGGGGTCGGCGCACGGCGGAGCCCCTGCCATAGGCACGGAGCAGGGAGGGACTTCGGGGACCAGCGGCCCCAACACAAGCAGCCGTCCTCAGGTGAAGAACAGGGCTGTCTTTCCGACAGCCCTGTTCTTCACCTGAGGATGGCTGCTGTCTTTCCGACAGCCCTGTTCTTCACCTGAGGACGGCTGCTTGCGTTGTGGCCGAAACGTCGTGAGAATTGTATTTTATTATGTTTTATTTTTATTATTTCCCTTCTACGTGACTTTACCGAAAAAACCAAGAAGAAGTGTTAACATGTTTTTGAAGCACCCTCTATATATATACACTTACAGTATATATACTTACAGTATATATACACTTACCGTATATACACTTGTCTCTTTGCAGAACTCAAGGGGTACCCTTTGGCTCCTGGTTCGTTACAGGTTGGCCACCGCTGCTCTGAGGCTGAACGTACACGTGCTGTGAATCGCACACGAAATAAATTACCCCTCCAAAAAAAACTCAACACATTCATCAAAACCACTATGGGCCTGAATATAAAAAATATAATATAGCAAGCAACGTTTCAGGCAATGGCCCTTCTTCAAAGCGTATACAATTAAGAATGATCATATCTACAAGTATTATCGTTATAAAACGTGCCACCAATTAATGTGGATATGTTTTATTTTACAAAGCACGACTGTAATTATTGGGCAATAGCTATTTCTTCTAGAATTTAAATTGCCTTTGTGAACTTTAATCACTGTCATATCACAGATATGTTGCCAGGGTTAAGGCATTAATTAATTAGACGAGCAATGGTCATTTCCAATTAAACTCTGTCCCAGTACACACGCCATCGTTGGCACGTGGTTAGAAACGTTGGCCGCACGCTGAGCAACACGGACGACGCGACTATCGTGGATCTTATATCGCACGACGTATCGTAATGTCGTGGTATCGCGATGAGCCGAGCAGACGGGCACTGTGTGTGTGGAGATGTGCAGCCCAAATGCTGCTGTGATAGCACTCTCTCTCTCTCTTGCGACACTGCTCCCCGACACACGGATCCTAGTGACCGCGAGATTAAAATCCCATCGCGGCAAAATCCCCACGCAACGTGTCGACATTTAACGTCACGTTGGAAAAGAGAAAAAAAATCCAACCGTGAAAACCCAGTCAATGATCTCGTGCACCGCATTGCTCCACTCGTTATATTTCTCCCATGAGCCTGTCACTGTTAACGAAATAAACTCAACATATTCCTCAACGATAACATTAAGTGGCCTCAAACACAAATATGTACATATAATGGGTGACACTTTGGACAGTGACCCTTCATCATAGCCCAGATACTGTATCGTGGATTCTCCAACATTCTATTTAGTAATTTTCGGTTTAAGCTCCGCAGTATTACGAATGTCTTAAGGTTTTATTGTTATTATTTGTGCTTACGCACCACTGAACACGCACCCGCGTCACCAAATAATCTGTAACCATTAAGGAAACTTCGATTTAAAGCTTTCGTGACTGCAGGGATTCATATTCTCGGTTCTTTCGGTAAAGTCACGTAGAAGGGAAATCATAAAATAATAAATAATAAAACATAAAAACATCATATTTTATGTTAATAAAAATAAAACATATTTTGTTTTATTTTAATTTTTTTATTTTCCCTTCTACGTAACTTTACCGAAAGAACCAAGAATATAATTGAGGAAACTTTACGATTTCTCTGCATCAAAAAATCCCCACAGATCCTCACGGAGAAATAACTTACCCGGTCTGTGTCTGTCGCTTTTGGGTGCTGGTTGGTGTGATGTCAAGAAACCCCAGGTCTCTGTATTAAAGGCAGCGCTATGACATACCTTCGAGGCAAATTTGGTGGCTTAAATATAGCCTGCCACCTGAGTCTGGACAAACAGACAAGTAACTGGAGTTTGGGGGAGGGGGTGATGGAGGCTATGCACACAGGAACATGTACGGAACGTCGCCACTCTGTGCCTTCTTGCGTTGTGAGGATGGTGGAAAAAGTGCACGTGTAACGAGATACACAGCGACAATGCCTATATTGTCCGTGAAAAAAAAGATAAACAAATGTGGTTCGAAAAGGAATTAACCCCAACTGTGACGATGCTCTCTGTTGCTTCGAGCGTAGAGGCAAATGTGCGGCCCTGCAAAATCTTGTTCATGCCACTGCCGGACGAAGGGCCTACTCACTAGAGGGAGTTCTGGATAGCCACTTAAGATGGTCTTTGGCCTACTTTTCCACGCTGGTCAGACGTCTTGGAAGAGGTGCCGATCGACTGTTGGTGTACCCATGAATACGGCTGGACTGATGGAGGTTTGGGGGATTTAAGAAACGGGGAAAAAACGATTTCAGCCGCCCCGTGAGATCGATCCGACGACCTCTGGAAACACCATTGTGCTTAAGGTGAAGCTGCGAGTCAATTTATTAAACATTTGATGAAAATAACGAATATGGAGCATTGCGTACAGTTGCACGATCATCATTCTGTGACACCGCATTAACAAGGGTGTCAGTGGCATGGCCCAAGAAAGCAAAGAGCGACAAACAATATTTATAATATAGGTGACATTTTGGCCAATGCCCGCCATTCATCATTGCACGGGCACTGTCTCGTGGATTATCCAACATTGCACATTATGTATTTACAGTTTAAGCTCCGTAGCGTTATTTACGCATGTCATGTGTCTTGTTATTTGTGCGCGTGCACAACTGCAAACGCAGCAGCGTCACCAAAACATATCTTAGAAGCGTGGAAGAGTAGGCCAACTACCATCTAAGGGAAAATATATATGCATGCTAATTACACATCATTCCGAGCAACGGCCCTTCTTCATAGTAGAGATGACTGTAACTGAAAACTTGGGGGGAGAAGGGGGAGATAATTGAACCGGGAGGGAGCTTCGGAGTCTTGGTCCTTGAACTGAGGGGTCAGCACCCCCCCCCCCCCCCAGACTCCTTTTGAGACGATGCCTCTTGGACTGATCGAATCCAGGAGATTTCAGCTGTCGTTTTGACACCACAGGGAACCATTGCAATCTTGTTAGGTAAAGTTAGGGACCTAAGTCAATTACGGCCTCATAATATAACACAGGAGTATAAACTTGATTTAGTAAGCCGCTATAAACTATTTTCACCGTTGTAAGAATGTGTTCATGACGAATATTCTTTGAGCAAATTCATTCATCCATCGTGCGAATCAGTCCAAGGGACTCATCACCATAGCTTCTTCTCCACATTCTCACGATGGGATTCGTCACATTCCAGGCGATTCTACCCTACGGCCATAAACGACCAAGTTACGTTAAAGAGTTGGCCACCGCGGCGAGATGTTAAATCTAGTCCTCAAGTGTCCCCCCCCCCATCTCCCCCACTTGAGGCCACCTAAAATGCCTGCAAGTCAATTATACGGTCAGGTTAAGCAAACCAAATATTTACTTCAGAAGCCTTGGCTCAACAGACCTGGGGTGGTAATTAACGCAAGGCAATGACGTCCCAAGAACCAAATATGAACCTCCTCGTCGGTGGCATCCTGCAGTGGAAATATAGAATTAGTTCAACAAAAGGGGGGATAAGATCATTGTCAAACGCTTGTTTTGCTCAACACGGCATTTTCCAGGAACGTAACCCCCGCCGCGCAGTTAGGCGAGGCCTGAGCTGCGTTCTTCCGCACCTCCATCTGCCGCCCACAACGTACGCCAGCGGCCGCCATGACAAGACCTTCTAAGCACTCTCCATGTTCAACATCTGACACGCTTCTTTATATATCCTACAGGATCGGGCGCATTCCAGGTTACGTGGTTCTCATAGGCAAAAGGAGTATCGGCCTCTGTTCAAAATAAAGCTGGAAGGGGCTCATCCAAAAAAAAAAACAATAATTCCAGACTGTGGTGGGGCCAAGTCTGTTGAGGAACATGTAGAATCGAACACCTGCTCATGTTTATCCACGTCTTGAGTTTATCGTGGCGTGGGTGTGTATCTCTTTAGGGAGGGGGGTATGCCTTTCCACCCACGTGTGTAAGTAAACACAGCATAGCAGTGCAGGTTGGGTTAGTATAAAAAAAACTATTGCGGAGAGGAAACAATTGCAGATTAACAGAGGTAGAAACAGAAGACATGAAGGAGAAAAAAGACAGCCACTATCGTTTCAAGTCCAACGTCATTCACGCGGTATGAACAGAAACTCCGTATTCTGATTACACTGGCCGTATTGTTTTATTGTTTAGTTTGATGGGGGGGGGGGGGGGGAAGATTTCGTTCTTCGTTTACGCCACTCGATTACAAAAGAATCCTGAACTCATTTGCAGTTTTGATTTCGTGAAAAAAATACTCTTTGTAATTAAAACCACAGCACAACCCTAAAAATACGTACGTGAAACAATGAAATCGATCTTTTTTTTATAGCACTTTTTTACACAGAGTGCCATGGGAAAATGGTGACATTTTAACGAGGCCCTCGACGCTTTTATAAACAACAACGTTTTATAAACAACGACGTTTGATAAACACCGACGTTACAGTGAACGTAGGCTTTCGTGAAGCAATATTACGATTTACAATTGATAATTATAATAAGACCCGAGACTGGAGGACATTTTCAAACCGTTCGATGATGCTGGTTGTAACTGCCAGGAGAAACGTCATACTGCCCAATGTTTCGGTGCTGTGGATCGCCCGCCAACACACGTTTGTTCACGCAACAAATGTATTTATTTGGCTGTGTTCGGGCGGATCAGGGTGTAACGGCACAACATTTGACTCACGTGATTGGACCCAAAAATCAATGTTGGATAAAAAATGAACGACGAATGTTAGATGCTCATCTTCAACTCATATATTTTATCCAGCCTGTTTACTCAAGCCGGAGAGCTAACGTCTCACAATTCCAGTTCAAATCCTAGTTGGGGGTGACCGAGGTGTGTGTTTATGGCCGTTTTCCCACCAGGAAAAGGTTCCCTACCCCAGAGAGGCTGGTGACAAAATGGCTTCTGTGGTAGTATGACGGACCATCATTCCTCTGGGGGCCAATAAAATTAGTACCACTTTTGTGGGGAAGTCAACAATGGTTGTCCTCCGGACAGACTACCCAGTAAATATGCAACGTTTAGCCAACATTGGCATCCGGTTGGAACTATTGGACCAACGTTCCACGTTAAACGGGTAACCCTCGCCATGGTAACGCAGAATTTGCCACGACCGGCTGAGGGCAGTAAACAAGAGATAAAGCACCATTGGCAAAAAGCTCATTCGAGCTGGAAATCAATCACTTTTATTTTTTCCCCTTCAAAGGTCACAACCCTAGCCAGCAGAGTTGGGGGGGGGGGGGTGCTAAGAAGAGAGCACCACGCTGCGCCGCGTGGGGCTGGGGCTGGCGCCGAGGCGGCCTCGCCGCACTGTGCCCGAGCGATCCAGGCTGGCGCGCGTCGCCTCCAGCTCGTAGTCGAGGCCCAGGGACCGCACTCGCTCCTGGCGCAGCACCTTCTCCCGTCCCGCCAGCTGCGTACGGCCGGCAACAACGTAGAGGAGCGTGAGAAGGGGAGAGGTCCGCGCGCGGGGGACGATGGCGACTGCACCTCCGATGGGCGCGGGTGGCTACGTACGGTGCGAAAGAAGTTCAACATGCGTATGTGTGTATGACGGAAACGTCGTTTCTATTATCTGCTTGCCTTGTTCTGCAGATCGGCTATGTGCTCCACCAGTAGCGCCTTGTCGTTCCGCAGCTGGACGCTGGCTTCGTGCGCGCTGGCATGGCGCGCCTCCAGCTCCGTGGCTCGGCTGCGTGCGGCCGCAACGCTCAGCTCCTTGCGGCTGAGCTCCTGCTCCAGGCGATGAACCTGCAACGGCCCCACGGTTGGAAACGCGTCGGGTGTCCGGGGCATCGTCAAACAAATTACGGATCGATTTTTTTCCACAGCCATGTCGGGGCTGTGCTGAGCCAGGCCATCGCGGCTCAGGAGATGCCAGGGTGTTTTTCCACTGCACAAGGCGAGTTGTGCCGTGCCGTGCCATGCCGTGCCGCGCCACTGACGTCATGCGCGACTAACGAGTAGAGATGAATTTCGATTAAAAGTTTTCGTGACTGCAGGGATTCATCTTCTTGGTTATTTCGGTAAAGTCACGTAGTAGGGAAACAATAAAATAATAAAAATAAAACATAATAAAATCCAATTCTCACGACGTTTCGGCCAACGCCGTCTTCACCTGACGACAGCTGCTTGCGTTGTGGCCGAAACGTCGTGAGAATTGTATTTAATTATGTTTACTTTTCATTATTTTATTATTTCCCTTCTATGTGACTTTACCGAAAGAACCAAGAAGAGTAGAGATGAGTGCAAGATGACACGGTGACGCTGCATCCTCACGGTGTACTTACTGCTGTCGCACACGATGATCGAATCATAACACCCTGTCCCTGGCTCCGCTTGGCCCCGAGCCAGATTCAGACAATCTTGTGGTGCTGGCTAGGATGTGCCAGTGGAAAAGGGATGTGAATGTCATTGGACTCGAGGCATTGGGGAACCCGCAGCCCTATGGGCTGTATAATTACACAGGGCCCATCGCCACACGAGGCCTTGCACTTAGAACGACCCGCGAACGACACTTATCTGTCACTGTAAGCATCTTTTTTTGCAGCAGCACTAATCGAGTACTGGAAGGGGAATATTTGTTTACGTGGCTACACCGAGTTCCTAATTTTAGCACGCTTCGTCATCTCTGCTTCTGTAAGGTCCCCAAATAATAACAGCAACAACAACAACACACCTTTCAACCAACATACCATTCTTATAGGATCATCTTAACGAGAGTTATGATGACCCCCACGTCACAGACAGACAGACGGACCGACATACTTTAGGAATTATTTTGGTTGTTAGGCCTTAGAGAGAGAGAGAGAAATAAAAAAGACTAAAAACTCAATGCTTGTAATCTCCTAATACCAGCAAACAGACTGGTGCTCGAGAAAAGCCAGACAAAGTACGGCGTGTGTGGTCATGTTTGAAGAAGAGAAGTGCGTTGGAGGGGCGGAAGGCGGGGGGGGGGGGGGCTGTGTTAAGAAACGGGACACGGCACAGCAAACGCGCAGCACCTGCACGCCAACAATAGAGAGAGGTAACAATAGAGTGGCGCGTTCACGCAGCTGTGCAACATTTATCCTGAAGCGTTCGGGTTTCACATTGGAAACGAATGGGCCAATTAGCGTGCATTGTAATGGACTCACACACGGCATATGTAGGTTGTGTGAAATCAACGGCGGTAAATCGTACGTAGCTCATTAACTCACTGCGGTAATTGGACAAAACTAACCGCGGTATTCCATCGGAGAAACATTTATTCCGCTCCTCAACAAACTTCGTTGTTTGCCAAGGCTGTTGAGGCGCGGGAAAAGTTTACTGGGTGGGGGTGGGGTGGGGGGGGGACCAGTGCTCTTAATTGAGGGGGGGGGGGTGCTCCCAAAGCCATGAAAGCCGAGGACCACTGGACTAACGGCCGCGTGTCGTGCCGGACGCAGAAGCGCAGGAAGACTTTTCCAAAGCACGACGCCGCTTCGCTCGCGCGGCGAGGGGGCCACCTCGTCTCCCTCTCCAGCCAATGCGAGTTGACTTTGGATTTGTCCTCGTTATTCCCAGACTGCCGACCTGACAGGGACGACCACGTGGGCGAGTCGCGGGGGTCGGAGGGGGGGGGGCAACTCGAGAAGTTTCTCGAGTTTTGTGGCTCGTGGAAACGTGGCATTTAAACGGTCAACAACAACAAATCAACATATTCGGTAACTAAAACTTTGGCCTTAAAAGAAAGAATCTATAATGGGCGACATTTTGGACAATGACCCCTTGTAGCGCGTAAAGGCAGTGGCAGTGTTATTGACGATGTGGTGTTTTCGTGTTGTTGATTGTGCTTGTGCACCGCTGCCAACTCAGCAGCAACACCACCACCAAATAATTAGTTATATTTAAATTAATTAATTATTCATTACTGTGCACGAGGGGTTTTTCGTCTGCGGTTTAAAGCCCTGAGCCCGTGGCGGGATGGGGAGGAGGGAGCCTTTACCCATAGGGCAACCGCTGTTGATTTCTCCATGACGCGGTATCTGGTATTAACAACTCCCAAAAGTGAAGAAGGCCTCCGAGTTGACCCACAGTCAGACCTTGAACTCGCGACCCTTCCTATTGCGAGCCCTAATGCGCTTCTATCGCGACATGAAACCCTAAAGGAATTTCCGCTCCGATGATTTTGTGAACATCTCGCGTGCCTAATGTGTACAAATCCAGCGTAACTCCCCCCCCACCACCCACCAAAAGAAATATACAAGTCAGGGTTTCGAATTTAAAAAACTCGTTTAACGTCAAAACGATTTCAGTCACAAGACACGCACATAATTTACAAAGCTGCGTGATTAAAATAAACTGCGAAGATTCGATTGTGGGACCGGCGCAAAACGATGCGCCCGTGTAAACAGGCGTCACGTTCACAGCGTGGTCACGTCAACCGCGCCAGAACCTGCTGGAGCGCGTCAAGCGTCCTCTTGCGTTCCTCCTCGAGCAGTTGGCGCAAGCGGAGGATTCTCGCCGTGCCCAGAGCGCTCCGACTCCTGCAGCGACGAGGAGCCGCGAGGCGCTCGACGACAGCCGGCTGGCGCCCTCGTCCCGCAGAGAGCGCTCCTGGGGTCGCGCGCAAAGCGAAACAGGGTACTGTCTGACTGTCTGTCGGTGGGTAGTTATGAAAACTACTGGAGGACAAAGCAATCCAGGATCAGAATCGTTATTTATACTGGAGGAATCCGATGAGCTATGAAGCTCTTTTTTCACGCAGATGTCCAGTAGGTTGCACGGGGTCAGAAACTTACAACAACAAACAATGAAAAAACACATAGGGAGTGCAAAGTGAGGAAACATAAGCAAATCACGAAAACTAATTAAAATAAATGTCATTTTTTTATTTTACCAGGTAGAGCCCACGGAGCTATTTAGCTCTTTTTCAGAAGCAACCTGGCAATTACATAGCTCAAGGAATTGGCTTATCATCACGTGTAAATGTATAATAGGAGCCAAATACTCTACACGCACGTTCATTCTAAATGTGGAGGCAAAAACCAGAGGACCCGTAAAAAAATCCAAACGACCACGGGGAGAGAAACACGCAAACTCCACATATACAGGTGTCAGGGTCGGGATCGAACCCACGACCTCCTGCATACCAGGCGAAGGAGCTAACATCTTGTCACCACTGGCAATATTTCGATTTAAAGCTTTCGTGACTGCAGGGATTCATCTAAAACAATAGAAATAAAACATAATAAAATATTATTTTATTATGTTTTATTTTTATTATTTCATTATTTACCTTCTACGTGACTTTACCGAAAGAACCAAGAAGAAGAAACACTGGCAAGACGTTAATAGGTGATGGTTGGGGGGGGGGGTTCTCGGCATGACGTACAAGAGCACCGCTGGCTGTGGGGGTCATGACAAGGTCAACGTTGAATAAACGTTACATGGGGGGGTGGGGGGGGTGTTAAACACAAAAAGAAAACGAGCTAGCGATGCGATCTCCTCACCAGCTCCAGGCAGCGGCTGAGCTCCAGCGTCTGGGCGCGCAGCGCAGCGTTGTCAGCGCGCGAGGGCGGCGCAGTCCTCCGTGGCCTTGGCTCGGATCAGGCGCTCCTGCTCGCCGGAGAGCTCCCGCTCACGCAGCTGCTGCCTCAGTGTCCGCGCCTCCTCCCTGGCACGCGCCCCCCCCCCCCACCACCACCACACGTGAGCAACGTGAAGAGACGGACGAGTAAAATAGCCCCCCCCCCCCCCCCCAATCGTCGCCAATGCTCAGTTACCGGTGTCGAGGCGGCTGCTGTCCAGAGATATCTCTTGACTCTTTGGCTCTTTCGGTAAAGTGACGTATAAAGATAAAATTATGAATTAAATACTAGCATACGACGTTTCGATTGCAACACGAGCAATCGTCATCAGGTATAAATGAAATAGAAACACAAATCTAGTATGCTTAGAAATGTAATGTAATATAACAGAGAGTCGGATAACATAACAGTCAACATTGCTTGTGTTGCAATCGAAACGTCGTATGCTAGTATTTAATTTATTATTTTATCTTTATACGTGACTTTACCGAAAGAACCAAAGAGTAATTCCTGCAGTCACGAAAGCTCCAAATTAAGTTTGATATCTCTTGAGTCTTAGTGGAGGAGTCAAAAGGACCGGTTTGTGTCGGTTGTGTAAATTATCGCGTCACTTTCGAGAATGCATTTCACGCTTTAGGTTTTGACGGCAAAAGAGAATCGGTGCCAGAAAGATGTGGCACTACCTGAGCATACTGTCACAAGGCTGATGAGAGTGGAAACAAATGACGAAATGTGCAGTGGACACCAACGAGCTATCTGCCCACGGATAGTGATGAAGGTGATGATCTACGCTCAGTTCTCCGAAATATCTTGGTTTGTTGTGCCTCAGGGGTGACAAACCCCTTCTCGGCATTGTCGACGGTCATTGCCGAATGAAATGTGCATACAGACACGGGCCAGGGGTAAGTTTCATATTTCAATTCTTTAGGATTTTAGGATCAATTCCATTCCATACGAATACAAGTTTAAATGTTTTACGCCTGCTAACAATACTGACGTCACCCGATGCTACTGTGACACCACGTATTGGGGGGGAAAACCCAAAAGTTATCATGTCAGCGGCTTAGCTCCAGTGACCGGGCGCGAAAGACCCAAAGAATATGAATTCCTGCAGTAACGAAAGCTTTAAGCCAAGAATTATCATGTCAAATTTGATTCAACATTTTTTCATTAATCCAAAAAGCAGGAACATATCCCTAGCATGGGCGTGCTTCCTGTATCTCAACTCGGCAAACCCCACACATTACATGATATCTGCGTTTTGCACACAAATCGACATCGTATCTTTCAACAATTTAACTGCATTCGATTTCTGACCGCTGCGAGTCCATGCCCAGTGGAGTTGTAGTTGTACCTACCTCTGCCGATGGTGGCAAGCGGGCGGGCGAGGGAGCGAGCAAGCGGTAAAAACTAACGACAAAGGTCCCCCGTATAGCTGTTAACAGACTCTCGAGGCAAGTGCTGTTTGCAAGTAGCGCTTATGAAGGCTGCAACAGTACTCGAGGGGGTGAGTGGCCAGCATCACGCCTTTGTCTTCCCAGTGGCGATGTTTGCACACACTGCACCAGGTACTCGTTTGAGGCTGAGTCGACCTAGGGGTAGGCCCAGGACCGATTCAGATAATCATCGCCGATGTTTGTGGCCGTGAGCCGGAATCAAACTCGGGTCTCTGTCGGGTTCTTAGCACAGCGTGCTAACCGCTACACTGGTACGTAAACATAAAGACAAACGACCCCACCGTGTCGCTTACGTACCTCCGATGAGCACTGTTGACTAGGCACGGCGCGAAAGAAGTTCAACGTACGTACATGCATGTGCAGACGGATGGGGCAAGTGCTGTTAGCGGGGCACCTTCGAAGGCGGTGTGGCAGGAATCTAACTGGGGTCCCTGCCGGATTTGTGGCGCACCTGTATTCACGGGCGATCTGCTCCTGGAGCACCGCGCTACTGCTCAGAAAGTGCTCCTGGGCGGTGCCGAGCGCCGCTTGTGAACGCAGCAGCTGGGCCCGCCGCTCGCTCAGCTCGGCCTCCGTGGCTCGCTGCTGCTCGCCCCGCTGAGCCAACTGCGGCGATCACGGCGACACAAACGCACGAGTTGATTAGGGTTGTTGTTCCAATAAAAATGTTAAAACAGCAATACCCCATCTTCTTGGTTCTTTCCGTAAAGTCACATAGAAGAGAAATAATAAAATAATAAAAATAAAACGTAATAAAATACAATTCAGACGCTGTCTTTCCGACAGACCTGTTCATCACCTGAGGACGGCTGCTTGCGTTGTGGCTGAAACGTCGTGAGAATTTTATTTTATTTTGTTTTATTTTTATTATTTTATTATTTCCCTTCTACGTGACTTTACCGAAAGAACCAAGAATATGAATCCCTGCAGTCACGAAAGCTTTAAATAGCAATACCCCGATTTACGTCTCCTCCCTTCTACATCGTTTTGCAAATACGTTGTCACTTTGTTAATGCCGCGACCTGATTTTCGTGTGGCCTCAACCCACACTGACGTCGCCGAGAGCATCATCCATCCTTTCTATGACCAAAATTGAATCATTGTAACTGTGACGTCTGCCGACCTCTGTTGTATCCCATTATTTTTATATTTGAAGGTGCCCCATCTAAGTGTTGGTTCGCATTTAAAAGAATTATTAAAAAATCTCAAAGTACGTACAGCATAACATTTCTCTACGTGACAATCCCCCTTCTCAGCCCTGACTGCACACAATGCAGCCTTCCGTGTGGTGCCCTCTACTGACCGAGGTGCGACATTAACTTCGCACTCAGAGCAAGGGACATTCTACAAACTCAACTTTTTCATTTTACCAGGTAAGGCCCACTGAGCTATATATATTTCTTTCAGAAGAGATCTGGCCACAAATTATAGCTAAACGGGAGTGGCTTATCATATGGAAAATTCATAGCAGCCAAATAATCGAAACGCATGTTGGTTATAAATGTGGAGGGGAAAATCGGAGGACCTGGAGAAAATTTCACTCAAAACCAGGAAGAGAGAACATGCAAACTCTGAATATACAAGCAGGCATCAGGATCGGGATCGAACACATGACCTCCTGTATACCAGGCAAGGTAGTTAACATGTTGCCACCGTGGCATCCAATTGCGTATTTAAAATTTCCCACATTAGTGCAAAGAGGTTGGGGTGGGAGTAATTTGCACACCACCTCTAGACACGCATGGTGTGAGATTAACGCGGGGACTTCAGGGGCCGTGCAGCCTGGGACCTTGCATTTTGACGTGACCTTCAAAAACGATATACTGTACAGTAGATACACTACTTTATAGTGTTTGAAACACAATACAGGGCTGGAGCACAATTAACAAAAACGAATTCATTCGTCAATAGCCTTACGAGGAAAAAAAATAATCGATGACGTTTTGTGCGATGGCCCTTCTCGATAGTGCAGTGTTCCTCACTAATCTTTTGCCGATAAGATATCATCAGCGTGAGGGCCGTCACACATTTTAAACCACTGAGGTTTGACAACATGATGATCGGGGGGGGGGGGGGGTGTGGGGGGGGGTGTTTTCACATTTGTGTATTGTTGGCGGGCCACACGTCAGGGGGCCGCACTAAAGGCCACCAACGGGACCTCGCCAGTGGAGAACACTGCGACAGTACACCAGAGGTGCAACGGGGCCCTGTGATGGACGGGCGGGCGTGCGTGCGGACGGGCATCATCCCCTTAACTTGCCTGAGTCTCCAGCATGCGGACGCTGTGCTCGGCGCTGCGCAGCGACGCCAGCGCGGCCTCCTGCTCCTGGCGGGCGCGCGACACCTCCGCCTCCTTGAAGGTCGCCTCGCGGTCCCCCAGCTCTCGCCGCTGACGCTCGGCCACGAGCTCGGCCAGGAGTGCGCGCTTGTCGGCCGCTCGCGCGTCTACCGTGGCGAACACCGCAACGATAGCCTGACAAACAACAACCGCAACTCCGTATCTGCGGGGAACCTTTTTTTTGTTGTTGCCAGTATTAAAATGATGGGGGGAAAGATAAGAATAGGCTTTACCCTCTCCGGCAATAAAAGAGGGTGTTAAGATGTTCAAACACCAAATAAACACCTATTGCAAGACATCAAGTCTGCATGAACGACACGAGCTTGTGGTAAAACGTGCAAACAAACGTGATTTTTATGCCTGTTTACGAGTTTCTCATCGTTGAGAGAAAGCGTTCGCGATCGGTTTCATAGGGACCTAGCTTCTTCAGCGGGAGCGTGCGAGGAGGGTGCAGCACGGTGAGGTCATGGCGTCGTGGGGTTGTAGGGTCGTGGGGTTATGTGGGGTCATGTGGGGTCGTGGGGTCATGTGGGGTCATATGGGTTGTGGGATCATGTGGGGTCGGTTTACCATACCTTGTTCGGCTCGCAGCTGGCGGCTCAGCAGCTCGTTCTCGGAGCGCAGGGAGGAGACGCTCGCCTCCATCCGCCGCAGCTCCAGATGAATCCCCTGGGCCTCCACCTCCATTCCCTGACGGACGCGCATCACACGCAACATCTCAAATCATCGCCATCATCATCATCAGTCGGACACTGGTGGCTGAGTACACTCGCAAGCGAGCAATTATGATTGCAAGGTTTCGTGGGTCACACACGTTCCTGAAACTTCGTGCATAACCGTGGGCGCCAAGGTCTCCCGGCTTGCCAGGGTACGATGACAGCAGGGGCGGTTTCTTCATTAGGGCGATTGGGCGACGCACCACCAATGTCATTCAACCACAGAGTCACGCTAGCCGTCACTGTGCCTCTGGATATAGTCCAATCAGCGTCATGTCACGTTCTGTGGAGTACCGCCTCTTTTTGGGCGATTTCACTCCGGCTGAGAATCGCCCCGAGTGGCCCCATAGACTTACATTCAAAGATGTTTTTTTTCGACCGGGGGGCGCTCCAATGCATTCTCTATGACTTCCGGGAGGGCTCGCCCTAACGTGCTTACGTCATCATACGTAAGCACGTTTCATCCAACAATATAATTTGTCGCCACCTAGTGGAATCTTTAATAAAAGAAACTTGAGTAGATTCTATTAATAGTGAGTATAGAAACAAACAAGGAGATGTATTGTAAGAGTCACTTTATTTTTCATTAATATTAAAGAAGTGAAGTTGCCTTTACATGCTTAAGCTGTTAATGTATCCATTGCATGGGTGGACCTTATCCTTATCAATCATCCAGACATTTGCCCCCCCTGAGAGATTTTGCAGGAGCCGCCACTGGATGACAGTACAGGTGGATTAATTCCCATCTGTATTCCATCTGTACGGGGATTGAGTCTTACCCACTTACTCACCCTTGCACACGTGGGTTTATTTCTGTGCAGTCTGTACTCTTCTCACACGTATACGCACTCATTAATGGAGTTGATAAAACATGCCAACGTAGAATCACAGAGTTTTGGCAATTGTTGTGCTGGTTCTGGCTGCCCTCCCACTCCTCTATGGTTTCCTGCGTACATTACACAGGGATTTCGGAAGCAATTCATATCAATTATGCTGTATATAAAAAAATATATATTAATTTCAATGTATTATTACTAAGTATTCTAAAATAGCAGCTCACACAAGTATAAACAAATATTGGTCAAATACGTGGGCTGAGCTGGGTATCTTGCTTCAACAAGAAATATCCCTCGATTTTTATCAAATGAAAGATAAAGGGGAAGCCCTGCAACTTCTTTCTCACACCACTGCTGGTGGAAAGGCCTCGGCCTAGAGAGAGAGAGAGCTCTCAAGAGATGGGAGCGCCCACACTTTACCCCACCCCACGCGTGCGACCTGTCCCGGTTGACTAACCGCGGGGTGGACACAACAACAACAAAAAGTGTCTCCCGGACGACGAACGGCGTTGTGTGCACTGCGGCAGCGTGTAATCAAACTCAGAGAGTTCCTGTCGAGTGACATCATCCTACGCAAGTCACTCAAGGGTCATTGACGTGCACAGGCATTGCCTTGAGAGTGCCCAAAGTAGACTAGTGCATATGTACGTGTCAATCCACTGCTGGATGAGAGCTTTTCTATGAAACATGCCATAATTGTTTATTTAGATGGGCGGACGATTGATAGCGATGGATGTTCGCTGATGGATAGTCATGTAGATGATGGTGATGATGCAATGGCTGTGATATGAACAATTCAATGATTACAATTCGGCTTCATAAAGCATCTCGGCACAAATTGTATCCGGGCAAAACTTAAGCCACGTTTTCACTGGATATATGCCGGAAAGGGTTGTGGTGTCCCATGGATGAGGCTGATTATGGAATGGCAGCCGAAGAATACAGCAAAACTATGAAACTAAACTATATTTATATTACCAGGTAGACCCATTGAGCTGTATAGCTCTCTTTCAGAAGCGATTTGGCCATCACAAACGAAAGGTCAACGGAGTGGTTTATCGTGTAGAAATTTCGAGCAGCCAAATGCTCAACGGACATCGATTCTAAATGTGTAGGGTTAAAAGCAGAGGGCACGGAGAAACATCCACGCGACCACGGGGAGAACATGTAAACTCCAAATATACAGCAGGTGTCAGGGTCGGGATCGAACCCACGACCTCCTGTAGACCAGGCGAGGTAGTTAACATCTCGCCACTGTGAGGATGACCATCGCGGAGGTGGAGGGGATGAGAACCGCACACCACTCTGTTTTCGCAGCGGTCGTCCTCTCGGATGAGTGAAGCAAATTGGTTGCGAGCGGCAGGGGAGGAGTGGGAAGGAGGAGCAGCAGGGCACAAGGAAGAGGCTTCCTCACCCGCATCTTGTGTAGCATTCGCTCCGCCTCGGACGTCATCTTGGGCTGCAGCTCCGAAGCCTTCTTGGCTTGCTCACGGGTTCCACGAGACGTCAAGGAGCCGACACGCCAACTTGATCACTCACTCGCTCGCCCGCTCGTTCACTCAGCCTCTCGCTCGCTCGTTCACTCACCCTCTCGCTCGCTCATTCACTCATTCACTCACCCTCTCGCCCGCTCGTTCACTCAGCCTCTCGCTCGCTCATTCACTCACCCTCTCGCCTGCTTGTTCACTCACCATCACTCTGATTCACTCAGCCTCTCGCTCGCTCATTCACTCACCCTCTCGCCTGCTTGTTCACTCACCATCACTCCGATTCACTCACCCTCTCGCCTGATTGTTCACTCACCATCACTCTGATTCACTCACCCTCTCGCTTACTCGCTCGCACGTATGCTCACATATACGCTCACTCACTTGCAGTCACCCACCCACCCGCCCCTACTGGACGTGTGAAAAAGAGCTTCATAGCTCATCGGATTCCTCCAATATAAATAAAGATTCTGATTCACTTGCTCACTCGTCCACCCACTCGAACATTGCTCGCTCATTCACCCGCTCACCCATTCACCCACTTGCTCACTCAATTAATTGATCACTTGTTCACTTGGCCGCATGCTCAAATGCAGGCTCACTCACTCACCTCGCAGCCACCCTGCTCACTCAACCACTCGCTCACTTACTCGTCCACCCACCCGTCTACTTGCTCACTCATTCACCGGCTCACTCACCCACACGCTTACACACCTGCTCCCTCACGCACTGACCAGCGTGATGAAGTATGGTCAAAATAACGCCCACCACTCAAAGAGTGTGGGGAGGCCCTCATCCAGCAGTGGATTGACAAAGGGTGTGTAAATGTACATGTGACTTAGGTCACAATAAGCACGTCAGGACGGTGATAGCAATTAAAGGCTCTGTTGGACGTAAACTGAGAATTCCCTTTCTCTAAAGATGATTGTTACACTACCTGCATGTACGTAAATACTGTAAGTAAAGCAAATGCACACCGATTATGAATTGTACTTCTATTGTTGCATCTGTTGTGTGCATTATATCAGCACAATTCTCCAATTTGGCGTTTTCAAAGCGCGAACTCTGAACACAATATACGACCTTTACAGCCACAACGAAAACTCTGTTGCTTAACAACAGCTTATTTGCCAATGCACGCAGGTGAATATTTTTGAACGCGTGTCCCTATTTTCTAGACGTACAACTCCACGGTGTTGTCACATGCCGTGTAAATGTATGCAACCCACTGTTTACACAGGTGACGATGAGTAGAGATCGGTGGAAGGGTGACTCAAAGGAGGTGGAAACGGATGGAGCGAGTTCATTTTAAAAGGAAATATCTGGTCGAGAATAAAGTAATTTGGAAAAGTAACAAAACATTTTGATTAGGAATTCGTTTCCAGTAGTAAAAAAAAATAGTTTTTGGGAATACGTGGCAGGGTAGTTCAATACTCGGAATACTGAGATCCTGGGTTTCAATTCGAGTTCCTGCCGCCCGCGTTATCTTAAGTGCAGTGAGTTTACGGTCTAAGGCCAGTCAGCAATGATGCCGTTAAGAAAAAGAAGAATCTCACTTAGTTTGGAAAAATTCCAACAACAACAAAAATAGTTGAACCCCTTAAGTTTGGCAGAATTCCAGCCCTGAAAATAAAGCCACAAAAGAGGTGATGTGGGGGGATGGAAGGGTGGGAGGGAGGGAGGGGTGCGGCAAGGGAATAAATTCAGGAGCTCAGTCCTGGACAGCTCCAGCTATTCAGAAAGAGGCACCCCAACCCCAGGCTGCTGCTCAGTCGAACATTTCCCGCGACGCCTTGACGGCCTTCGAGGGCTCACAACGACGGGGATATAGGAAGTCCGTCTCCATCTCCAGCAGGTAGACTTGCTCCTGCAGGTTCCCGATGTACTCCGTCTCGATCCCCGCCAGCGAATCAGCGGCCACCTTGCTGTTGCCAGGCACACGCACGAAACACGAGCATGGCCCACAACACGCGTTCCCCAGGAGACGTCACTTGAGGCTTGCAGACACTGGGGCGGTGCTGACCGCACTTGAAACAACAGGACACACACACACGCACGGCTCCCCCTGCCTCTGTCTTTTAGCTGCAGCAATTTAACGGAGGCGCGCACACACACACACGGCTCCCTGCCTCTTGCCGGTCAGCTCTCTGTGCCTCTGTCTTGGAGCTGCAGTACTTTAAAGGAGACACACACACGTGCTGTCTGCATTTGTCTGTTAGCTGCGGAACTTTAAACTGAGAAACACACTGCTGTTTGCCCGTTAGCTGCAGTGTTAAAGAGACACAATGCGGTCTGCCTGTTGGTTGTATCACTACTGAGACACAGACACCGCTGTCTGCCTCTTAACTACACCATTACTGACAGATACACATAATGCTGACTGCCTGTTGGCTACAGCAACGACCGAGACCACACACACTCCTGTCTGCCTGTCATCTCCAGTGATGTCCTGGGACACATCTCCTGATGGCTCGTGCTGCAGATTGGATTCTGCATCGCCTATGACGAAGGAGAGAGGGCCGCGGAGTGAGGAGTTCTGTAGTAAATATGAAACTTTATGCAGGGCGATCCATTTAGAGATACCCCACCGATTTGCTGCAGTTTCCCCCACCCCACTTCGCTTCAATCTGGACGGGTGATTGAATGTGGTGAAAGCGATTCTGGCTTCGTACCTTACAGAGCAGCACAGAAGGAAGAGGACGGGTTGGTATAGCGTGCGTTAGGATAGCGTTCATATACAGTATGTATTGAGTGTTGAGATTGTGCGTGGAAAATCTAGAGGCTTGGGCCAACTTTGGGCCAAAGTTGACATGGTTTACCGGGTAGAGTTGTTTCTCGATTATTGTTATTTCTATTAACTATGATCGATGAGCAGTTGTATCTATGAATGGATCGCCCTGCAGACTCGACGTTTCGTGTGGATGGCTCGCGAATAAACGGGAGCACACACGTATTCGACAAAATATTTACATCGGACACAAAAGACGTTGTAAAAAAAATAACGCGCATGACAAAAAGGATTGAGAGTCACCAAGGCAATCGACACACACACACAAAGATCCCCCGTGTAGCCTGAACAGTCTGTTGGGGCAAGTCCTGTTGGGGCAAGCGAGCACCCGGCACACGAGTGGGGGTGGGTGGCCAGCAGCACCACGCCCGGCCGCCTTTGTCTCCCCAGTGGCGGTGTTTACTACACACCGCACCAGGCTACTACATTGTGAGGCTGAGTCGACCGACCTCGAGGAGGACCGATTCAGATCATCGTCATTCATCATCCAGCCCGTTCATTCTTAATTCTAGATTTGAAGCTTTCGTGACTGCAAGGATTCATATTCTTAGTTTTTTTTCGGTAAAGTCACGTAGGTAATCTCGAGAAGCTGTGACTTCGTATCTCGTTGTCTGTTAAAAACTCTAACAGATAGGTGGAATTCCTCCCCGTAGAGGGTATTAATTCTAGATTTGAAGCTTTCGTGACTGCAAGGATTCGGTAAAGTCACGTAGGTACCTAAACGTGACTTTACCGAAAAAACCTAAGAATAAGAATATCATTCTTAATTATCCACAGGCCCGTTCATTTCCCTGGGCACATGTCTTCGTGTGCTGCGATGCTCACGTTGTCCATCGAATACGGCGCAGATACAGCGGATTATAAGACGTTGCACTTTTGTTTGTTGTATTTTTTAAAGCTAAAAAGTTTAGGGATGGGTGGGTGTTTGGGTGCGAGACAAGATCTGTGTAAGACGTTTGAGATGCCGCGTAACGATCAGGAGCGTCTTATGATCCGGAGAATGTGAACTTGATAGTTTCAACTCGCCTGCTGCGATAAGAGTGCACACGTTTAAAAAAAAAAACGGAAAACGCATCTTTAAAAACACAAGTCGGGATGCACTCGACATGAGAACGCCGTGGCACTAAGGCGTGCACCTTAGTGACACGCAGTATATAGGGTATCGTTGTTTACGTCGAAACAAACAATACAAACAAGCCACGGTGAACATCAGTGGCGAAAAGATGCCTGCATCGGTCTTGTATGTATGTTGAACGTCTTTCGCGCCGTACGTAGCAAACCTTTGCTAATCGGAGGTGAAACCCCACCCCCACCCCACTGGTTAAATCTAGCTTAATGATTATAGTTTGAGTTCGTTTTTTTATCTATTTATTACACGGATGACTCCGTTTATCCAGATTTTACAAGGGAGAGGGATCCGTGGTGCGTGCTTGGAGAAACAAAAATACCCCCCCCAAAAAAAACCCCATCGATGTTGCAGAGACAGAGCACACAAATTGTTCATGAATATCACGACGACGACAACTCACGGTATTATCACTTTGACTGTCGGAGGAGAAGAAGAAGCACAACGCATGCATTGAAACCGACTTGTGTACGAATGACCTCTTGTGTTTTTTTGTAAACTTTTAACGCACCGCATGCGCTTTGAGGACTGTACCTGAAAGTCGGAGCGAGGCTGACTTTCGTCGCTTGACTCTTGGCAGCTTTACTCCCTGAACACAAAACACAGTGGCGCGTTCACACACCGCAACAGACACTGTGCGTAACAGGCGCTATAGGCTGCGAGACCACGCTGTGGACAGCGTCTATGCCCCCCCCCCCAACCCACGGGCAAAACCGCAGCCGGTCCGCATTGACCAACAGGGTGAAGTATGGTCACATAACCACCCAACCCCTCCATAACCCACACGGTGTGGCGAGATCCTCGTCATCCAGCAGCGGAGAGACAATGGAGGTTCCACGCACAGTCTGCTGTACCACACACACTAGCGCACATTGTACTTTGCAATGCACTTTACGCAGTGGTCAAAGACAAAACTGATCCCCCTCGTGTCGCCTTTAATAGACTGCTGGGGCCAGTGCCGTCAGCGAGCTCCGGCGAAGGCTGTGACGGCATGCGAGAGGGGTGGCCAGCTTGTACGCCAGGCCGCCTTTGTCTCCCCAGCGTTGATATGTACACACCGCAGCAGGGCCACTGTTGTTGTTGTTGGTCGTGCAGTGGTATCGAACTCGGAACGTCGGCCTTGTAACTCAAGTGTTGCTCATCGCCGCGGGACCGCATTCCAGCCCCCCCCCCAAAAGACAGTGTTTGTGCTTTCGTTACGTTGTCCCCACCTGATGAAGGCCGCTTGTGTTGCGCCCGAAACGTCGTGATTTAATTTAGTTGTTTTCATTTATTGAATTTCATTTAATTTTTTACCTACGTGACTTTACCGAAAAAAACAAAGAGTACAAATTCCCCCGTATCGCCCTGACAGACGGCACACTTTTACCCCGTAGGAAGATTTAAAAAACACAAATTGGGAGGACGTCTTATCATTAATCCGGTAAACGTGTGTCGGGGTGGGGGGCGAGGTAATTTTTGCAGTCGCATGTTTTGGGTGCCGCGTTTCACTTCGCGGAGCCGTCTTACAATCCGAAGAATCTGGTAGACAGAACAATTTGCTTTAAACGACGACCATGAATTAGACTCCATTGCTCGACTCCGACCACACAAGCGGCAGTGGAGCGCAGTGATTGTGCGTGTAGATATGAGCCGATAGATTGCGCACGGTTATGCTCCGTAAACTTACACGTGTGTGCGTGTGTATATGTGTGTGTATGTGTGTGTGTAACGCGGCTAAAACTACAACACATCTTTCTAGTCCAACATCAGAGCGCCAGTTACCCGTTCGGTGATGGGAGAAGTTTAAGTAGCGCTTTGCACGAATGAGAAATCACGCATCCTTACCCGACATTGCGACGACGACGATGATAATGTTGGTCGCGTTGAAGATTGCAAAAGCACAGAGTCAGCCGTGACGTTTGATGGTGAGCGCGCGTGTGATTTGTGTGTACACACGGGGGTGGGGGGTGGCGTCATAGAAGCTGCTTTGTTAGAATACAACGCATCGAGTCTGAAAACACAGTGCCGATGACTTCCAAGTGAACGGATTTCGCCACCACGCGAACCAACAGGGAAATTACTTTGGCGTCTCTTCGATGCAATTGTGACTTTTGGACTGCGTGCCCACGTGGGAGCCACGCTGGATGTCTTTGTACGTAGTGGGGAGCGGTGGCGTAGTGGTTAGCGCACCGCGCTACGAACCCGGCCACCCGAGTTCGATTCCCGATCACGGCCAACACCGATTATCTGAACCGGTGCTGGGCCTCCCCGAGGTCGACTCGGCCTCAAAACGAGTACCTGGTGCGGTGCGTAAACATCGCCACTGAGGAGACAAAGGCGGGCGTGGTGCTGGCCACTCATCCATCGTATACCGTTCCGGCCTTCACAGGTGCTCGCTAGCAGCACTTGTCCCTAGTCAGTTGAGGCTATACGGGGGGGGGGGGGGTCTTTGTCTATGTACGAAGCGGCAAATCATTACCCGAAAAGTCGCCTGTATTATGTTTTCTTCCCATTTTAAGGCCAGTTGAGTTGTTTTCATATTGTGCTGAGGCACCGCTGGACACAGCAGGCAACGTCGCCAAATAATTTGGATAGTAACTTTTTTTATTTAAAATAAAAAATAACTTTTTTTTTTTCACCTACGTGACTTTACCGAAAGAACCAAAGAGTATGGATCCTTGCAGACACGAAAACTTCAAATCTATAATTTGGATCGTGTTTGCCCGACTTGTATTGCCGCTCAGCAGTTTTGTCAATGCGCTGCTGGATAAATTCCTTATTGCCACGCCGTCTCGGTCGTGTTTGACGATACTTAAGGGGCCGTCCATAAGTGACGTCACGTGATTTTGGACGCTTTTTGACCCCCCCCCCCCTTCGTCACACGACGTCACAAAAAGTCAGACCACCCCCCTCAAATATTACGTCACAAAGCTCTGCCCCCCCAAAATAAAAATGCTTCAAATCGCTTTAAACTATTGCCATTGTAGTGCGTATTTAATGTGGCACTGCACTCTGATGTTGGAGAAAACATTTATTAAAAAGTCTATTTAATTAAGTAGAACGTGTTGTCTAAATTTATTGAAAATTGCGCATTTTTTATGTGACGTCACATTTCTCACCCCACCCCCCTAGGTGCGTGACGTCATTTATGGACGGCCCCTAACCACGCTAGGCAGTGCTTGTTGATGAAGGGGCCGAGAGGAGAGGGAAAAGAGGACCGGTTCAGACATCGATAGCCACTCCTGGTAGCCTTGGCCGGGAATCTAACTCGGGTCTATTTATGAATGAAGCAGTGCGATAACGAAATACTCCACTCCCAAAATTAAGCGTAAATGTTCTCGTATGCGTCTATATTGAACAAACTCACATCCGTCAATAACGCTGTCTTAATATGCACTATAATAGACGACGTTTTGGACAATGGGCCTATTTCATGGCACGTCGAAATATTACAATGATCCTAAATGCGATATTGAATTTAATGCGACGGAGCGCTGCCTGCACCCTTTCATCGCAGGCCACTCCTGCAATTGAGACTCCCCCGTCACCTGGCTAAACAAAGACTTTCATGAAGCTTTTTAGTTGTTGTTGTTGCGGAATCCGATAGATCACACTTGAGTCGAAAAGAAGGGGCCGGTGAGCTCACACCGACAAGAACAACATTTTATTAAACCATATGCAGTTACATTAACGTAACTAAGAAGACAAAAAAACACTCAATGGGCTTTGCATATCACTTAGTGCCGATGTCCACCACTGGTAAAATCCACAACAATATTCAATCCACCGTCGTGGAAGTTGCTCCACACCGCCAAATATATATATATTTTCCTCGTGCACGTGTGCTGTGTAAAAAAAAAATTAGGTTTGCGAATTGGGTAATCTACAAGCCGTGAGTGCGGTGTTCGTTGTTGGTCAAAAGCGTTTCACTCGGTTCGAAGTGGTGAAAAATGAACCCAATCGACGGTGGCGTCATGAAATTTGGACAACTTCAAACGCACTGCAACACCGCGATGACGCCGTGGGGCTTCATGAAGACCGCGTTCGTGAAGAGTTCAAACCACCATCGCCTTGACCACTCTTCGCTTTATTTAAAAAAAAACCCAATGGAAACTAGAAAGCATGAGCGGTTAATGGTTGGAAGTAACTGTCAATACCTCATTCACGATTACTTCTTTAAACACTGCGTCGAATTTGTAACTATGAAACAACATATGTCCGATAATAAATGCATCGTCTTTGAAACAGATTGGCGTCCTCTGGTCTAACACCGTTTTGAGACTGGGCTCAAAAGCAAGCTGTCTTTGGTGTGGACCAATCAGTTTCAAAGACAATGCATTTATTATGAGAGTATGTTTTTGGTTTGCATTCTGACCACAAGTATTGTGGTATAAGCAGACATGATTCCTATTCTCATGGTTTGCCGTTTTATTTTAAGCTGGGAGAGTAGACAAATAAAGGATGTTAAATATTTAATTGAGAAAAGTTGGTGGGTGGGGGGGATGCGGAGAGGGGGCAGGACACGCTGTTCGAAAAGGAAGATGGCCATTGGGTCGAGCCCAACGGACTGGCAGTCAAAGGAGAATGTCCAACCGCAGTTCGGATCGATACATTCAAGCGACTCGCGCACGCCCATGTGTGTGGCCTGATGGGCGTGTGGACCCAGTAGTCTTGACTGGGACGCCCCCCCCCCCATACTACCAAAACAACCGCAAACCACCGAGTTCAATGCAACACGTGGCTACTAGTCCGCTCAATATGGAATCGAAAAGCACAATTGACGAGACTTGGTTTTGAATGGATAAACCTTCGTGAATTATGCATACGTGCTTATCCAGATAAATTGAGTGCTGGACTAGTTTCGAAATAGCGGCAATTTACATGAATGCTTCATGATTTGGTAGGAAAATGGGAACTCTGTATTTGTATCGGGTTAATAAAAGTTAACGTACACCCCTTTTGTGATTCTACTCCAGGACGAAGACCTATATCCACGCCGTGTTGGTGAAAGAGGCCGTTGGTTGGATCATGCTTCATTTGCACTGGACAATGCGGGGTTAACGAAGGGAAGCGGGCAGGACCAGTTCGTGTAAGACTCGCCACTGCTCCACCCTATCACTTCGCACTGTACAACGCTCCTTAAAAGCCTTGCCAATAAGCCCAAGTGTCAACTTTTGAATTGTATCCACAGCTCGAAATTAACTTTATTCAGTTTTAGTGAACATGCATGCAACCACTAGGTGTAGGTACAGTATTCCCATTTGAAATTATATACGTACAACCAAAATGATGCAGGTAAATGTAAACACGACTTAATATTTTTCGATTTAAAGCTTTCGTGACTGCAGGGATTCATCTTCTTGGTTCTTTCGGTAAAGTCACGTAGAATGGAAATAATAAAATAATAAAAATAAAACGCCACAACGCAAGCAGCCGTCCGCAGGTGAAGAATAGGTCTGTCGATAAGGTCTGCCACAACGCAAGCAGCCGTCCTCAGGTGAATAATAGGTCTGTCAAGACAGACCTATTATTCACCTGAGGTCTGTCGATAAGGTCTGCCACAACGCAAGCAGCCGTCCTCAGGTGAATAATAGGTCTGTCAAGACAGACCTATTATTCACCTGAGGTCTGTCTTGACAGACCTATTATTCACCTGAGGACGGCTGCTTGCGTTGTGGCAGACCTTATCGACAGACCTATTCTTCACCTGCGGACGGCTGCTAATAGGTCTGTCAAGACAGACCTATTCTTCACCTGAGGACGGCTGCTTGCGTTGTGGCCGAAACGTCGTGAGAATTATTGTCGTATTTTTATTATTTTATTATTTCCATTCTACGTCACTTTACCGAAAGAACCAAGAAGACGACTTAATATGGCTACAAATCTCAACCAAGACTGGTCCAACTCGTATATAATGGGAGTAATTACCACTGGGTTGCCATTCTGTATGTAACGTATTGTAAACGTCAGGGGTGGCCAAACCATAGCTCGTGAGTCACACGCGGATCCCAGCTTAAGGCGCAGCTCGGCTCGACGAGTCATAGCTATTTGGCTATTTGTGTAGCTATTTCTCGTCTCAATATTTATTCTATTTGTAGCAAGAAGAATCGGGAAAAGTGGGAGCAGCCGGGGAACACGCGCGGCCCCTGACAGTGAAGCCAGACATGACTACCCCTCGGGGCTCTCCCCACAGATTTCTTAACTCAAATCTCTGCAGCCAATGAATGTGAGCGAGCCAGCCTGAGCGCTTGTGGCTTTCGGCTGTATGAAGATTTTCGGTTTGTGGCTCCGTTGGCCCAGAAAGTTCAGCCACCCCTGGTATATGCATTGTCACAAACCAATCGAAGACTATTTTGCATGAAATCGAATATAAAGTTATAGTGTAGTATTTATAGGAGAGCCTGGGAAAAGTGAATGTCAATCCTGTGGTTGTACATACTGCGTTAACAGCACACACACACATATGTTGGACCTGCCATAAATTTCAGAGTAGATAAATGTGAAAAGTGGAATAGTATCATGACAGTGATCAGACGGCCAGGGCATATTCCCTTCTGAACACGCTTCAAGGGAAAATGCATTCTTACAGCGATGCATGGTTTAGATCGTGATCAAGGCCATTCGTTTGCACGAGACATCTGGATGGTGACCAAGGGTTCAAGGACTGACATTTTTAACCACTGGCCCGTGAGGGCAAGTGCACCAATCTCACTTTAAGACTCGTGGGTTTTTAGTCCCTATCTCAACTAAATTCGAGGCAACCCTTAAATTTAAGAGCATCACCCAAATGCTGGCATGTTTACTGAAACTATAGCTATTTGAAAGAAGCAAGATACATTGTGCTACTGTCAAAGCTAAACGGGTACTATATAATTGTTGACTAAGAGTGGGACACGTAACGCGTAGCTCAGTTAAACCCAATGAAGCCACGGTCACTGCGAAGGCCTCTGAAAAGCAGGCGGATATAGGGTACGAAGCTAAGGAGCCCTAGCTTCTGCAGCCGTGGTTCTAAACTTCACCCTACGATTACATCGGGACCTCGTTCCGACTTGTCGTGTCAGCCTTTGGACAAACATCAAGCGTACACTGGGTATTTCTTGCAACATCTGACACCTGCTGACAGTTAACACATTGGTTGTTGTATGAACTTCTTTCGCACTGTACGTAGCCAACAGTGCTAAATCGAGGTGCAGGGGAAGGACAACTAAACGCATAGTTTGAACGTTGGGAGGAGAGGTCCGATAAATATTGCTCTAAAGTATGCACACCAGCTTGAATTCTTAGCAGCTGCACGGTGGACCTACTCAGCCGCCATAAAGTTTGCACATAAGCTTTACAAAATAGCCCCATGATGGAGCTACAGCTGACTCAATTACGTAGGGTTACAGGGTGCACAGACAACTCCAGACAAAACAAATATACGGACATGTAAAACAACGTAAATGACGAAAAAGATGGAGAATACGCTTGTGTATGTACGTTCAACTTCCCTACAAAGATGTTTGCGATCGAGCGGAGTCACTGACCCTCGACGAGTGAGGATCTTCCAATAAGATAACCAGCACACGGTGCGTAAAACGCGAGAGAATCGAGATCTCACAAATTATTTCCATGGTCTTAAAGGGAGGCTGACAATATGCAGTCACACGCGGTGACATACCATGGACACGTTTACTTCAAAATAATTTCAAGAAGCATTGAAAAAACCAAGCACGTCATCTCACATACAGTATCAACAAGGTATCCTGGCCTATGATTACAGGTACATCACACAAAGCGGCACTGCCTAATAGAAAGACGAGCAAAGTTACTGTCAGTTTGGATGCACTGTAGACTCACAGGACATAAATTAAGAGGTGGGAAAAACGCGTGTAAGTGCAGCGTCGCGAGTGTGGGCTGTGTTTGCACGTTCCTATGGATGCGTGTGGTATCGTACGGGAACAAGGTGTGTGCAGGTTGGTAACTGGTGTGTGTGACGTGGGTGAAAGTGCGCTGCAACACACGCGTGCATGCGGTGCGCATGCGGTTTCGCGGTCATGGGCTACGCGTGTTACTACGGTTGCGTGCGCATAAAGCACGCCGGCCGGTTGAGTAAGGAGAGGGGGGAGGGGCGAAAAAGGCTCTTGAGCAACGTGCTCACACAAGCGTCACGTTGGCCGCTTGCAGGTATCCCTGCAGGTAGCGCGCCGCGTCGACGTTCACGTCCGTGCTGATCATGGAAGAGACCTATACTCGTGCACACACACACATATACACGTATGTAATTAATGCGCACACGCAAAAAAACACCCAATGGACACAAAGATCCCCTACGTAGCTGCTTGTGGGCAAATGCTGTTAAGCGAGCACCTATGTAGGCCGTGACGGCACACGAGGGAGTTGGTGGCCAACACCACGCTCGACGATGTTTAGACACCGCACCAGCTATTCATTTAAGGTTGAGTCGAGCAAGGGGAAGGCCCCGAACCAGTTCAAATATTCATCACCGACGTTTGCTGTGAGCGGAAATTGAACCAGGGCTGCGAGTTCATGGTGCTGTGCGCTAATCAGCGCACTACTGCTCCAACGTATGTATGTAGAACTTGTTTCGTGCCGTACATAGCCAACCGTGCTAATCGGAGGTGCGGCAAAGGACAACAAATACCCACAGCGCATGCACTCACTCAGAAACAGTCCAACCCATCCATCCATGTCCCTTGACCGATTTAACGACACGATCGTTTTTGGGGGCACTGTAGTGAGAGCCCTGGTCGGGATATCTATTTCCACCTTGCCCGGTTCCCTTGGGCAAGGTTAAAAGTACGTGGCTGTAGGGGCTCCCCTCCCCACCTTTTACCTCCCCCCTCCTTTATGTGGTCCAGTTGCATAGGGACTGTCCTCTGACATTTGACACCTGGTTATGCGAGCCACGTGGCGTGCTGTATCGGGACTCGTGTTTTGTTACAATAAAAGCAACAAGAAAAAAGTGCGTGGGTGCGAGGGCTGCGAGGGTCTCACCCGACCGGGCCGCGCGGTGCTCAGCTTGCCGAGGCTCTGCGCAAGGTGGATCTTGGCGTTGGGTACCGAGGCCCCAAGCGGGTCATGCTCCTTGCGGCCGGCGAAGGCGAGCTGCGAGAAGGCGGCCTGGTAGCCCGGCGTGTCCTCCACCTCCACAAAGTGTTCGTCGTCGGCCACCGAGTCGTCTTCTGGAAGCTCGAAGAGCCCGATGAGGGATTGCAGCAATGGGGCCCTAAATAGAGTGATGTGCACGCACGAGAAGATACAGGCAAAACACAGGGTGGGTTCCGTGTCATCGGAAATGCCTGTGCAAAGCAACGCGTCACGTTTAAAGGAGCACACTTGTTGATACAATTATTATCATCCCCATTATGATAGACTAGTCTCTGAACAAACCACTCCACATGCGATATTCGCAGAACTGAGAAGCTACATGGGGTACAGCCTTGGGTGGGCGAGCATTGAACAAGTTCACGGAAGAATGAGGCCATGTGGTGGGCAGGAGAGTGCAGTGCAGCAACATCCATTCTTGTATTTTACTTCTGTGGTCCCACCTCACGTTTTCCACCTTCCTCAACTCACGCTGACCAGGGTAGTGAAGTACAGTAAAACCATGGATTGCGAGTAACTTGGTCTGCGAGTGTGAATATTAATTTGATAAACGAGCGAGGTCTTGCATTATGAGTAGTGCGTGTATACGCTTTGTCTGCCGAGCGTCACGTGATCACAACTGATATACGAGTGCTTTGATATACGAGTGCTTTGGATTACAAACACGTTTCCGGAACGAATTATGCTCGCAATCCAAAGTTTTGCTGTATCATCAAATAACTTCCAGGACTTGCATGGGAGGACCTTATCCAGCAGTGAATTGAAAAAAGGGCTGTACGTGTTTAACTCTTAAGGAAAATGATAGGCATGTAATGATGCATCAATTCATTAATGTATTTACATAAATTACAATAGGATTATATGTTAATGTTTCATTTCGGGTAACAGAAAAAAAGCATTTGGACAAAAGTGGTGGCACACAAGTAATGGAAAGAGGTGCATCAAAATATGACGGAGGGTGGCGGACGATAACAGATTAATTATGAGAGAAGCAGTGGATTATACGGACTGCACAGGAGACATTAGAAGGGAGGAGTGGGCTGTCAAGAGGAGGCAAGTCTTGGGCCAGGACCTGAACAAGAGTTATAGAGGTCAGTTGTGCGAGTGTGAGAACAGTCAGACGTGGGCATCGCTGAGTGCACACCCACCACAACTTCGTGTACTCCGTGTCCATCATGGCCGGGCACTCGGTGAGCTGCTTGGTGATGCCGACCGCACAAATCTTCTTCTCTACGGTGCCAGACACCTTCTGCACTTCCGGAATGATCAGCTTCTCCACAACCATGCCGAACATTCTAATGCGCGGTGGAGGTGGTGGGGGAGGGAGACGTGCGGGGACACACAATTGGGATCACTGAAAGTAATGGAATACAAGTATAACCCGTAAAAACAAAGTTTTTCACTATAAATCCTTTATATGCGTGGCGGCTAGAGTCCTCTCGTCCTCTGGCTTGAGATGGCTGCCACCTATGGGTCAGATGATTGCATTGCACCATTAAGCAATTGGTAATTAAATATAATATTTTTGTCCTAAAAAGTGTAAAATTTGGGGGGGAAAATTTAACGAACATTAATTGTCACGCACAACGAGTCTGTGTGGAAAATGTCAGCTCGATTGGATCACGGGAAGTGGGTTAAAAAACGACCGAAAGATTTGCACGGTCGTAAACAAGCAAGCGAACTTAATATAAAGGATTTAAAAATTAGGCAATTGTAATCTTCACCAATTTAATCCCGATCGTGCTACAGCGGCGTCACAGCTTGAGACACGGAGAATCTGTTTGGATCTCACGCACAGCCATTGCAACTCTTTGTGCTGGCGAATGGGCCCAGGGAAGCCGATATCACCAACAACCTCTGAGATTCCTTCACAATAGAGGTCAGCACTTTCCCACCCATTCTGCAACGAGAGGGCCATGTTCGTCCCATTACAGTGAAACCAATATATTTATGAGATTGCTGCCATCTCTGGCTTTCTGTACGTGCAGGCATTGTTGAGACCATCAATTCTACAAATGAAAATCCGGTCCCACTCAGCGCTCTGACATCCAAAGTCATTCAGCCACCTCTGACGTTCACCGATGACAATAATTATTCTATTGTGCCGAGCCACCCAGGGATCACCTATGCTTATCGTGTGAACTTAAGGAGCTTACCCCCCCCCCCCCACCGACTCAAGCAGTGCTATGTTACCCCAATGCATGGCCACTAAGCTGCCTTACTTGGGCTGGATGCTGTCCACCAGCTCCTGCAGCGCTATGGGCCCATACTTTATACAGAAGAGGTTGATGAAGACCAGGAAACCTGTGGAATGCACAAAGAGTAATCATCACCCCCAGCCATGTAACCACGGATCAGATTATGGATCATATCGATTCACACGCTCACGATACTACACATCGAGTTTTTGCGTGTACGTTTAGTATATGCTGCATGTTATTAGTTTATGTGCTCCCTGCAACCACTGGAGGTGCTACATTTATTACAATAATTAACATACATCTACATTTTAAAATGCAATAGCAAACCTCTGAACTGAGAATTGCAAGGGGAGTGAATCGTTACGTGCCTAATCGACACACAACACAAGTAACATCTTTGTTTACTGCATGAAAGCCAAGAAAAGTAACACTGCAGTTCCCTTGGTGGTTTCTCATCACCTAAAAGAGTTTCATACTCATGATAGGTTCAAGCGGACAGACGCACCCTTCACGTATTTGGTCGTCTTTGAGCTCTGCAACCGCTGGAAGAGCAGGATGAAGATCTGCTTTTTGAACTGGTTAATCACCTCCCTGCAAACAGCACCCCACATATGGCACACAGCAACGGACACAAATTAGTTATTATACCATTAGTCTCCAGATTAAAAGAAACATCAGAAAGTGAGGCGCGCCCCAAATTTTGGCTTATCTTGAAAAAAAATACATTTATATTGGTATTGGTTAGGGTGGTGGTACTCAAAATTCAAGTTCGTGATTTTCAAGGTCACGCCTTGTGTTTGTTTGTCATTTTCCTGTTAAAACTGAAGCACTGCGATTTTAAAAACCATGCCTGAATATTTAACCGGTTGCTCAACATTGTTGAAAAATGTATTGCAGTCAATACATAGTCATAGTAAGTACAGAGGCATAAACGCAGAGAAAGAGGGGATTACGGAGCAACAGATTAGAACGATAATCCCAGCAGTTGAGTATGGGTTAACGATATGTCAAATGGATGGCACCCTAATATAGATAAATATCACCTGGGCAAATGAACAATTACAAGATAGAGGTTATGAGAATGTGTCTGTTTAATGGTACTGTGTGCTTTTACTGGTACTACAATAGTTTTGAGACTAGCGGCATATAGCTCCATGTAAGACGCCGCTAGTCTCAAACGTGTTGCAGAATCGATAAAATCAGATTCAAAGAGAAGTCTGTTCTGTCTCCACACGTAAATAAAAACATATATATAAACAATATGAGTTTGTATGCAGTACCAGTCAAAAATGTTCCCTCCAGTCACTTGCTAAAACCTGTTTGGCAGATTGGACCACTAAGCGCAATTAAAACTTGCATCTCCGCATGCCAGTTGTCAAGTCAGGTACCGGATTCATAAGACTCATTGCCCAACTTTTGCTTTAAAATAATAGAAAAAAACACAAGTGCGTCTTGTAATGAGAATACGGTAATAAGCTGAATAACATGGACAGCTTTATATCATAAAAAACTGATTAAAATGATTAACAAAAGTAGCCAACTCTGGATATGGAATGGCACATGACCATGACCCATTCGGACATCTTGCAATCCACGTACAGAACGTTTACAACCAAGCTTATCAGAGTAAGCTGAACTTTAAAATCATCCAGATGTGTCCAGTTTGCCCCCACCAAAATAAATAAATCCCCCTGCGTATGTTATTTTGCATGCATATGCGCATGTGTGAGTGTGCGAGTGACTGTGTGCATGAGAATATCGTACGATGGCATGTGTTCGATGATGCTGTTGAGGAGATAGAAGCCTTGGTGGTCATTGTTCTTTGACGCGATCAACTTCTGAAACACTCCCAGTAGCCCTGGCTGTAAGAGACGCACAACCAGGTGTCATCATTAGAAGCAGGAGCATAGACTTGCAATACAATGGATTTGGATGGAGTCGTGTGGTCAACATGGCAATGTGAAATCCAACTGAATGTGTCTGAGCACAACGCTACCTATAGGACATAGCCAGGGCATTGTTTATTATGACTGCAACACGAGTTGAATTTAATAAAACGTGTGCATCAGCAGCCATTTTCATATACAGTAAAACCTTGGATTGCGAGCACAATTCGTTCCGGAAACGTGTTTGTAATCCAAAGTACTCGTATATCAAAGCACTCGTATATCGGTTGTGATCACGTGACGCTCGGCAGACAAAGCGTATACACGTACTACTCGTATTGCAAGACCTCGCTCGTTAATCAAATAAATATTTATTTCAAAAATTTGCTCGTCTTGCAAAACACTCGCAGACCAAGTTACTCGCAATCCAAGGTTTTACTGTACTGTTGGACGAGGCTCTCACTGTGCCGTGCGAGATGCGGAGGACATTTGACCATACTTGACCATACTAGTCCGGGAGTGTATACACGAAGGCATGGCTACATTCCCCTCTGCTGGCCACTACATAGCACAGCCCAGCATTTTCTACGGCAACCTGATGTCAGAGTGGTCACCCATCCAGGCAATATCCAGGCTCAACCCCCTGCTTTAGTTTCTGATATCTGATGAGATTGGATGCATTCCAGGTGGTTTCGTCAGGCAATGAAACACACACATACATTTTGACTTAAAACTTTCGTGACTGCAGGAATTCATATTCTATGGTTATTTCGGTAAAGTCACGTAGATAGAAAAAATAACAATAAAATAAGAAAAATGAAGTGAATAAAAATAATACAAATATCACGATGTTTCGATCGCAACACACCATTTGTTATTATTTTTTCTATCTACGTGATTTTACCCAATACACAGATACATATCTGCCGTGTTGCATACAAAAGCTGTTGGAGAAAGTGCTGCGAGCACCGATGAAGGCTGGCATGACACACGAGGAAGCGGTGTGACAAAGCACCACTTCCAGCTGTTCTCATCCCCTCCATTGCTAATGCTTACACACCGCACTGGGTATTCATTTAAAGCCGAATTGAACTTGGCGAGGCCCAGGACCGGTCCAAACATTCGCCACGGATGTTAGCCGCGAGCAGGAATTTAACTCGGTTGGTCACAACACCATCACTCCCCCCAATACAATTTTAATTTTACCAGGAAAGGCTCACTGAGCTATATAGCTCTTTTTCAGAAGCGACCCAGCCACAAATGATAGCTCAATGAAGTGGCTTGTGGAATTTTTTAGCAGCAAAATACTCTAAACGCACCTTTCTAAATGAGGCACGGAAAAACCAGAGGACTGAGAGAAAACTCCACATGACCACGGGGAGAGAACCATGCAAACTCAAAATATACAGCAGGCGTCAGGGTCGGGATCGAACCCACAACCTCCTGCATACCAGGCGAGGGAGTTAACATCTCGCCGATAAACACACACACTAAACAAACAGGTCCCCTCACAATCTTGTCGGCATTGCTGGAGGCGATGGTGACCGACGCCTTCTCTAACAGCGCTTGCAGGAGCCGGACGAGTGGCGGCACGTTGCCCACGCGCTCCCACAGCGTCGGCTGCAGCAGGTGCGGGAACAGCTCCATGTAGCTTGGGGGTACCTCGGCCCCACGCATCTCCAACAGCAGCGACATCACCTGGAACACGTATGGAATGAACTCTGCATGCACAGAAAGAGACACACACACACATAAGTCAAAAAAGCAAATGGCCACATTAATGGACGCGCCAACACGCACAGACCACAACAACACGCACGTGCGTCCGTATGCATGAATACACAGAAGACAAAGATCCCCATATAGCCTTGACAGACTGTTGGGGCAAGTGCTGTTAGCGAGTACCTATGAAGGCTGGCACGGCACACGAGGGAGTTGGAGGCCAACACCACGCCCGATAATATTGATAGAGCAGTGTATAAATTACCGTGCCGCCACTCTCCTCCATGTTTTAAAACATATTGTTCCCTGTATTTAGATAATCAGTGACACACGAATAGTGTGAACTGTAGTGGAAAGATTTCACTGGTAGGTTATAAGAAGCACACAGATCTTCATTTGAGCAATTTACTGTTTCAAGCCCTGTGGTGACGTCACCATCACTTAGTGGCACTTGCCCCAACAGTCTGTTAAGGCTATACAGGGGATCTTTGTCTGTGTGTGTAAGATTATGTCATGCACACACCCTGCACGTCGTTCTGCAGGATGTCCGTGAAGACGGGGAAGAGCGCGTCCTCGAAGCCGGACACGGCCGCGGGCGTGGCGCGGCACGTGATGCGCACGCACAAGCACAGCGCCTCAAACAGGTAGTGGTTGAAATGCGGCTTGCTGGGGTTCTGCGGGCAAGACGACGCATGGCAGCGTTCATGGAGTGGGGGATCCCATGTGACCAAGCCATGCAGAACATGCGCCCGACCTCGTTATATGTCGGGAGAGCTGAGCATGGTTGAGCCCTGACTGTGCTTGGATGGGTGATCACCATACACAAACACAGGTTGTCACTTTATGCAGACAATGTCCTGTAAGTGCCGAAACTGCCGACCGGTCCCGGGCTGCGGGCGTATGGGTCCTCGATCTAACTGTACGGATCTCGATGCAACTCTATGTAACTGCAATATCCTTTAACTGTTGCCACTGTCGATGGACTTGGGCTATGGTGGTCCTTGTAGAAGAACTGCTGAGCTCAATGGGGCCCTGCCAGCTGAATGAAATAAAAGCCAGAGTGCGAGGCTTTATTATGTGGGGCTACGTGGTGGGCAGTGCAGAAAAATACTTTGTTGTCTATCTGTTGAGTTCCCTGCCTTCACCAACGCACACTCACCCACATGGTGAAGTATGGTCAAATAAAACTACCAATGATACTTTGTGTTAAAATATTCTGATTAATATCCACAATTATTTAAGCGATTACATTTATTGCATATACAATGAAAGTTATAACAAACATTTTATCCGAATATACTTAATACATCTTAAAGGTAGGGCCTCAAAATTGAATTCCAATGTCACATCTAGTGTAGGCGGTGGACACTTGGTGATCTTATGTGCTATGTGAATGAAGGCAGAGTGCTGGGATACCTTGCTGACAGCATGCAGCTTCTGAGCGAGCTGCATGGTTAACGTTGGGACGTAGGGGATGACAGCCTCTTGCAGCAGTGAGAAACTCCTCATCAGGGCTGCGTCAGGCACAACACAATCGTCAACACCAGTGTCAGGCACAGCTATTTTTCAATGGCGACCTGGCAGAACGGCGAGCATGTGACATGGAAAGGGGAACTTTAAAACATGACTTACCAATGATATTAATGAACAGCCAAAACTATGAAAAATTATAATATCGTAATCAATCCAAAATAACATTATGCATGACACTCGTGAGAGGAGCTTGTATATTGCATTTAAAATGTGATTAATAGGGAATATGACCGGACAGAACACTTCCTGTAAAGCAATGATCATATTAAATTTAAACTTGAACACAAGCACTTTGCTCAGGTATGTTTTGCTGTTTTTTTAAGTGGTACAACCAAATAGGAAAAGTTAAGTTTGGGTTGAGTCTGGATAGTGCTTGGATGGATGACCACTGAGGTTTACGTGGTGGGCAGCAGAGGGCAGTGCAGCAAATTATATTTCTGTGCCATACATCTATGTTCCTACACCTATGCTCCCCCTGCCTTCACCAACCCACACTGAACAGCGAGATAAAAATATGATCTAATAACCCGCATGAGTTGCACGGCATAGGGAGAACCTCATCCAACAGTGGACTGACCGTGATAAGCAGTAACATGCCTGAGAGTCCAAATAGTTTTTTTTTTTACAAATCATATATGTTCTGATACTGTAGAGTACATTTTTTTTTAACGGTGTACTTGTGATGTATTTAGTGCAGAGGAACGGACTAGCGCGGGGTGCCGAATGCACAGAGCACGATAGGATTGTCAGTCACCCTTCATGAGGTACTCGTTCTCCGTAGACGAGGGCATGGTCATGGCCTTCAGGAGATTCGTCAGGAGTGGCTCAATCACCGGTGACACCTCTGCTGCGGTCAAGCTGCACAACAAGGCAAGGACAAAGTTACCCTTGTAGCCTTAACAGTGTTTGGGAGCAAGTGCTGTTAGCGCACACCTATCAAGGCCGGCACAGCACACAATGGGAGGTGGGTGTCGAGCGTCACACCTAACCCTAACATCGCATAGTAGTCCTCATTTTGAAGACCCCAGAGGGTTGATGGGCCGACTCAACCCCGAACCAGAAATTGAACTCGCAACCTTCCAATCGTAAGCTGCTCGCCCTATCTCTGAGTCAATCTGGCACTAAGACAAAAGACAAAAATCCCCCGTGTAGCCTTAACAGACTGTAGGACAAGTGGTCTTAGCGAGCGTCTATGAAGGCCGGCATGACACAAGAGGGGGTTTGTCTCCCGAGTGGCAATGTTTACACACCACACCAGGTACTCATTTGAGGATGAGTCGACCTAGGGAAGTCCCATGACCGGTTTAGATAATCGTCTCTGGCGTTGGCCGTGAACAGGAACCAAACTCGGGTCACCGGGTTCGTAAGTGCAGTGCTAAAGGCATACACACACACCGGAGAACCCCTTCCCCATTGAGAAAACAGCGCACAAACCGCGCTCCCTTTTAAGTGACTCGGCCGGCAGTTAACGGGGAAACAGATGGTGAGCGAAGACTTACAGGAGCGCGTTGCCAGGCCCGCGCAGCGTGAAGATCCTCTCGAGCGAGTGCGCAGCGTAAGTGTGCACCACCGTGCTCTCAGACTGCAGGTGGTTCACCAGCAGAGGCAGCACGTTCAGCAAATGCTCCTTGGGCAGCTGCAGCACAGCATAAACACACACTGTACATGGGGGCATACGTACACACACACACATGAATCTAGTTTCCATTGACTGTCATAAATGACTTATGTCAACTAAAAGAATTGGACACAGATGCGTGTCAATACAAAGTTACGGCCATAGATGCATGCACAATAGGGTTTGTGCAAATAAAACACAAAAACCCAACATTTCAAATTAATTACTCGCTGCATGATAGCCTCGTGATATAAGAATGGCAAGGACCAAATGTACGCGGTTAATACTGCGCGTGTATTAATCATATTGCTAATTCAACATTGTAATTAAACTGGTACACACACACACACGCGCTCGCGCATGTGTAAATACCCACACACACAAACCAAAGAACAGCAACCTTACAGACGTTGCACGCACCTGGCTTCGGAAGATCATGACGTATTTGATGGCATCCGCTTTCAACACAGGGAACTGGTTTACTGGAAAGAAAGAAACAAACACCGATCTGAGAAGTTCCACTTACTGGACTACATTTTTTCCGCCTGAGGACGACCGCTTGTGTTGCGATCAACTCGTCGTGATATGTTATTAAATTCTTTATATTAAGTTCACTTGCTTGCTTGCGCGCTTACGACCGTGCAAATCTTTCGGTCGTTTTTTAACCCACTTCCCGTGATCCAATCGAGCTGACATTTTGCACACAGACTCGTTGTGCGTGACAATGTATTTTCGTGAAAATTTTTTTCCAAAATTTTACACTTTTTAGGAATTTTTTTTAAATATTTAATTACCAATTGCTTAATGGTGGCACGCAATCATCTGACCCATAGGTGGCAACCATTTCAAGCCAGAGGACGAGAGGACTCTAGCCGCCCGTTTCAAAGACCAATGTGGGCTGGGTTGTGGCCCATTGAACACGCATATAAAGGATTTATAGTGAAAAACTTTGTTTTTATGGGTTAATTTTTTTTTTGTTTTATTTTATTTTTCTACCTACGTGACTTTACCAAAAGAACCAAAGAGTACAGTGATAATACACTTGCTCTCAGTTGTCATTAAAAACAATGCTTGTGGGTGCTTGGTTATACAAGCACATAGAATGAAATAAGAAGCACATTGGGACGATGGCAGGGAAAGCTGCTTTGCACGGTCTGCACACTTACCGTTGGGAGACTGCAGATCTGTCTGTATGTGGCTGACGAAGAAATCTGTCAGATTGACGAGTTGATTGGCCTGGGTAATTCCAAGCTGCGGGGGGGGGGAGGGCACAGACGAATACATCGCGTTAACCCACCCCCTCCTCCCATAAGCTTTAGCACATTACGCAGCATGCGCAGCCACGCTTTCCGATGGTGTCGTGAAAGCAACAGCCCCACCAAGCAACTCAGTTTTACCAAACATTTATCTGGTTCAACATGGGGTCATTGTTTAAAATCGATACCAGCAAGCTAATTATCGACCACAGATCAATAACAAATATCAGCTGCTCATTCACACTCCATTCACAAAATTTTAACTCATCCAAACCGACAATAAATAATAAGTATTCGACACGATATTGGCTGCTCGCCAAATATGTAAGAAATAATAATCGATTGATTTAAATAAGTCTACAATGGTCATGATACATTCATCAAATCCTACACCTAAGAATGATCTACAAAGTATGCAAAGTATGTACATGTAGAGCCCTTTGCTCAATCCACTACTGGATAAAGGGACGTTCCCCACACCGCGCAGGTTAATGGGGGTTATTTTCCCGTACATCACCATGCTCGTCCATACCGATTGGTGAGAACAGAAAGAATATACGTGGGAGTAACAATGCCTTTTGCTGCACTGCTTACGAGACCTGACGAGATTGGGCACATTATGAGTGATTTGATCATAGGCACATTCAAAGTAGATGCAAATTATGATGGTACGAAAAAACCTTCATTCAGAAAACACTAAAAGAAAAAATTGAATTGATTCCCGAATCGCAACCTATAATTAAAATGGCCCATCGGTAGCTGCTTGTTGCAGGGGTTCGTTGCTCAAGCCACGTGACTGGGATGCGCTGTCTGCTTCACACAGTCGACGTTCAAAATCCCGAGACGTTAGGCCACGTGTGCTGGCGTCACGGTCAAAATTGTACCAAATTTGACAAAAAGAGACCCACGAATTACCCAGTTGGGCAAAACCCACAGAGTAACCCTGCTGGCAGACGAAATCCGTCTGCGAAACGCATCACCTCTGTTACAGCTGTGTGCTTCGAGAACGGCGAGAATACCAAATGTACCAAAATTACTGGAAGCGTAACAATTCACCGCATCGCCGAAAAACTGTCACAAGGGCAGCGCTCACCTTCTGCGTCTGCGCCTTGGAGGCAAGCGAGGTGACGAGGTAGATGGCGGCGTCTTTGTGCTTCCAGTGGGCGGCCGGGTCCTTGGCGTACTGCGACAGCATCGAGTGCACGTACACCGAGAAGATCTCGGTGACGGGCCCTTCGAAGAAGCGGCAAAGCCCCCGCACCAGGTCGCAGGCCGCGCGGCGCCGCGTGTCCACGTCTGGCGTCGAGACAAAGGCCCCCCCCCCCCCCCTTGAGTTTCTCAATCCCTTCCAAAGCGAGATCGCGGCTCTTCAATGCAAGAGCGGTTGTTTGTCCTAGCCTGCTACAGCCAGTGGTGTAGGCGAGTGGTGGGACCAGCGCAACCATTCGTCGATTTAACCCAGATTGCCCTTACAAAAGAGGCAATGTTTTGTTTCTCAACAGGTCTATATTTCATCTCCTGGTTAAATAAAGGATACTAACTTACAGCTGGTATTTAAATACCTGCATCGTGCACCCATTATAGGCATAGTATTAGTCATAATAGTCCAGCCCTTTATCAACGCACTGTTGGATGAAGGCATATCCAATACCGTTACATTTGACCACACTGGTCATCACGGTTGATGAAGGTGGACAGACAGTACAAGTGAGCAGTACAGCAATGGATTTTGCTGCAGTGCCCTCTGCTGCTCACAACATATTCCTGCAGCACCCTTGAGCATAGGATGTGCTCTTGAGTGTAAACATGAGCCACTTCTGCAGAGCGGTTGCTCACCAGAGCCCTCGATGTCCCGCCGGATGTACTCCTCAGGGTTGTCCTCGAAAGCCTCTTCGTCTGCAGCTAAGCAACGACATCGCAAGAAGATTTCGTTGTAGCATTTTTTTGTTCTTAAAACATTCCTTTCATTTTGTTGGGGGGGGAAGTGCGGTTAGTCAGGAACGAGGCCTAATATGCCTCATGCTGCACTTTGTTTTAATTTAACAAATACCAAAAACTGCTTTGTGTTTAGTTTGTTGTTCTTTCCCACAACTCCAATGAGCACGGTTGGCTACGTACGGTACAAAAGAAGTTGAACATGCATCCATATAAATGCGCTACCGCCCATCACTCGGTCTCGTACGTTATAAAAAAGCATCATCAAAGCTGCCCCCTAGTATTGATTGTGCTGCGGAAATTGGTAGCTTGTACAATACTAAGCAGAGCTACTCCATTCCCAGTAGTTGTGGATGCTATTGACCAACTGCAGTCTAATCAACCTTTTCCATTGCTATGATTACCCAAGGGTCCCCAACTACCTTGTTCTGAGTGCCAATGGCCATACTGGAGGCTCATCTGCCTATGATAGTTGTACTCTACTCAGGGTCCCCTCAACCCTGTAGTCAACCACTTTGGATGAAACCACCTGCAATGAAGGAAGGAATCGATGGCAGGGGGTGGTACTGGCTGCGATGGCCTCTTGACTGCGATAATTGATCGTACAACAACGCGGTGGGGGAGGTGGGGGATGGGGGGGTAGGGGGATGGGGGGTCTCACCTCTGAACTCCATGTTGGGCACGATGACCTTCTCACAGATGCTGGTAAGGGTGGCCTGATCCTCAAACAGGTGCTTGTAGTGCGGCCGCTCGCACACCGACGCCAGGAACTGGATGGCATTACTCACCAGCTGGAGGGTGCACACAGTCATGCTCGTTCCTTAACATGCGGCAACAGCAGCAGCACCAGCAGCTTCAGTAGTGTGTATGCATGTTGAACTGGGTATGTTGAACTTCTTTTGCACCATACATAACCAACCGTGCTCATCAGAGGCGCAGGGGAAGGAAAACCAACTAAACTCCCTGCATATAATGGCGATTTTTAGAGACCCCCCCTAAATGTTGGGAAATAAATTTGAGTAAAATTGACATCTCACATCCGTAGCTCTAAACTGTGTGTGCGTGGTGTTCTCGAACCAGGTCGTATTTGACGCCGGGGCCCGTGGTGATGAGCAGGTTCCAGATGGCGGTGACAAACTGCGGCAAGTACGGCTGAAACTCCTCATCGTACTTCTGCGCGTACAGTGCCACGTTGTCACAGATTTGCGACTTGAGCAGCTCCAGGAGACCGGCCTCATCATCGTCCTGTCACACGTGGGCGGGCGAGCTTACCACTGGACCAGCACTCCCCACGTACTTTACATATACTTACACAAACGCCCGTGGATACATTGTAAGCAAAAGCGTTTGCAATCATATGTCCATACATCAGCAAAAAGACCCATGCGTACAATCTTGTGTGCCAGCCAACATAAACACAAGTGCCTCTGTGTAAGCAGACAAACGCCGATTAAACATGAACAATAAATATGGTGTTATTTATTTTGTAATTAACATTCCCTACAACAGCGCTTTATGGTTACTTTGTGAAAGGTATTGTAGATTTTGCATAAACATTGGACAGCTCACAAACATTGGAACAAACAAACCTGACTGCTGACGAGACAAAAATTCTCAACCGGTGCAGAGTTAGCTTGTATGGAACCAATGCTGCTGATAAAGATGCACTGCCAGAAGGCCGTGCGACCAATGCTACGTGAACAAAATACCGAGACCTTATTTACTCTGTAAGAGAGGATAATCTGAAGCCTCCTTTTCAAAATAAGCAAGAGAGAAGTAGAATAAAGTTAATCAAATAAAATGTTGAATTACTTGCAGGATTTCGTCATGACAACAATTGACCATAAATAGCACAATCTCACAAAGAATAATTCATGGCGAGACAAGAGGGAGAAAGGACGTCTCACGTCGGTTTGCAGAAGCTTGTTGTCAATTGTGAGAAGGCTGTGGAAGTTCGTCATCCACGTGGCCATGTTGTCTTCAAAGAACTCTGGGAAATCCTGTGGGCGCAGAGATATTTTTGTTATAACATGCACGTGAAAAGGCATGTACGTGTACAGCCACTGGTGGACGAGGACCTCCTCGTGCAATGTCAATCATAAGGGTTAATTGACGTTGGTCAGAGCGGGTTCGTGAAGGCAGGCAGCATAGACGTAGCTCCATATTAACACATTCCTGCGGAGGGGGCTGGTAGGAACGTTGGGTTGCTCGTTCAATGGTCAGGGTCAACGGCGGCGTAGTGTATGCCGCAAATATGGCCGACTGTGAGGGCGGGCACAAGCCGGCGTGAGTAGGTTAAACGTTGAGTTTTATAAGGGCACCACGGGGTGACCAGCCCCTCCCCACCCAGCCCCACCCCTCCCACCCCCCACCCAGCCCCACCCTCCCCTCCCCACCGCTCCCATTTGTGGATGCACGACGGACACAATAATCCCCTGTGGGCTGGTATAACCAGGTTCCTACCAGTATTACAGTACAATGGATTTTTGGCTATGCTGCCTTCATCGTAGCCCCGCAGCCTACAGCATCTGTTATGCATGGTGGTTGTCCATCGAAGAGCTATCCAGGCTCAAAACTGCTTAGCGTCCATGATCTGACGAGATCAAACACATTGTGCAGTCACAGGCAAGTGAAAAAGCAACGACTAACAAAAGGCCCCAAACGGTAGCTGAACTCGCAACCAACGAGATTGCAATTTACAGCAGTGGCCACTTCATACTTGAAGCCACGGCTTCAGGAAGGGAGAGGGGCTGACAGGGAAGAGGACAGGGAAGAGGGCACCTGGAAGTTGAGGCTGTAGAAGAGCTTGGCGATGAGGATGAGTGAGCTGAAGAGCACACGCAGTGCGTGCACATCGGCAGCGTGCGTCTTGCATAGCTCTATGGTGGCCTGCACGCAAAACACGTGTTACACAACAATAGACACACATATCCGTCTCGCCTTATATTACGCCGGAGCAAGAGATGCCACGGTGGCGAGATATTAACTACCTCGCCTGGTATACAGGAGGTTTGTGGGTTCAATCCCGACCGTGACACTTGTGTATATTTGAAATTGCATGTTCTCTCCGTGATCGCGTGGATTTTTCTCTGGGCCCTACGGATTTTCCCTCCATATTTAGAAACATGCGTTTAGAGTATTTGGCTGCTATAAATTTCTACGTAAGCCACTTCATTGAGCTATCATTTGTGGCCAGGTCGCTTCTGAAAAAGAGCTATATAGCTCAATATGCCTTCCCTGGTAAAATAAAATACGTTTTTAGTTTTGTTTATATTTACAAGCACCCATTAACCCTTTCCCATTCCGATGACGTACGTCTATGTCATCAGTTATTCTTTCGATTCTGTTCCGATGACGCACTCGTACGTAAAATAACCTTAACAGTACCGAGGCTCCCACAAGACCATGTGGGAAGGCGTGGCACACTTTGTCGCCAGCTGTCAGAGTGCGATCGTGGTGCTACAATTCTCTGCGGTGAGCAATATCTTTAAAAACAGTGCTCTACCTCTCTAAATAAAAATGTACGCGAAACCGCTTGTGCGTTCTGAGATTCAGTGGTGAATGGGACCCCCCTGCAACTTGTAAACGTCTCGGAGTTGCAAAGGGTTAGGTGGCACGATACTTAAAGGGGTGGCGAGACAATCTTTTGTCTCCCCCTAGTGCTGACATTTAAACACTGCACAAGATAATCAAGATCTGAGTGGGCCGAGGGAAGGCCAAGGAAAGGTTCAGAGATACCACTTTGCCTCTTCCATTACCCAAACAAGATATCCAACCCCGACGGCCAGCATCATAGCAGTGCTTTAACTATTTCACCATTATTTCATGTTATGTGTGGAGGAAGACAAAGATCGCAAAGTATAGCTTTTAACAGGTCATTCTGGCCAAGTGCTGTTAGCGAGCAACCAATTAAGGCCAACGTCATACTGATGTTGCCTGTCGTTAGTAATCAAAATGAGGTTACTGCGATCACAGCGGGGTGCACTAATTATGACCCCACCAGTTTTCCCGACTGCGTGTGTAGTTACAGGTTTCACTTCAGCTCGAATTCTGGACTAATTTCACCAGATACTCATTGACAACGCGAAGCTCACCAGTGAACCAATGGGTACGTGCGAGTGAATGACCAGAGAACACATGAGGGGTAATGCACGCGATGCTCGCGTCTGCACGAAAACAAAGGTGGGGGGGGCGTCCGATAGTGGAAACCGCAGCAACGCGGTGAGAATGGCGACGGTGAAGAAGGTCCCCACCTTGAACAACTCCGTGAGCGGCGCCGCAAAGGTGTCGAGCACGAGCTTGATCTCGGACCACAGCTCGTTGGACTTGAATTCATGTCGATACCTAAAGTCCAGCAGCATCAGCACCACCATCACACATCAACCTTTCCAACATCAACCTTCAACCAAGTAAGGCCCACCGAGCTAATTCAGCTCTTTTTCAAGAAGCGACCTGGCCACAAATGATAGCTCAACGACGTGGCATATTATCACGTGGACATTTATAGCAGCCAAATACTCTTAAACGCAGTGATGTTGATTCTAATGTGGAAGGGAAAAACCGGAGGTCTCGAAGAAAAATCCACACGACCATAGGGAGAACATGCAAACTCTAAATATACAGGCGTCAGGGTCTACATCGAACCCACGACCTTTTTTATATCAGGAGAGGTAGTTAACATCTCGCCACCATGGTGCCCAAAGTGAGAAATTGGAGACACACGCAAATTAGTCGCTGGACAATTTATACTGTGAGTGTTTTTCTAATGAGACACAGTGCAATTTATGCAGATGGATGAAATGCAACGAGTTATTTTTTCACAATTCCTTCAGGTACACAACCCTTCATCAATCCATTACTTGATGAGTGCCACCACATATCACCGAGGTCTCGGGGATTATTTGACTACATTTCACGACCCCGGTCAGTGTGGGTTGGTGGAGGTGGGGAGCATAGACATCGAAGTAAAGTACAATAGAACAATTTAAGTTGCGTAGACACTTAACATCCAATTTCAATTTGCACATGGTAATCAATTGAAGAAATACCATATTCTCTAAATTGTAGATAATTTTTTACAGATATTTTTATTAACCAAATTGGGGGTGCGTTTTATAATCCTTAAGGTGTGTGTGTGCGTGCAAGTACAAATCTACGTCACTTTATTCACATCAGCCACAGGTTTTGATGTGCGTCTTACTTCTGGAGTGTTCTCTTAATCCGGAAAATACAGTACTTAATTGTTAAATGTATCCGTTATTTATCATGTGGGGGTGAGTACCTCTTGAAGAGAGAATGTGCGGTGCGCAGGACCCCGTTGATGACGTGAAAATCGCCGCTGTGGAAGCGCGCCACCATCTCCGATAGCAGCTCGGGCCACTTCTGCGGGAAGTCCTCACGTCCGATGATGCTGATGGCATCGCTCAGCTGCCAACATAAACGACAAAGATTCCCTTAACTGACTGATGGGGCAAGTGCTGTTAGCCGGCACCTATTGAAGACTGGCACGGCACACAACAAGTGGGTGGGAAGTTAGCACCACGCCCAGCCACCTTTGTCTCCTCAGTGGCGATATTTACACACCGCACCAGATAATCATTAGTGGCCGAGTCGACCTAGGGGAGGCCAGGAACCAGTTCAGATAATCGTCACTGGTGTTGGCCGTGACCGGGAATCGAACTCGGGCCACCGGGTGTGTAGCGCAGTGTGCAAACTGTTGTATTAGTGGTCTTTGCCAATATAAAACACAAATATACACGTGGCCCAATGCACACATTGCCATTAAAATGTGTTATCATGTAATAATAATTGAAAGGCGCTTTCTGAACCCAGGCTGTGTCAGTCAAAGGAGTTTTTTTGTTTAGCATACTTCACCACGCTGGTCAGTGTGGGTTGGTAAAGAGGGAGCCACATGACCGATTCAGATGTCATCCTCAACTGATGTTAGCTTAGCCATGACTAGGAATGAAACTCAGGTCGCTGGGTAGACAGCACAAGAAACTAACCACTTTGCTATTGCTCCACCCAATAAAATATTTAGTAAAAGCGTGAACTATGACCATCATTGGTATGTAAAAAAAAATTACAATCAAGATAGGAATGCAAAATACAATCCAAGTTCCATATTTTCAATGTGGATTTTTCCCCCCCAAAAATTGCTGTAAACACACAAATCACAGGTGATAGGAACACACACACGTGGCTAAACACACACAGGGCCACCCCCATGTGAATATAAACCCACACACAGAGGCTGGGCATTCATGAGTGCATGTGGGTGCAAAGTGGACAGGAATGGCCACGTTAGGGGTGGTCAATATATTAAACCTGGCTTACACGGAAAGCCATCCATCACTCAACTTGCTGTACTGGACACACCTGGCGCAAGGGTTCAGGAAAACCTGGGCTGGATCATTAATTCTCAACATGCGGACTAAAAACGGAAACGCGCATGCATATGTGCGCGCACCGCAACTCCCAATACTCACATGTCCGCAAATACACTCGTGCATTTGCAGACGTTTGCACATAAAGTACTAATAAAAGTGTTTTCCTGAATTTGAACAAGTTTATGATTACACTTGTTTACCCATGGAAGCCTCGCTAAAACTCGTCCGTAAAGGGGTGGTTATTGCTATATATATATTCCCGATTGAGTAGTTTGCAGGTAGTTTTTTTTATTTGGCAAAATTTGGACCATGATACTGGCAGACAATGGCCAACTCCTGTGAATGACTTCAATGGATCTTCATAACGTCACACTGCAAAGAAGGCACTTACTTTTCCAATACACCCGACGTTAATAACCAGGGATGCCGCTTTTAGTCACATGACTGCAACAAGTGGTAATCGCTCCACCGCACAAGATTGGCAGATGTGATTGAAAATTTTAGTTAATTTGAATCAAGTGGATATTAATGTTTTTCCCTCCTGGCAATTCTATGAATTATCACAATTTGTAATTGTGGTTTAATTCAAAAATATATATTTTTTTCAATATTGTGGTGAACGGTAGTGCCTCGAGTGGCTCCAGGGGTGACGTTAACCCATTACATACAACATATCATATTATATTATTAGTTCTTTCGGTAAAGTCACGTAGAAGGGAAATAATAAAATTAAATCATAAAATTCTCACGACGTTTCCATTGCAACACAAGCAAACATCATCAGGTGTGAAAACCACTTTTTTATTTTCTTGCTGTGGTTTTCACACTTGATGATGATTGCTTGTGTTGCAATCGAAACGTCGTGAGAATTTTATTATTTTATTTTATTATTTCCCTTCTACGCGACTTTACCGAAAGAACCAATAATATGAATCCCTGCAGTCACGAAAGCTTTAAATCGAAATATATTATATTATTTAAAAAAGGTTTGCTTGCTGGCTGGCATGCGGGCAGGCAAGCGCGTGGTGGTGACGTCACACCTCGACCCCGGCCATGTATCCCGCATAAATGTGCGGCCCTTGCTAGTGCAAACTGGAAAAAATCCATTCTTTGCACATAGATCTAGCAGTCGAATGCATCACTAGACTGCTAAGAAGCAGGCAATGTTGAGGGTTTTAATTTGGCATGCACGTACTGCGCTGAAATACTATCTAATTAACCAATCTGGCTTAATACACCAATTTAAGTTAGTCATTTTAAACTATTATGAAAATGTCAGTAAGACTCCTGATAAAATCAAATTGCTAATCAAATTCCAAAACACCGGCCTGTCACACGGGTACACATATAGAGGTAACCAATTCCTTAGGGTCTGTAAGTATAACATTCCTGAGCATAATTAAATCAAAACACTAACTTCATTAACCCAGCACAACTTTTCCATTAACAGAGTAACACGTTGTGAGTTTGAAGTGCGTGCCAACACCTATTCCTTATTCCTTTACAAGAAGGTAAGAAGGACAGGGAGGGGAAAAGAGAAAAAAAATCCCCCTAAAATAAAAAAAACCGACCAATCTCTGTAATAAAACACGACAGTCCTGCAGGCCTTTTCTCAGAAGCACTACTAGTTTCCTCCCCGTCAAACGACGCCTTCCACAAGGCCTGACAGCACTTGCACACCACCCATCAGTGGTGTCAATCTGGACAGCTCGGTCATTTTTTTGAGAGCCTACCCAAACCATTCACCCTGCCGATGAGTGCAAAACGATCATTTATAAGTTGAGCTCGGCATCCGTTTATAGCCTTCGCCCCCCGATGGCCATTTTTAATGTCACAGGATGCACATTTTCGACAATACAAATGTACGTTTTATGCAGCGCACACGCAAAAAACCCCTGCCACATTTTGATGACAGTAGGAATTCCAATCAAGCTGCCCGATGGTTGTATTTCTGTTGGCACGAGGCAATGCTAAATGTGGACACAATAGAAAAATTCTACCGCGACTGACACGCCGCTCGCTCTCGGCTAAAGTAAACTCGAGCGTGTTCAAAAATACCGCCAGTCCGCTGAACTGTAGTGCACTGCAAAATCAGCGGTTTGCCGCAGCCGAGTGCGGCTTGTTCCACAAGCGCTTGACTGTTTCGGCACCTCTCCTCCTCCGCCCCCGCTACTCTTCACGCGACACTCCGATTTCATGGCCTGGCGTTTTTTTTTTATAAAACAAATCACCGCCGTAATTCAGCCGTGCGTTAGCCGATGTCGGGGCCGCCACGCAACCGGTGTAGGTTTTCCCGTGCGCGTGCGGGCCGCTTTCCAAATCCCACGACGGTCCATATCATTCAAGGTTACTTAAATCCCAGCCGCCACGCTCCTTAGGGAAGGGGGGGGTGGGGGCGGGAAACGCCTTTACTTCTCTTTCCTTAAAACTTCCCCGGCCCCAACCAACGCCCCAACAAATGAGCTGCAGTTTGATCGTAGCAGTCTTCTTAAAAATAATAAATTAAATTATCACACGCACCGTAATCACTCACTCTCAAACAGAGAAAAACTCAGAGGCGAAGGGAACCACAGAAGTAGGAAGGCAGCCACGCAATAGCCAGCGGCAACATTTGCCCAAGCTCTGCGGTCCTCTATATTTAGGGATTATCGGCCAATTAATGCGTGTTTACATGACGGGGAAAACCCGAGCACCCGGGGAAAACACTTGCGTGCGAGAGTCCACGTGATTGCTCGACTGCATTCTCCTGGCGAGCCAGGGTATGGCATCTCAACGCCCACGGGAAGGTAGAGTTTTGCAACATTCGTGCAATCAACCAATCCTCGCTTGCAGTGCTGGATTACCAGGCACGCGCCACCCCCATGCGTGCACTTACATTTAACGGCACACTTCTTCCAGGAGATCCAAATACGACAAAAGTAGGAATATCACACGCATGTACCTGTACAGTTTTTTTCGTCAATCTAAGAGGGCCTCACCACGCCACGTGGGTTGTCGGGGTTATTTGATTATACTTCAGCAGGCTGGTCAGTGAAGGTTGGCAAAGGTGGGGAGCATCGATGTGGGAGCACGGAAGTAGAGTGACAGAATTTGCTACACTACCCTCTGCTCTCCGCCATGCAGCCCCGCAGTCTATAGCTGCACCTCCAGTCAGCACGGTTGGCTACATACGGTGCGAAGTGAAGTTCAACATACATACATACACTATAGCCAATAACAACCTGCTGTGCATGGTGTTGGCCCATCCAAGCACTCTCCAGGCTCAACCCTTTTCAGGTGCCGAGAGTGATTTGGTCATAGAAGCAGGCAATGTAACGCCTTCACGATAAAGCCTGCACACTCGAGGTGGTTTGTTCCTGCAGCCACAATAACTCTGTTGGCTCACTATCCTAAATGGGTATTTAATGCCATCTATGTTTTGTAAAGTCCTTTTTTTGTAGGCATTCCTTCATTATGTTTTTTAAAAATCTTGCAACTAAGGTTGAAAGTGTGAATACATTTGAGGGTGATGACTAGAAATCACTTTAAGATGATCAAATATACACAATACATTATCATAAGGTTGTGTTGCTAATAGGGATTTACCCTATTTAAAAAAAATCAGTGACATTGATCAAAGTGTTGCCCAAAACCAGTGCTCAAGAGCTAAGCTTTTTCGAGTCGATGTCATGTGCCACATGTGTCATATCATCTCATTGTGTGGCTCATTATAGCCTTGTCAACAATTCTGAGGGCAATGGTATGTTTGCAAAGCACTACAGAACCCGTGCCTATGTGCGACTTTTATTTCTTGTTTTAATCTCAATCGGCCCCTTTACCTTCCTTCTTGTTTACCGTACCCTCAAAAAGCGCCGAGGGTATGGCGAAGAAGACTCGAGGGCACACCATGGATGCAGCTCTCACCTGCTTCTGCATCTGCTCGGGGCTGCTGAGCATGAGATTGACGATGTTGGCTTTGATGGCCGTGCGGTCGCTCTCGCTGATGCGGTTGGGCTCATCCTCCACCTGGATTCACAGAAGCACATGTGTGCGCACAGCTTCAGCACCATCGTTCACACCCGGGTATTGGCATTTGTTCCATTCGTCTGTCGCCATCAACGTTGTGATCTTCGCTACCATCGCCGCCGCCACCAAAACAATCAATTTCAATAAGAGTAATACTACACGTGACATGGCGATTCCTGACAACTAATGGGCACAATTGCGCCCATTGGAATGGCTCTCCCATCACCGAGTAAATTGTACTCAGCCTTTGTGTTAAGACTACCAACTTAAGTCAAAATCGTGGGCATATTTATTTTAAGTTAATCTAAAATAAGCCTGTGTGCATTTTACATACAGTACGGTTATGTAATTTGGCACGCAAGGTATGATTGGAAGATGACAGAAGGACCAATCTCTATTTTGCTGCATTACTCCCATTTTATTTCCAGCCTTCATATATTTTCTGTCTGGTGAATTTTAAACCACAGAGTGTGTTAGAATTGGCGTACTATTATTATCAATAAAATGACCTTCTTCACCATCATCTAAAGCAGCTCCATAATAATTTTATACAAAAGGGCTGCACGTGTGCATGCGTTAAGGCTAAGTTTAAACTTAGGCACGACTGTTAGTCTCTCCAATAATAAGATCAGCATTTGACATGGTCTGTCCCACGGTGCTTCCCGTACAATCCTCCAGTTGCGCTTGACGTAGTTCTTGAAGGTGACGGCGGCGCACACTCGGATCACGCTGTCTTGTGACTTCTCCAGCAACGTTAGAAGTAGCAGCGGATAGTTCTGGTTCCCCTCGACACTCTCCAGAAACTTCTCCGCTACAGCACAAGGAAAAAAAATCATCGTCATAATTAGTGATCATTGTCCTAATCGAGGCCCGGTGGCTTAGAGGTCAGTGCGGTGAGTTGGCACCAACAGACCCCCCCCCCTAGAATCACGTCAAGGCAACTGCCTGTAATTAAACCGGGTTTTTCATGTGCAGTGCAGTTGATAGCCTCAGCCTGTTCACCAATGACAAACAAAACAAGTTAAATTTGGTTCTAAATTCTAGCTGATAATTAAATATCGATTTCACTATGATGCGAGAAACATTACTCTTACGTGGCAAAGTGTGTGCCAAAGTGCTGCCCTCTAACGTGTGGACCAGAGGTCACTTAAAGGCATCTCAGTGGTAGTTCTGTGATATCCATTTCTGCAAGCCATTCTATCAAATGAAGGGATGCACTGCTCTGCAAGAGATCCGATTGCTTTGGTCGTCTCATGCCATGAAAATTTTAGTTAAAAACAAATAACAGAGTACAATAGAGGAAAATGTAAACGAAGATTTTTGTAAACAATAAACATCACTTCATCTTCTAACATATGGCAAGTCGGTGTAAATTATACGTCTAGGTTTAAGCTTTTGAGCAATGTGATAGCTTCGGGAGTTGCACGACTAATACTGTATAGCCCCCACTATAGGCCAGGCGTAGCATTAACTTGTTCGTGGCATGGTCCACTGTTTGGTTCGGGTGGCCGCAGACAGTGTGGGCCATCTTTAATTTTTACTTGTGCAAGGTGTGCACGCAGCGACCAGTTGGAAAAATATATATTTTTTTCCCAATGCTCTGCCGAATATTTTGTACAGCACTGCCAATGTCCACATACGCATTGCTTCTAATCATGTCAAAATCGTCAGCAACCCCGACTGCCATCTGTCGTAATACCAGAATTAGGGCAGCGCATATCCATTCCCCCCCAATAGTATTTCAACCGCACATGGCACCACACACAATACCATCCCTGGAGCGCACTACTTCAAAAGCGTGAACATGAAAATAGCTTTCCGAATTCAAGTGTAGAGGCAGGAGGCTCAGCACTGAACCAACACAATTGAGATCCAAGTCTAAACCCTGGGCGATATAGGTCACAATGTGCAACAACTTTACTGGTCATAACCTGACCCAACAGAATAATATTGTAACATTAATTTAATCCTGCACTTAACAGTTTATCCCAGCTCAGAGGAATCAAGTGGGAGAGACTTTTGGCAAACGGGAGAATATATACCATTCAAAAATATTTGTACTGCCCCCTTATAAACACACCTGCGTATGCCAGTGTAGCGTACCCGATCACCCCGTGGCACTTGCGTGAAGAAAGGAGTTATGTTTACAGGTGCGGTAACTTTAGTGCACGAATGTCAATTAAAAGCAAAACGGTTCAGTAATAAAATCAAAAACGTCTGGCTTAAATGCTCGTCCGTGCTGCTAGGTGCCGTGGATCAGACGTAAACGTGTGGGGGCCGTGTGTAGCCATTAAAAAAAAAAAAACTCTGCTTTTTTAAATATATAAGTATTATTTTACCACTCGACTTTTTGATTAATTTGTTTTCTTACACGCATACATTACGGCGATGTCAAGCGTGAGTAATGCGTTGTATACAATGGCTGTTATTGTGCACTTTATTTAGGTTAGGGGGCGTAGGAAGTGCCGTGGGTACTGCCGCCCTGCCCGCGCGATCGTCTACGGCTGGCGCCGCCTCGGACCAATGTCTCTAACCCACGAAGAAGAAGAGACGGGGCCAGGGGAAGGAGCCAAGAAAAAAGTTGGGGGATGGTTTACAACAGATTTATTTTTTAAAATTAAAACCATTAAAGCAGATTTCAGCAAAGAATAACACATTATTTCTTAACTATATTACCATACGTGTTTTTGTAACGTTTCTTCCACACTTCTCAAAGGACAACACAAATGCCAAGCGTGCAATGCATTAATAGCATTCTCAGTGCTATTACGATTATTAATAATTATCAATGTTCCAATATTGCTCTGCTAAGAGTAAAGAGTACTTGTTGCTATCAATAAACTGGCCACTGCTATGAGAAATGTCAAATTTCCACCAATGGCTCACGAGTCACCATTGCAGATTACCGTGGGGATGAGACATTGCTAAACACGCCGCTCACCCAACCCTCCTCCACTCCAAAATCTCTTCAATCACCACCAACCCAGAGTTAATTAGCCGCTCAAGCCCTCAGAGCCCGACTGCGTGTACACACACGAGTTGGCGTCAGTCTCAATCGGTCGCCTTTTCCCCTCGAGAGCTCCCTCGCCAGTCTGCCCGGTCGCGACGTCATATGCAAAAACAATCATTTATTTCTCAAGACATCTTTGCTTATGAAGCAATGAGTTCAGGTCAAATCGTAATTATTTTGACAGCCCTTGCGGCTAAACGGAAGTTCCATCATCTTGACGCCGGCAGACGGACGGGTCCTCGTTAGACACTCCCACAGGAGCAAACCCATCGACAGCTGTGAAAAATGAGCACACTTAGCGTCACGGCCAAACTCAACTCGGAGAGACAACGCGATGTCATGATTGTAACCTTGTCAGCGGTAAGTGGCTTGGGATGGATGCCCTTGGGGCATGCCCAGTGACAGATTACGGCTCATTAAAAAAAAGTCGGCCTCTTAAGATCAAAATTAAATGCCCTGGGCATTGCTTTTGATTCGCTAGGATGAAAAAGAAATATCATAAACGTGACACATGAATGAGATAGATCTATACAAATATTTTTTTATCCATTGTAAGAGCAATAAATTAAAAAGATGAGTGGACTGGTGGAGAATTTAATAATTCTCACGATGGTAATGCAGTATCTGAATTTTTTTGAGGTATCATTCAAACGGCACAATGTGTTAACATTGCCATCAGCAACCAACCGTGAAGAAACAAGGACAATCATTACTCAAATGGGTCCCACGAATGTTTGCACAAAAATATTGTCCTACCGTGTTTTGTAAACGTATTTTAATGCTTGTATACAGTATAGGAGTCGTAAAAAAATTGGTAATTTATACAAAAATCAATCCTTGTTAATTTTGTTCCCTTTCCTGTTCCCTGAATAGTGCTTCTCCCTTGAATAATATACATGTCTCAAATGGATACTCGAGTGGTAAAAAGTACTTACATTGAGTACTTCAAACTGCATGGTGCAATTTTTATTCAATTTAGTCTCTCCTCAATTAGTATCACCATTATCATTCAGGATTTAGTGAGTGCTTAGTTCGTGAAAGAGCGCCTCAATGTCCATCACAACTAATATAAGCATTAACTCCTGATGGGAAAAAATAATGTTATTATGAAATGAACATGTCAATGGCAAACACTCATTGAATGGCTAGATGTGGCTGGGAATCAGTCAGGCTGGCAGATTCATAACGTAGTGCACTAACCACTTATGCTACGACTTCGTACCAAGAAAATCTTACAAATATTAAAAGTAACTCACACTAATTAAGGAAACTAATTCAAATATATGATTAAAAAGGCAGTGGCACACATCGCAGAACCTTGCCCCGGCCATTTTTTTTGTTCCCCGGGATATGCGAAGCCCAAACTTTCCACTGAGAGCACCGACTCATCCATCATAACCCATCACTCCTGCATCTCACCCTACTGCTCCACTAGGGCAGCCCCTTGGGACACCGCCTCCAGCCCAAGTTCAGAGGTCGTTTAAATCACATGGCTCCCGAGGGCCAAAGAGTTCATGCCACCCTGCTCCCAAAAATACTTTCATAAAAATAACTAGACCAACTTTTTCCCCCTCCTCTCCACATTTTGTTTTTTTGTTAAGAACCCCCTAAATCAGGACCAGATGATGAAGAGCATCGACTTTCCCATTCACGCTCTGCAAATGACAAATTTAGCTATCTTAATTGCTATGCCCTCTGTACAGGGCGCCGAACTTTGGTCAAATACCACATGTACCGGGCTCCACGGCATATTGTATTTTGCACTGAAGCCAACAGGGGGATGCAGCAGACATTGATTGCAAGCGCAACACAATTTTACAAACGATAGCCCCTGTCTGCAGGCAGTCTCACATTACCCTTTTAAAATAAATCACCTCCCCGGGTCCAAAGCAAGGCCATCGCTGGTTGTGGGGCAACATCGCTGTGGGCGAGTCAAAATTGCCCATTAGTTTTCTGCTTTCACTTGCAGGCCATCTGGAACTTCCTCCTCTTCTTCATCTGAAAAAAGCTGTTCGACTCCAGGGATATTTTTTTTGTCCTACAGAGATTTACTAAATAAATGATTTCACAAATATTAAGCTTGTATCTCGATCATGTTATGGTACCATCTCTCTCCCTAAGGGCTACACCATTTTTAATTGCCAGTCAGTCAAATTTATCCTGCTTTTACTGCTTGCTATGTCTTTAATCATTTGTGTTGTGTTCCTGAAATTTTCGAATTTTATTCCGAATCGTCTTACAATTCTGTGTATTCAATTATTGTTTTAACATCTCCATCCTTATGTATTTCAACACTTCATCAACGTGTTTTTTTTCTAGTTTCAGTTCAGTTGATTCTGATTGAGTTTTAAACTCCCCTCGCCCCTGACTTTCAATAACTGTCCTAATGCTCTGTTAGCTTTGATATTAAAGTAGTGACATTTAATTTCAAACATCTGAAGTTATTGCTTAGTCCAAAATTGGCTGCTTCCTGACCTAGATTGTTTGTTAACTATCTGTTTGTCATTATGTTGAGGGACAACTTGCATTGCATCAGCATATTCGACATCTTTGTCAATCTGGGATTCATCTGTAGGAATCAAGTTTATTTTGTTTTTAACTTCATCCTTGTCCATTTCTTAGATTCCTTCTTTTGAAGGCGCTCATTATTTTCACGCCATCACTGGCTGTGAACTTGAAAATAGACACTCGCATTTCTCATGACTCACTTTAATATAAAACTTACCAATCACCTCTCTACCCTTTGAAACTATTACCTATTTTTGCAATAACAATTTTTGTATGTATTTTTTAGTGTATTTTAACCACATTGTCAAAGATTGTTAAGTAATAATGACATTCCACGATTTTTGATGCTGAGCAAACTAAGAATCAATTTATGTGTCTATCAGAAGTTGTCCCATATTAACCGTTTGGGCACATTGTCAAAATTACTCTGAAAGGGAATCCGACTGCAGAACAAACATTTATCAATCGGCAACATATGCACAAGGGTTATATACTTCCATTTTAGAAAAATCAGTTAACTTCAACTGTGTCACTAGAACACCAGGGTTTACACCTACATGTACTGTCGATTTTGTAATTACAATACCATTGCATGATGGGACAGTGGATTCTGATAACGAACCAAAGACTTATTTAAGGCAGAAGTGTGACAATGCCCAGTTGTATACAATTAATTAGCCAACTCGAACAGCAGATGTGTGAACCAGCACTTTCTTCAGCCATACAAAATAATTATTTTTAATGATGTTGCTGGTCGGTTAGAGACTCGACAGGAATCGTGTCCTCAGGGGCTGATACAGCTCAATGAGTACAACACTGACACTGACCTCACGGCCGCGCTCCCGTCACGTTATTGATCCTCGGTAAATCCGCCGTCCCCTCCCATCCCAAATAACCCCCAATACCGTGTAAATAAAGGGAGCGGAGACGCAAGCAGGGTCATTCATCACCGTAGCGCTGCGCTGTGATTAATGGTGGTGTGCCAGTGAGCACACACGGGCACGGCCGTGATGAGCCGGCTGATCACAGGGCATTTATCATTTCTACAAGACCTTCAACCTCAAGAGATAGGGGAGAGGACGAGGCACTGCTGCTTCCACAGCGGTGTCTTTCCAGGCGCTCCTCAGCGAGCTGTGTCCTTGAAGGCTCACGTGGCTGGCCATGAGCACAACCCGCATTTATTACAGAGAAAGGGACTGCTGCTGTCCACGGTTACAGCCATAGGTTTTACTTTCACACATCTTGCCCATTGCAGGTACCTCAGCAGTGTGAAATGCAAAGATATCCCGTATATATGTACAAATTGACAATGCAGCTCAACATTGTGTGTAGCAAGACAGCATTGCAGCAAAACCCATTGTTGTAGTGTACTATGCACCCAAGTCCATCTTCGTCCATTTTCCCCACCTTTACCAAACCTCACTGACCAGTGGGTCAAGTGTGATAAAGTAGCCACCACGACCCACACGGCATGGAGAAGCCCGCATCCAGCAGTGGATTGACAAGAACGGCTGTGCATGTAGATTTATGAACATATGGTTGGGATAAATCTTCTGCAAGAGCAGAAACTTCTGCCCTTGCATTTGGATTGGGTGTCTTGGAGAAGAATGGGTCAGTAGTGGTGCTGGCCCCCATTGAGGGCCCTAGCCTTAAATTAGTTTCATGTCGCCTTTTGATTGATAAATTCCTTGTGAGATGACAGAAGATATATAGACCAGACATAGAGATAGTGCAGTGAGATGAGATAAATGTAGGCAAATTAGATAAGAGAACACGAAATGATATGAATTAACTTACTATCCAGGAAAGCAAGACCGAGTCCACAGACTTTTCTCTGGAGGGTCTTGTATCAGGAAACTATATTTTTTATGCAGTGACTTTATGAGTATTTATACAGATACAGACGACAGACGCAATAAAATGAAAGACATGTATCTCAGAGACATAGGTGGGAGTTAGATGACACAAGACAGAGACAAGATGTGCATGCGAGAAATTAGTATACTTTCTGATGTTTATCATTAGTATTTTAATTCGATCTTGATTTGAAGCTTTCGTGACTGCAGGAATCCATACTCTCTGGTTCTTTCGGTAAAGTCACTTAGATAGAAAAAAATCATATAATTTTTTTAAACATAATTTTTTCTATCTACGTGATTTTACCGAAAGAACCAGAGTATTTGAATTTGAGGTGACACTTGGTTCCCCCTGCTTTTGTTCATGCATCCAGCTGCTAGGGGCCCTAAGTTTTGCTTCGTTATTGTACGCCTCACACCACCACTGACCTGGGGTATATTTCAATTATAATAACAGCGGCATAGTTAGCCAAAAACACAACCACATTGTGATTGTCATACATTATGCATGACACAATCACAATTCTAATGTGCTCTGATTGTCTTGAGTGTCTAAGGAAGCCAACGTTGGAGCTTCCTTGGAATTTCCTATAGACACCGCAGGGGCTACGATTAACAAATTACAAAGTTTGCAACGCTATACTGTAAATGCAACGTGTCTCATGCTAAAGCTAAATTACACAATATATTAATTTCAGTAAGAGACACGTGCAGAAGAATTGTGTATTTTGAAAAATATTTAAGTATTGCTCAGGACACTGCTAAAAGCCTGAAACAAATGTATACCTAAACATATTAAAAACTAAGTTTTAGCCACTTAAAACAACTGTCATTTTTGTGAGTGACAAAAAATTAAATGTGCACAATACACATAATTGTAAACGCTCGGCAAAATGTTTACTTTTTTTATCCCAGCACTCATGCATACATGTGGATGTGTTTTATAGTTGGTGCACGTATCCACACAACCATAAACTACCCAATTACCACAGTGTCGGTCAAAACCCTTCTTTTTCTGCCTCCTCCCTTGCACTACTCACATTTGGAATTCCCTTCCATCATCTCTTTACCAAGCGCTTATAATCATGCTCAATTCAAGAAACGTATTAACTCTGATAAATTACAACTTCTAACGGTGACGTTTGTTGCAGCCCGTGGTCAGCAAGCGTTATAAAAAAAAGAGTTGAGATTTAGGGCGATGCTTAAGTTTCACATACAACCTTGCTTACCAGGCCTGCGTACGGCAGGGTCAGGAGATAGGGTCTTGTGCAGGAACTCCGTGAGTGTCTGCAAGTTGGCTTCGTTGAGCTCCATGGTTGCACAGCCAGTCCACGGCACCACTGGCAGATATTCTTTCAAACAGGGCCTGTAGTAGTGACAAGACAACCAGTAACACAACACAATCAAAATGAACCTCATTTCTTTATCTTTAGTGTTATACCTCAGTTATTAACTTAATTTATAGTCGATAGGTCTCACCAGTGAAATCAGTTTGTATGAACGTTTGCGCATTTTGCAATTAAGTAATGTTAAGTGTGTATTAAATGTAACACAAACTCTCACCATAACGATCTTCGTATAGCCCATGTTTTCAATTTTAACAATTATGGAGTCGTCCCAATTTCTTCTCACCTCATTTAAGGCCAACTATGCCCCCATCCATTTACTCATTGTTGTCTCCAATTGTAATACTTTACAAGTTCATGTGAGCCTATTGAGACAGGGTTCTGGTGCAATTTTGCTAGCTACTGGTCATTTTAGTTGAATACGCGTCGTGAACAGTAACGTCACTTTTTTTAAAGTCACTACTGTCCCCACAAATGATCAGATAAAGTTAAAGACTAGCCTTCCGTTCAATAGCATTTTTAAAATTCAGTAGAGAACTAAATTACATTGTCTTTGAGGTTGATAATAAACGACAAAATTATTATTGCAGTTTGATAATTTTTTGTAAGTTTGTGTGAAACACCAATTTTTTTGCCAACAAAACACCCCTTAATTTGAGCATATTTGACCTTATCATGTATTTCCGGGGCAGAGTAAAGGCTGACATATGTATACTGTACTGTACGTATTAAGACAATGGGCCGGGTCACACTTTGACAACAGAACTCGACTCACGGATCAACTCAGCAATGAATGGAATCAACTCGGCCAGCCCCCCTTGTTCGCCATTCCATCGAGCACCACTTTGTCACTGTACTCGCAACCACAGCAACGCGCAACTTCTAGCTCACCGTTAAACTGAAGACACACAATAAAACGCAAACGGCTCACAACTCAATACAACACGTGCATATTTAAAAAAAATAAATCATCATCGTTCATGGCCAATCCACTGCTGGATGAAGGAAGGCCTGTCAGCAAAAAGCCGCCGCCGCCACCTCTCACGATCCAGCGGTGGATTGACCACGACAGTGCCGCTGTGCTACGTAGCAGATAATTCCACACAGGCACGACATTACATTCATTCTCGTGAACCTTAGACGAACTTTTATTGAGCGCGGTGCCGCGGTTGAGCATGAGGACCCCCCCCCCCCGCCGCACTGCCCGGCACCACTAGTCGAGCCGCTCAGGCCCGCATCTCGACAAAGCCAAGAAAGCCTCTCTACGGAGAAACCTCCGCCTCGTGGCTCACCGGCTTGGGGCGAGGCCGGGGCGGGTGTCGCTGCCGCGTAAAGAGAGAGGGGGGGTTGGGGGTGAGGAAGCCCGAGGGGAGAGAAGAGAAGAGGCGAGGGACGACAAAAAAAAGCGACCGGCCGCGCTCAGTTTCAAACGCAAAATGGCGCGCTCCGCCCCGCGCGCATGCGCAGTGAGGGGGAGGAGGAGGAGTGGGGTGGGGGAGGGATGGGCGAGGCAACGGCGCGCGGTGACGTCACTCGAGCGCGGGGCCAATGGGCGCGCGCGATTGGCGGGGCCGCACGCGATTGGCGGAGCCAGCACGTGGGGCTCCTTTGCCTGTCGTCGTTTGGAGCTTTTGGTGGTTGCCTCGCCCCCGACCGTGGGGCGGGCTGAGCTCCGGAAAATATTATAAACAAACAAGTAAACCCGTAAAAACAAAGTTTTTCCCTATAAATCCTTTATATGCGTGGCGGCTAGAGTCTTCTCGTCCTCTGGCTTGAGATGGCTTCCACCTATGGGTCAGATGATTGTCTGCCAGTATTAAGCAATTGGTAATAAAATATTTAATTTGTTTTCCCTAAACAGTGTAAAATTTTGGAAAAAAAATTTCACGAACATTAATTGTCTCGCACAACGAGTCTGTGTGCAAAATGTCAGCTCGATCGGATCACGGGAAGTGGGTTAAAAAACGACCGAAAGATTTGCACGGTCGTAAGCAAGCAAGCAAGCACGCAAGCAAGCAAGCAAGTGAACTTAATATAAAGGATTTAAAAAATGAAAGTGCGAGAGGGAGGTGTGGGAGGGGTGGATGTCCAGCAGGCTGGAGATATTCCATGAGAAGTTAAAACTTGAGGGTAGCCATGAGCTAAAGCTGTGGTGGGCGCCACGGTGGCGGGATGCTATCTATACTCTTAGTTTTTTTCGGTAAAGTGTCACGTAGGTAAAAAATAATAGAAATAAAATAATAAAAAATGAAAATAAATCAATTAAATAACGACGTTTCGGAGGCAACTATCAATTACTTTATTGATTTATTTTCATTTATTTTTTATTTTCTTTCTATTATTTTTTACCTACGTGACTTTACCGAAAAAAACCTAATAGTATGAATCCTTGCAGTCACGAAAGCTTCAAATCTAGAATTAAGGGATGCTATCTGCTATGCCTGGTATGCAAGGAGGACTTGGGTTCGATCCAGACCCTGACGCCAGTGTATTTGGAGTTGGCGTGTCTCTCTCTCCACGGGGTCGGGTGGATTATTCTCCAGGTCCTCTGGTTTTTTTCTCTCCCCGTGTATAAAATGCGTTTAAAGTAATTGGCTGTAATAAATGTCCACATGATAAGCCACTTCTTTGAGCTATCATTTATGGCCAGGTTGCTTCTGAAAAAGAACTACATAGCTCAGTGGACTTTACCTGGTAAAATAAAAGTTGTTTTTTTATGATTGACCGTGTTGGTTTTAAGGCTGCCGACAGCTAAGCTATTTACATTTGTCAAATGTGCAGGGTTTCTTCAATGCCTCTATTGTTCTATCATGATCTATCCGCTTTCCAGAATGTATATATTTCTGGTATATTTAATTCGTATTAAGTGCAGTCTTCCTTATTATTATCCTCATGTTTACCAAATTATATTTGGCCTTTAGGCCGTAAGTGCTTTCGTGAATAATTTTTTTAAAATCAAAATCCCGTCAAATCCTTCCCAGATAAATGTATTCCAGATTTTTAAAGTCGATATATAGCACAAAAGCAAACGTTACATCAACGCAACGTACTATAATTAGTTTTTACCCTTTAATGTTTAATGCTATATATGTCCACGTCATTAGCCACTTCGTTGAGCTATCATTTATGGCCAGGTCGCTTCTGAAAAAGAGCTCCACAGCTCAGTGGGCCTTCCCTGGTAGTAATTTTTTTTGGTCTAAATGTGCCTTGCTCTTACAATATAATGTTGATCCAATGAAGGGTCTTAAAACGCTATACGGAAATAGTGGGCATGTTTATGTCATAGAAATACAGGCGCTGGCAGTCAGCCCGGCATGGAATCGACCGCACGGATGGCAGAGGGAACGATGCTAAGCACTTCACAAGAATGTGCCACTCCATGTCAACATTATTGTTGCGTGTTTTTACTGTCGATTTCATTTTTCGTGGCCGCATTGCTCAGATGCTGAACATTTCGCAGTGTAGCTGAACAATGCCGCAAAGGAGTGGAACTTCACACACCCACCCACACACACACAAATAAACACAACGCCTCGCTCTGTTGCCCTCTGTTGAATCGTTTATTGCGCGTCCTGTTTGTATTTGTGTTGTTAACGAGCGACGGGACATTGCAATTCATCACGTTAATTCATCGTTACATGTGATCGAGAGGTCAGGCTGCACCGTTATGAACCGCATTCATTCGGTCGTGTCCGTGTATAATATGCATATTGTATATGTACAGCGGCAGGGTAAGTGGTTCGCGTGCTGTGCCTCGAACCCGGCGTTCCAGGTTCCATACCCGCTCACGGCCAACACAGTGACGATTATCTGAACCGGTCCTGGGCCTCCCATAGGACGACTCAGCCTTGAATTAGTACCTAGTGCGATGTGTAGCACTCGGGAGACAAAGGCGGCCTACCCTCGTGTAACGTGCCGGCCTTCATAGGTGATCCTTAACAGCAACTTACGCCAACCGTCCGTTATATATAGCACACTCTGTATATATGGTTCGTACAATGCGCTGCTGTTGCAAACCCGGTCACCTTGGTTCGGTTCCCGGCCACGGCTTACATCAGTGGCGAGCGATTTCAGAACTTGTTTGTGGGTCCACCCCGTGTGTAAGCATCGGCGCTGGGGAAATAAAGGCGGTCAGGCATGGCTACACGCAACCCCATCTCGTGCGCTATGGCCTGCCCCTAATACAGGACTGAATGTTATATCTACCGAACCACCGGGACAGCCCTTGTGAGTCGCGATGTCCCCTCCCCTTAACAAAATGCCTGGTCTTTGTGACAATTGCTTTTCTACCGATTTATATTTGCCTCATTGCTTTGCTTTTTTTTTGTTTACTTTCGTCATTTTGCTGTGACCCAGGGCACTGTTGCGAATAAGACTCATCCTGGCATCTTGAGTTACCACTTGGTTAAACAAATCAACTTTTAAAATGTCAACACCACTACTCCAAACACGTGCAATTTCCTAACGCGAGTAGCGTGCGCGCGCCTGCTGTGTAATACCCGATGACACGCAAAAGACATAAGACGGCAGCAAAGACACAGAGGGTATTAGACAGCAGGCAGTCCTTGCAGAAATTAAACTTCATGTACACATCTGTGCGAGTTACGGTCTACATCCACTGCTGGAAACCGCCAATTCAATGCGTTTCAAACATTAACCGAGACTCCCCCGAACGTAAAACGCACCCTCCAAAATTTGTGCCAGTTACCTATGAAGTTATATAATTATTTCACACACATACGTATACCAATTTAGTTATGAGACGCAAGCCCCAATTTTTTTCATTTTAAATAGGGGGGGGGGGGAAACGTGCGTCTTATAATTCGGAGAATACGGTAACAATTGCGCTGGTAGGCCAGGTACAATTCGTATCATTGCGTCTGTATAAGCTTTGTGTTAAGAACGTTAAATAGTAACAAAAAATCCAATATCTCCATCGTAATGCGAACGGCCAAAGCACCCTGAATGCGTTCGATCTGAGTGGGATCTCGGGAGTTAAGCAGGGTTGATATTGGTTAGTAGGTGAATGGGTGACCAACCACCACCAGGGTTTGCCAGGTGCTGCAGGCGCTGAGTGTTGTGCCCTCGTGTTACGCGTGGTCGTCTTCCTCCGTGGTTCTCTAGTTTATTCCCGCATTGAGCCAAGCTATCAGAAATTGAATTGGCCAACGATTCCAATGCATGCATGCATGCAGAAAAAAAATAGTCTGTCGTACTCACTTTCATATGGGTAAATCGTCGGGCATTATTTATTATGTTGCATAGGCCATGACACACGGCTTTTAAACTATCTTACACTTAAAGCAGGTGGGCGATTAAATCGGACACACACGCAACAAGTCACATAATGTATTTTCCATAGACCATATCATCATCATCAGTTATGACCAATCCACTGCTGGATGAACGCCTCCCAAAGACGCCGCCGAGCCCCACGATACTGTGAAGGAGCAGTCCGTAAACCCCATCTCGAGGTGCTTGCCGTCTTCTTTGAGAGGCAATGGAACCGAATGGAGACCTCTCCAGAATCAGAATATTGATTTATACTGGAGGAATCCGATGAGCTATGAAGCTCTTTTTTTCCACAGATGTCCCACCTGTTCCTCTCGTGCACCAGTTTCACGGCTTCTTTTACTTGTAGCCCTTGTGGTTCGGGGATAATTGTTCGCCGTGTCAACGCAGCTTCACCGCGTCCAACAATGCCTGGTTAAGTTATTCTTAATGTTTACCAGATTCAAGTCTATATTGTGACCAGACGTCGAGTTTCCGATAATAATACGAAAGGGTCTCCCTTGTGAGTGCACTCAAAGCTCGCCGATTGTTTGTTGCGGTTGCACCCGATTCAAGAGCCGAATGGCTCACAGGGCTATACCTAATAAATGAACTTGAACTTGAAGGTACTGTCCTTGAGTGCGCATTTGTTTTGGGTCTCGCGATTGTTGATCAGGATAAGACCCACGATGATCCGTTCACCCTGCGCAGCGATCTTCTCCAGTTTGTCAACTTGTGTCCGTTTCACACGGGAGTTTAACCCAGGTTCTCCCAAGTCCGGAAGGCGTGACTTTGAGAGCATTCACAAAGTATGACGGGTACATTTCTGAATCGCTGTTTGAACACGTAACAACACAAGCCACGATCTATCCACTGCGGAATGTTGTTCATTCTACTGCCCGAAACGTCGGCTATCGTGGGTCTTTTTTTTTTCGGGTCACGGTGTTCTTTTTTTTGACGAATGTATCGAGTCTGTGTTGTTAACTGTGCTCGTGCACCACTGCTAACGCAGCAGTATCACCAAGTAACGCTGCAGTAGTCGTGAGCTTGATACATTTAGCTGTTCATATGTCTCAATGTGCCACAGCAGCAGCCACAGCTACCTCCTTTCAGTACAAACTGCTCATTCCCTAATGTTTTGGATGGCTGGTAAACTTTAGTAGGTGGCGCACGTGCCGAGAAGCCATGCACGGCTAAAGCGAGATGCGTACTGGATGTTTGCGTACCAGGTGCCGAAATATTTTCCTGGTCGTCCACCCGGGCGGGCAAGACTCGGATGAAACGTACCCCCGATTATACAATGACGAGAATGGTAAATGCGTCTAGAGCAGCGTTCTTCGCTGATTCGCAGAGGGGGTGGGGTGGGGTGCACTTTCGCTGATAAGACACCATCGGTGTGAGGGCCGCCACACGTTTGAAACCATTGGGGGTTTGACGGCACGATGATCGGGGGGGGGGGGGGGGGGTCACATGCTGTGTCTAGTCGGGGGTCCGCACGTCAAGGAACCGCCCTAAAGGCCACCAGAGGCTGCTCGTGGCCCGCGGACCTTGCAATAAAAAACACCGGTCTAGGTCAGGGGATGTTCGGCAAACTAAAATAACAAGGAGAGCCATTTCTTTTTTATTCGGTAAACAAAAAAAACACTCAATAGATCAAGAGCCGCACGTGCGCGTGTGAACAACGTTACGAAGCTGTCCTTAAAGAGCCGCATGCCACTCCGGAGACGGAGGCTGTCAACCCCCTGGTCTCGATGCTGCGGTGTTCCTCCAGCAAAGCGCAAACGCTTGGGTTCTGCGTCTGCGCTTGCACTGCTCGATTTTGGAATTCCCTCCCATCGTCTCAGCACCTTGCTCAAATTAAGACACGTATTATCTCTGATCGATTACAACTTTATTACTGACGTTTGTTGCTGCCCGCTTGGTGTGTCTTGTTGTGGAGGGGGTGGGGGGGGGGGCTTTGGGCCACTGTGCTCACAATGCAACCGAGAACTGGAGCAAGACGCAGTTATAGACAAAATGGGAACATGTGTATAGTGTCGTGAGTAGAACTTCTTTCGCGCCGTACATAGCCAACCGTGCTAATCGGACGCGTGGGGAAAAGTACAACAGACTAAACACAAAAGCAGTTTGAAAGAAATTAGTTTTCAATCTGGACGATTTAAAAGTGCACAGCCTCAGTGGCTTCCTCATATCGGAAGGAGAAGAGCGTTCCAGGCGGCAGCAGAGGCGCATCTGAAAGTGGCACGCGATGCAAGTGACCGTGTTCGTTCGATGGCAAGCAGCCAAAAGCGGCTTGCTGCGAGGATGGCCAGAGGTCGCGTGATGATGGTTTAGGGCTCCTTGACGAGATCAGCAAGGTGTCGTTGTTCAAAAAGCTTTCGTGGAACAATGTCCTTCGTGCAGGAAGGAGAGAGGAAGCGTGCTCTGTGCGTCAATACGTCTGGAGAGCGTCCGTCCGTGGAGTAGCGTGAAGTGGCTGGCTGTGAAAAGGGGGTCCCAGCCTCTATACAATTAACCCTGAACCCCTCTCTTCTTCGTATCCCAGCGCTCGGGCACACACCCTCCCGCCCGCCCGCGCCTCTTCTCCCCTCCAGCCAGCGTTTCCCTGACGCAGTTGCACCGCCTGCACGCTCGATAGCCTCCGCCTCCGCTGCGGGTCACCACGCCGCAGTCTCTCTCTCTCTCGCGCGTCTCGCGTCCCGGCGCCGGCTACGACGCGGGCGTGTGGCGACTGGGACCGGGCCCGGCTTGGCGTCCTCCCGAGGTCGGCTCCCCGCCGGCGGGCGAACTGCTCAGCAAGAAGTTCCCGGTGGCTCCCATGTAGAGACGCGAGCGCAAAGGCCATTTCTGCAGCGACACAAACGACAAAGGTCCCCGCATGTAGCCTGAACCGACCTTGTTGGGGCAAGTGCTGTCAATGAGTAAGCAGCAGCAACAACAACAACAGGGCGTTTGTTTGTGCCAGGCTATGTGCACTTTAAGCGCGCACACACACACAGGCTGGTGGGGGCAAGTGCTGTCAATGAGTAATCAGCATCAGCAACAACAACACGGCGTTTGTTTGTGCCAGGCTGTGTGCACTTTAAGCGCGCGCACACACACAGGCTGGTGGGGGCAAGTGCTGTTAGCGAGCACCTATGAAGGTCATGAAAAAGGTAAAGATCCCCCCCACACCCTCCTCCTATAGGCATACAGAGTGTCGGTATGCTGATGTTTACGCAGCGCACCATGTACTGTACTCATTTAAGGCTGGGTCGACCGACGGGAGGCCCGGCACCGGCTCGAATAATCGTCGCTGATGTTGGGCGTGAGTGGGAATTGAACTCAGGTCGTCGAGTTGCGCTGGACACTAATCTAACACGGGTGAACCGCTCGGCATGGATACACATTCTCTCCGACGCAGCGATGCAGGCTGTTGGGGTATTACAAACAAGAGAATTGTAACAATCCCCTGTACAGCCTCAACAGACCGTCGGGGCGAAATGCTGTCAGTCTGCACCTGTGAAGGCCGGCACGGCACACGAAGGGGTGGGTGGCCAGAACCACGCCCGACCCGATTTGTCTCCCCAGTGCTGAAGCTTCCACACCGCCCTCGGTAGTCATTTCAGGCCGAGTCGATCAAGTGGAGGATCCAGGACATGTTCACATAATTCGCCACTGTTATATTGGTCGTGAGCGAGAAACGAAATCGAGCGTTGACCACAGCGCCAACAAAGACAAAGATCCCCCGTCTAACCTTAACAGACTGTTGGGGAAAGTGCTGTTAGCGAGCACCTATGAAGGCCGGCACGGCACACGAGGGGGTGGGTGGCCAACACCACGCCCGGCCGCCTTTGTCTCCCTAGTGGCAATGCTCACACATCGCACCGGGTACTCATTTGAGGCTGAGTCGACCTAGGGGAGGCCCAGGACCGGTTCAGATAATCGTCACTTGGAATCGAACCCGGGTCGCCAGGTTCGTAGTGCAGCGCGCTAACCACTACACTACCGCTCCCCACTGCGCCCCCCCCCCCCCACACACAGACACATAAACGCACGCACGGACACGTACCCACTACGAAGACACCCCAGGCATTAGTAACTATCATTTGAATAGGCAAATTGAATTAATCTTCGAACGAGTGCGATTGGTAAACATGGAAAGGCTGACCGTGGCGTGTCGCGAGGGCCGACGTGTGGGCAAACCCTGCGTTCAGGCTGAGTCGACCTAGGGGAAGCCATATAAGGCAAGCTCAGTTAGAACTCGTCCACTGGTGTTTAGCCGTGGCCAAGAGTCCAACGTCAAGTCGCCGGGTTCGTATCGCAGTGGGCTATCCATTGCACCGCCGCTCCCCACGCAGTCACTCTGTCTCATGAATGTGCGGCTACGTGATATCAATTCACAGGGTCTGCCGTTGGCTACCCCTAGACCAGGGGTCGGCAACCTACGGCTCCGGAGCCGCATGCGGCTCTTTACGGGCTGCTTCTTGACGATGAGTACGTATACTCAGATGCATTGCGGCTCTTGAAATACTGAATTTTGTACCGATTTGGAAAGAAATGGCTCTTCTTGTTATTTTGGTTGCCGACCCCTGCCCTAGACCCTCCTGCGACCAGTCGGCCCTCTCGTCTCTGCAAATCGCCCAGTCCAGTTCCCTTTCATTTCACGTGAAGGTGGCGTGCAATGGCTGTGGGGTGTAATCCAGATAAGGGGCCGTCCATAAATGACGTCACGCGATTTTGAACGATTTGTGACCCCCCTCCGTCGTCATACGGCGTCACAAAAAGTCAGACTCCCCCCCTCAAATATGACGTCACAAAGCTCTGCGCGCCCCCCCCACAAAAAAATAAAACATGCTTCAAATCGCAAAATCGCTTTAAACTATTGTCATTGTAGTGCGTATTTAATGTGGCGCTGCACTCTGATGTTGTAGGAGAAAACATTTATTAAAAAGTCTATTAAATTAAGTAGAACGTGTTGTCTATATTTCTTTAAAGTTGCGCATTTTGATGTGACGTCACATTTCTCACCCCCCCCCCCTCGTCACACATCGTCACAAATGTCTGACCCCCCCCCCCCCCACCTAGGTGAGTGACGTCATTTATGAACGGCCCCTAAGGAGGATGCGATGAGTGGGACACCTGCACTGTGCAGAATGGAGGGTGGCGAGAGGTCAAGCGACATGGAGGTTGAGAACAGATGGTGGCAGGAAAGCGCTGTGGACTTAAGTGATGGGTGGGATACGTGTACGTGGTGGAGGTGAGGACACGCTACCGACAGCGGCGTTGAAGTGACCAAGCAGAAGATGAGTACCTGTAGCCAGGTGGTGGTCGTGGTGGTCGTGGTGGTGCTTAGACTGTCGACTTAACAACGGCCACGGGAACTGGCCCGTAGGAAGGAAGCGATGGCGAGGTTTTGGCGGCATCAACGACACCTTGAACAATCCTCCGTCGTCAATCAACGACGCTCGTCACGGGCTTGAACGAGGAGTGTTTTTTTCCGCCGTTTAGCCACCAGGGGGCTACAGCGAAATCGTGCGACACGAATTGCGTTGCACGCACTGCAAGCGTTACCATTCCCGCCTGCTCCGGGTTAACGTGAACAACGCGATTGGAAGCGATTCCCGCTCGCGAAGGACATTGGGGGCGGTGCCACGTCTCGCGTTTTACCGCCCCGAAGCCAGTTGCGGAAATGCCACGTGCCTAACCAGGTGAGAACTCGAGATATTTATTGTGCAGACGTTGGCACGAGTGACCTGGGGCATGATATTCGTCTGTGGGTAGGGGGAGGGGGTAGGGGTGGTGATGATTTCTGCTGTTCCTGGTCGTCCACCCGGACAAGGGCAGACTCGGATGAAAGGGACTCCACGAATACAATGACGGCACCACGTGGAGAATGGTGACTGCGTTGAGGGCAGCGTTCTTAGCTAATTTGCGGGGGACACTTTCGCCGATAAGACATCATCAGTGTGAGGTCCGCCACACATTTGAAACCATTGGATTTGACAGCACGAGCGGGTGTTTTCACATTTGTGTATTGTCAGGGGCGCGCACTAAATTTGGCTAAATTTGGACTCTGACGCCGGCACGCAACGGACCTGCCCTTGTGAGCAAAGCAGACTGGCGCCTTGCAGTATTATCATAGTTATTACATACACATGTGTTTTTTTTATTTTACCGGGTAAGGCCCGCTGAGCTATATAGCTATTTTTTCGGATGCGACCTGGCCACAAATGATAGCTCAACGGAGTGGCTTATCGCGTGCAAATTTATAGCAGCCAAATACTCCAGAACGCACGTTTCTAAATGTGGCGGGGAAAAGCCCAGAGGACCGGGAGAAAAATCCAATTGACCAAGGGGAGACAGACATGCAAACTTGAAATATACAACAGGCGTCAGGGTCGGGATCGAACCCACGACCTCCTGTATACCAGGCGAGGTTATGATCAGGGCGAGGTTATGATCAGGGCGGCTGCTGTATTCGAACCGTGCACCCTCTGCAACAAGCCGGGAAAGCGCTACCGATGAGTCACAACGCAATCTTCTCCCGAGGTGGGGGTGCGTCTCATAGTCCGAACTCAGACAGCCGTGTTCATAGCGCAGTGCGCTAACTAATCACTTGCGCCACCGCTCCCAACAATACACGCAAAGATACGTGTTGGGGCTCGTGCCGTTCGCGAGCACCTATTAATAATACTGTTCACGCGCACACGTGTCGTTGTCGAGACGTGACCCACCCTGTACACGTCACGCAAACAACTCGGCACAGTCGTCACTAGCATTGCGTCACCTATTATATATCGTGCAATGGCCCTTCTTCATAGCAGAAGGGTCATTCCTCGAAACGTCTGCTATTTGTTTGAATTTTGAAGACCACAGTGTTATTGCTGTTGAGTTAGTGTTAACTGTGCTTGTGCACCACTCTCAAACGCAGCAACATCAACGCATAATTTGTTTACTCACGCAGCGTTAATGATAGTTTACTTTTTTTAAAGCTATGCTGACTTTTTACTGTATTATCCAGATTATAAGACCCCCACCAACCCTGTCAGTTTGGTGGAAGGGGTACGCCCAGAGCCGCCCAGAGGAGGTAGGAGAGGGCAAGAGGAGAAACTCACCCCGGGCCTCTCACAGAAGAGGGCCCCCCCTACAAGGGTCATGTCGACGGTCGAATAGGGGGGCCCACGTGGGAGTCTGCCCTGGGCCTCCGGGTTCCTCTTGGGCGACCCTGGGTGCGTCTTATAATCCGGTCGGGGTGTCCGTGCTTGTGTGTTATGACCATATTACGGTTTGGATGAGCCAGCTATATCGTTGCCGGGCCGCTGAGTGGAGTGGAGGAATTACGTAATGGAAAGAAGGGCTGATGATTATGAGCGAGTAAACAGCTGTTTCCTATTAACGTGTTAAGATCTACAAACACTTTTCTCTGTCTGCCGTCTTCCGTTTTAGAAGTACAAGACACCGCACGACACGATCTGCGTCGTCGGTTCTCAACCCGTGGCCGCAGGCGGTGACATCGACAACGTGCAGGAGAAATGTACGCGGTGCTGGGTGGGGGCAGTGCCGGATTATTCTAGTAGCACAAGTAGCTACATATGCTATACGGGCCCCGCACTTTCAAGGGCCCCGCGCTAAATGCTTTCAAGCTATCAATTTCTACGTGACTTTACCGAAAGAACCAAAGAGTATGGATTCCTGCAGTCACGAAAGCTTCAAATCAAGATTGAACTATCAATTCCGGTTCAGTGATTCTGCACTTGCTCTATTACTATAGTACTATACCGCCTTCAACTTTTACGAACGACCGGGTGTTTAAGGTTCGCGATTTGTCGAATTATCTGGCTGTTTAGAAAATAAAAAAATATAAT